GGCGAAATTGGTGAAATCCTGCAATGAAATCAGTGGCTTGGTGGGCCAGTTGACAAAGTCACACAAAGCCGTAAGCGGGCTCTCGCAGGTTTGAAAAAGTCCTGAAGGTCCATCTTGAAAACCTTGGATTTTTAGTGCATCTTAAAAAGCCTAGAATTTGTTCCTAATGACATTTACTTATGACAAACATTTTTTGCTTGAAAAAATACTTTTCACTCAATCATTGATGTGCTCTATATTAAGTTTTTGATTAAGAGTTACTTCCCTTCAGCATGTTAAGTATCTCCTCGTAAGTGGAAAGTTGGCCATGTGCTTCTGGCCTGCCATCCACGCAAGTGGCGACAATGGCGTCTTTTAAGGTGTGAGCATGCTAAATTTATGAAATGATTGATTTACTAGGCTATTTTCTTTAATATCTTTGTTATAAAACGTCATAAAATGCAATTTTTGAACTCAAGAACTATGTGGACCCTGTGTGAAGAACATACACTTATCAAGCATGTGCACTGTACATAATGTATTGTTAATCTTATTAACAAGCAATAACAGGAAGAATATTTAATAAAATTGACAATTGTGAAGACACATGACACTCTTGGTCATGTAGACAAGTGACATGTGCTGGGCCATATTTGTTTTTCAATATCAACAATCAAGGTTAGTGATAACCGCCAATAAGGCAGAGATTCAGATTGGTTCACTTTCTGGGACATTGTCTGATTGTCATTAAAAAATTCCTGAAGATTTATTTAAGTTTGGTAGTTTCATATATATTATGTACCGGGTATATACTTCATATATAGAAGAATCTCCTATCAAAAGCTGACAAATTATGACGATGTCCTAATATCTCTACCGAATCACTGACAGTCGAGGTATTGGACATGACCCTAGGGATTCCAGGTTACAATAGGTCCCCAGTAGGGCTCAGACGGGTAACACGGGTACCCAGGTCAGATGGGTACTGAGTAGGACCCGGGTAGGGTCGTGTAATAGGGGGGTGGGTACCCGGGGAGTAAATTCGGACCCAGTAATCGATGCTGGTCGTGAGAGGCGACTTAATGGATCGGGTGGTCAGGCTCAGTGACTTGGTTTGATTGTGTGTCATCGTACCTGGTCGTGTGGGACATTGATCACGGTTGTGTTTCCCCAAGAAGCTTGAAAGAACCGACTCATGGGGATCTTTCTCATATCAATGATATCATGCTTTGGCCGACTCAACATTTAAACTCTGTTGGTTGTACAATTAAAATAACAACTTTCAAATGATAAAGTTTAAAATACATCTAGTACCTGAAACCCTTTGCTTTGTTTTTTTATTTGTGGTTTAACACTGCACTCAGCAACATGCCAGCTGTATGATGGCAGACTATAAATAATCAAGTTTGGACCAGACAATCCAGAGATTGATATCATGAGCATCAGTCTAGGCAATTTGGATACGATGATATGCATCAACAAAGTCAGCGAGTCTGGCCACCTGTTCCCGTTAATCACCTCTTCAGACAAGTGAGTGAGTGAGTATGGTTTTACGCCGCTTTTACTAATATTCCAGCAATATCACGGCGGGGGACACCAGAAATGGGCTTCACTTATTGTAACCATGTCGGGAATCGAACCCGGGTCTTCGACGTGACGAGCGAACGCTTTAACCACTAGGCTACCCAACCGTTCCCTCTTCACCTAGTCACATAGTCACATAGTCACATAGTCACCTTTTACAGCAAGCATGGTTTGCTGAAGACCTATCCTAACCCAGATCTTCGCGGGTACTGAATCCCTTTACCTGATGGTTGTGACAAACTATTTTAAAGGCTCTAACAACACGTATAAAATCACATAGAGTTCACACAAGTTATGAACTCTGTCAGCTTGTCTGTAACAAATGAAGAATGAACCTCGGTGTCAATTGCAATCAGCAGTGAATCAATACTCACACCAGTCACAGGCACATCAACATTGTTACAGCTTGTCACAACCCATGTGTAACCGTTAGATATATGTTGCTGAAAGGTATCTCCAGTTCAGTCCTGATGAGCAAAGCTATTTCCCATTTATCACCTGTCATCAGACCTGCAGATGTTCTTTACGAGCAATATCAGACGATCTTGGTTGGTAAGTTAACTATAAATATTTTCTCACCTTGAGAGTGTCGAAACTTGAGATCTCCTTTCTAAATTAATAAACATGTCAATAGCCTATTCATATTACATGTTACCAAAAAATAAACCATCAAATTTCGCAAAAAATCAGTATGGCCAGGGCGGCAACACATTTTACTCTTTAGTAAAAAATATTATTATACAGAGTTCGCAATAATCTTTTCTCAGAAACCATTGGACATATTATATTCAAACTTTCAGAGGATGTTACCATGGTAAAGGTAAAGTAAGGTTTGTAATTTTGAAAAATTCAGAAAAATTCAGAAAAATTCAAAACATGTTTGCATGACACTTGGTAGAAATAGGGTGTTTTTAATCCATTGGTGGTGGAAAAATGTGAAGGACACACAGACAAATGTCCAGATTCTGAATAAGCCTTTATTTCTGGACATGTAGACCTCCCTGTTTACTGCACAAGGACAGCAAAACAATTCTGTCTCCACAGCCCAGTTTCACATCTTAACTACATGTAACTATCACAGCTTAAATTAACCTGTAGCATTTATTCGACTTGAATATCTTTTACTTGCCTACAATCCCAGAATGAAACGTCGTTGTATAAGAGCAATAATCCCAGAATGGAACAGATTCCTTTTCTAATACCTGTGACAGTATGGTTGAGCAGTGCTTTGACCTACATTTGTGGAAGTTAGTTATGGGCTATTGATTACAATGACTCAGGTGTTTTAGCCTTGTTGAGAGCACTGTGCAGCTTTTCCTTGGAGCTGTTGTCTCTTAATCAGTCCAGGACAAGGATCAGTCCAGGACAAGACAGCAGCATGGGAGCTGCAGCACTGAGTGGGAGAGGGTGTGTACTGGTGTACTGCAGCCTTGCAGTAGCTTACTGTGACTGTACATGGTCATAATTCTTGTCACTAAAGCCTATGGGTTAGGGAGATTTTTCTTCCATTTTCAATATCATGTTGAACGATTTAATGTGACAGATGAAAGCAAGGATACAGCTTTTTTGTGCATTTGAGGATTTGCTAATTCTTGTTTAGTTATGTAATGTTGTGGAAAATGTGTCACCAAATGAGTTAGTCATGAGTTTTGGACCTTAAAGGGGAAGTGTACACGCAAAAATCACTTTCTTTCTTTTTCTAAACAAAACGCAATTTTAGAATTAGTTAGTGTCTGTGTTTGAAAATATACGCTCATTTTTTTTCACAGTGAAAGTAGGAAGCTCACAATAGTGTTAAAATGATATGTCGTTATGAGGCCTTCGTTTTACGAGCGAAATAGGCCTGAGTTATCCCCCTTAGATTATGACGTAATTGGTGCCAATTCAACTGGGTCCCTGTCTATTCTCAACGCAAAAGATATCAAGGACCAGTTTGCGGTAAAACAACATGGTCTACGACACACTCCGGCGCAGTGGTGACTCAGCATAACACAATTCTGGCTGGCATCTGAGACGCTAGAATCACAAAACTGTACCTACACCACGTGAAGCGGCTCTAACAAAGCATGATGACGTCATAATGTTTATCAATTGGCACCAATGACGTCATATTGCAAGGGGCATAAGCCATGGTGTTTTTGTTATGGAAATAGAACACTTGGTAAATGTGAAAAATATAAATCGTTTTAATGCAAAAAATATGTTAATTAAATATGATGTTTTTATATTCTTGTCTATGACACTTCTATGTTAACACTTTTAATGTGGAAAAAGTACAAGAAAAATTGGTTCATTTCCGTGTGAACTTGCCCTTTAACGTGTCAACCAGGGCTCTCTCTAGATATAGGTTGGAGCTATTGAGTACTTACTCATTAGTTTCATTCACATTGGATATTGATAGGTTTCTTTGGTATTGAGTATATGTGTACTCCCTTCAGTCCAGTCTAGTGGATATATTTAAATCAATTTGGGTCATTTTAAAAAATATTATTCTGCTTAAAATGTTGTTTCAGGTGACGTCTAATTTGAATATACGTTTGTGTACTGTGCAAGTGTGTATCATGTCGCAGAAACTCACAATAGGGATATTCATGTCTAGTTAACTATAGGCGAGACATGGCATCTTTCTTGTACATTAAACACTGCAGTAGAGTTCATCCATACATGTGTGTTCTTTCCTGCACCTTCCTCTGGATCCCAGTTTGATTAGGTAGGCATAGGTTTCATGACTTGACATGCATAAATAGGGATAATTCTTGGGGGGGCTTGTGCTTTTATTTTAGCCCCTAAATTTGAAAAAAGGCCCACATTTTCAAAGTCAATGGGGCATTTTAACATAATGCTGTATGGGGAAGTGTGAGTGTACTTCTGGAATATTTGAAATTTTTACATTAAGTGCCCATGTCAGAAAATTCCTGGCATGAACCCTGCATAACAAGTATCATATAATGGCAGGTTTCTTATCATATAAAGCCAATGGATAAAAACTATATCCGCTGGGGTCATGCCAGGTCGCCCTGATTATGTTTCTAGGTTTGTCATCACCATACCTGTGCTCGTGGGTTTCACCGAAGTGGTAAACGTCTGAGACCTGCATCACTTCAGGCTTTCTTCCCACATTAACATGATTAAGCTGACACGCCGTGCTATAACTGGAATACTTTTAAAAGCGGCGTCACTCACTCTCACTCACTCACTCACTCACTCACTCACTCACTCACTCACTCACTCACTCACTCACTCACTCACTCACTCTATTTATTTGCTAGTTTGAATACCACTAGCCCAATGAGTAACCCATTATGTTTGTCAGATATGAGATACATGTATAATTCATTTATTGGCATTGTTCAAAGTGTCCTTGTGGACTTGATGTGCAGGTTTTGACCATGTTGACTGTAACTCTTGTGTTTTATTCTTGTGGTTTTGCTGTGCAGGTCTTGACCATGTTGAGTGTGATGAGAACAAGGTGGACCTTTAGGAACATATACACTGTAGCGGCAACATTGAGCCATAGAGGGTGTGTAGCACTGAACACTTGAATTCATCTTCCCGAGGCAAGGGAGTAAACGGACTATAATACATGTAGTCCAGTTTCCACCCTTGCCAAACTAGGCCGGAGTTGTATTTTGTCTGGGCTAACAATTCTGTGCATATTCCAAACATGATCGCATAACAAAATCGACATCCAGTTCCTAAACAACATGACGACTGCCGAACAGATTTCAGTCGATTACAAGATTTGCAAAGCATGTGCACCCTCAACTGGGTGTTAACAGATATTTTTTAAATCATCATCATTTTTAATCAAGGTGCTGATGCGATTAGATGCGATTCTCGAGGTAAGACCCGTTTAGTACAATATATATAGATCTTGATTATCAATCAGATCGTCTTGACTGGGAGGTGCAATGAGAATCTGATTGGTCATTAAGTCAGACATAGAAGGGACAAAACTTGTAGCCACTTGGGGCGCTTCGATCGAGCCACGAAATTCCTGAGTTGTTCGGCAAGGGTGGAGACTTGGATTTTTGTTCATACAGCAATCGGTGATTGTCCTGAAGGTATATTTTGTGACATGCTAAGGATTCTAACTGCACCACTCGATGAGATAAACAGCATATTTGACAACCACTATGAAATATCCTCCATATAATCATACACAGTCGTGAACTCCAATAATTCTTTTTTTAAGTGTTATGAATATCCGTATCAGCATGATCAGTAGTAAAAGGTGACATGCTAAATAGTTTTGGTGGTTGAAACAACTCACTGTTTGTGAAAAATGGACTAACATCAAATAAAACCAGTGTCTGAAATTAGCTCCTGCCCGTTAGCATGGTTAGCCCATGGCTATTTTCTTTTCTTTCTGCTTAGTGAAAATATACTTAAGGTTGCATGACTGATGAGCTTCAGGGCATGATTAAGCTATATAATACATGAACATGCACAAGTGAAACCTATTATTGAAATATGCAACCATATATTTATGTCAACATGCATCAAGTTCGTGTAAACCAATTACAAATTTGTGTCTGGCTAACCCTCACTTGTTCAAACCTCTTTGAACACTCTCAATACCTCAAAGTTTATTTTACCTATGTCACTAATTACAGTGTTACGTGCAATTTGTCATGCTTTTTTAGGCATGACATCATCAAACTGTGGGTACTTCAAGACTATGTGCACATGTCACAATTACGTTTTACAGCAATGTGTCATTAATTTTATGTGACACTGACAGCTGACCGGCGAATGTTTCAACTTTGATAAGGGGGCACGGGTGGCCCAGTCGTCTGATTGTGGGTTCGAATTCCAGTTCACCCCGATTATGTTTCTAGGTTTGTCAGCACCATACCTGTGCTCGTGGGTTTCACCGAAGTGGTAAACGCCTAAGACCTGCATCACTTCGGGCTTTCCTCCCACATTAAGCTGACACTCCGTGATATAACTGGAATACTGTTAAAAGCGGCGTAAAACCTAACTCACTCACTCACTCAACTTTGATAAATATTGGAATAGGGTGCAACCAGGTTTTGTTTGGTGCAACTTGGGTTTCCATGTCAACATGCATCTGGTGCAAGTTAAATGAAGTTCCTTAAATCAAGCCCTGAGCTTAATTTTAGTGTAGAGAGCTGAAGTGTATAAACCTTTCTCCCCCTGTTTTAGAAGAAAATGTTCACTTGAAAAATAAGACAGATTTTTTAAAACATTATTATCGTTAATCGATTGTTATTCAGCTGTCACAATAAACACAAAAAAGATGAAGTGGTATGACCGCATCTGAATGCATCATATTTTTTCATTGGCTTTAGCTCTGTTGAATTATTTGATTTTGACTTGGATTGAAGTTCTAGTTTTATTGAAACTTTAAACTACCAGATTTCTCATTGTATTTGGTAGGGTGAAAAAAAATCTGGCTACTTAATTATGAAATTGTCTGGTAAAAAATATCTAGCTACCCATGCTTGGTAATGATGTTGAAAAATTATTTCACACACTACAAAAACACAGGGAATATAAAGTAGCCATGGTAACTGTGTACAAATTTTCTGAGATCAATACTTGCAAAGGTATTGTTAGATATATTGCGAACCTTCAAATTGCATCAATACTACACTGGCTTGTTACCATGGTTACTTTCATAATGAGGATGTGTTACTTAAAACATGACAAACAGATGTGAAGAACTACATTGTATATGAACCATTAATTATATGTATGTATGTATACATGATGTGGGTGGCTGTCTGTGTCACCAAATGGCTTTGTTGCCAGGGATGGAAGCCCTGGTGGGTCTCTAAGTGTGATATACAGAATGAAGCAATCTCGGCGTCATTGCACAAATGTTCATTGTCATTATCCCATTATTACCTTACACACGGTCCTGTGTTCATCTCACACGTCACTATTCGGGTAAAGTTAAGCAACAGAATAGTTGGATGGGTGACCGCTTTCCGCCGATTGACCAATGAGAGTTTCTTGGGCTTCAGTCCTGCCCCACCCTGAAGCACATGTAGGTGATCTGGTGTCTCCTTAGGCATGTGACTTGGTTCATAATGTGCCTCTGTTAACCCAGCATTTAATGGGTACCCTGTATAATGAGATGGTAATGTGGCTGTTAACCTTCTAGTACCTCACAGACAGCGTGGGTTGTATACTCCCCAGGGAGCTGACCGCTCCCAGGGAACATGATAAATCTGCAAGTACTTTTCAAGTTCAATCCACAATGCCATTTATAAAGTGGTCAAATGTAACAAATACATTTACCCATAACCAATTAAGTTTGAACTGCTTAAAATTAAGCAAGCAGACAAAAACACAACAACCTGTCTTACTTAGTTAGATTTGACTGACAGCAAACACTGATCCAACTGTTTGAGAAGCTTTGAAGGTCCGGGCTCTGAATGATGGTTGTGTTTCAGCATGGCAGAGGCTGCTCAGTCCAACTGGGAAAGATACAGAGCAGAAGGCCATCAGGCCTTCATCCTTGGCTACACGGGTGAGGTGGGGAAGGAGCTGATCAAGGAGCTAGCTGCTGCCAAGTTGTTCAAGAAAGTGGTTCTGATTGGTCGCCGTCAAGTGGACCTGGATACTACTGTTGGACCTGAGTTTGTAAGTGTTTTTCTTATGACCAGACAATAGTGGAAGCGGCTTTCTAAATTCAGACTCTTAATGGTCAATAGAGGGATGGATCTTCTGGAAATGGCTTTCAAAATTCAGGCTCTTAATGGCAGTATGTGATGTCAGCCTGTAAATAATCAAATCAGGACCAGACAAGCCAGTGATTGATGTCATGAGCAATGTTTTGTCATGGGTCCTTCTGGATTTTTTTTCCGGAAAGTGCATGTACATAGGAAACTATAACGAACTTGTTTTTGGTCCCAGCCATTTGCTGCATATATGCTGTATATATATGCTTATAACGAACTACGGTTATAACGAACTAAAATTTGTGGTCCCTTTGAGTTTATGACCATAGTTTACTGTATAACTAACCTATAACAAACATGTCACATGTATAACCCCCACTCCAGGTTAGCAAACATTAAATTTCTACTTCTGTTTGAAGTGATGTTAACATATTATTGATCATGTTAATGTCAATGTATTATCAACTGACAAATTTCCTGAAATGGATATTCACACATCAACTTCCTGAACATAGTTTCCAGGTTCTTCCTTCACCACTCTGTATGGTCAGCTTGTTAATCAAAACGATCCCAAGTGGAATAGTTCTCTCTTTCTCTTGCCTTAGAATTTAATTCAAGTCTGGAATTGTAAAGTGATCATTTACCAAAATAACCTGAACATTGGAACATGATAAATGTGTAGGTGTATCTCTTGTAATCTCCTGCCGTGTGGAGTGGTGGGGTATCCAAGTGGTTCAAGTATTCGCTTGTCACGCCGAAGACCCAGGTTTGAGTTCCCACATTGGTACAATAGTACAATGTGTGAAGCCCATTTGTCGTGATATTGCTGGAATATTTCTGAAAGCAGAGACCATATAATTATTATGATTATAATTATTATATGGTCTCTGCTGTACCTCCTGAAAGCAGCGTAAAAAAATACTTACTCCCTCTTTCTGACCTGTGTGTGCATGTTCCTATTAAAAACAAACCATTGTCAAGGATACAGGAAGTGTGTGTGATGCTCTTGATGAATTCATGTGGGCATTAATTCAGGGAATGTTTAGTAATGGAGCATCTTCCCGAGGCAAGAGAGTCAACTGACTGTAAAAGTCCAGTTTCCACCCTTGCCGAACTAGGCTGGTATTATGGACTTCCATTTTGGCTGGACTAACGAGTCTATGCATAGTCCAATCAAAATCGCGCAACGAAATCCGGTGCAGATTTTGGTCGATTGCAGGATTTGCTAAACATGTGCACCGCCAACTCGTCAACAGATATTTTCCAAATCTTTTCATGATTTTAATCAAGGTGCTCACGTGATTTGATGCATTTCATGATGTAAGACCCGTTTTATCACAATATAGATCTTGATTATCAATCAGATCGTCCTGACTGGGCGCCACTATTTTGTTTGAATCAAATGCAAGTGATACAAGAGGTGGAATCTGATTGGTCCATAGGAGAGCCATAGAAGGGACATAACTTGTAATAGCCACATGTGGCGCTACGATTGAGCTTGGGAATTCCAGCCTAGTTTGGCAAGGGTGGAAACTGGACTTTTATAGTCAATTAACTCTCTTGCGTCAATTAACTCTCTTGCGTCTATTAACTCTCTTGCCTCGGGAAGATGGTAATGGAGCTGCTTCTATTTTTGCTTTCAGTGTTAACGTTTAAACCGCAAAATAGTGGCTTGTTATTCAAAGTGATATATTGAAATAATACACTTAAGTTAACTGTATTTAGTTAGTTTTATGGGATGAAGTTTCTTGACAGTGTTCAAATATATGTTATGAGAATCACTTTTTAGGCTAATGAACATTTTCTCTGTCGTATATAGGAGCAGAAAGTGGTTGACTTTGAGAAACTAGAGGAGCATAGTGATGTGTTTGAAGGCCTGGACACAGGGTTCTGTGCTCTGGGAACAACTCGAGGCAAGTCAGGCGTGGTGAGTACAACGGAGGGGGCCCAGTTAGTGCAGCAGCTAGTCACACAGGTGGCCCAGTTAGTGCAGCAGCTAGTCACACAGGTGGCCCAGTTAGTGCAGCAGCTAGTCACACAGGTGGCTCAGATAGTGCAGCAGCTAGTCACACAGGTGGCTCAGATAGTGCAACAGCTAGTCACACAGGTGGCTCAGATAGTGCAGCAGCTAGTCACACAGGTGGCCCAGTTAGTGCAGCAGCTAGTCACACAGGTGGCTCAGTTAGTGCAGCAGCTAGTCACATAGGTGGCCCAGTTAGTGCAGCAGCTAGTCACACAGGTGGCCCAGTTAGTGCAGCAGCTAGTCACATAGGTGGCTCAGTTAGTGCAGCAGCTAGTCACATAGGTGGCTCAGTTAGTGCAGCAGCTAGTCACATAGGTGGCCCAGTTAGTGCAGCAGCTAGTCACAGAGGTGGCCCAGTTAGTGCAGCAGCTAGTCACACAGGTGGCTCAGTTAGTGCAGCAGCTAGTCACATAGGTGGCCCAGTTAGTGCAGCAACTAGTCACACAGGTGGCCAAGTTAGTGCAGCAGCTAGTCACACAGGTGGCCCAGTTAGTGCAGCAGCTAGTCACACAGGTGGCCCAGTTAGTGCAGCAGCTAGTCACACAGGTGGCTCAGTTAGTGCAGCAGCTAGTCAGACAGGTGGCTCAGTTAGTGCAGCAGCTAGTCACACAGGTGGCTCAGTTAGTGCAGCAGCTAGTCACACAGGTGGCCCAGTTAGTGCAGCAGCTGGTCAGACAGGTGGCCCAGTTAGTGCAGCAGCTAGTCAGAGAGGTGGCCCAGTTAGTGCAGCAGCTAGTCACACAGGTGGCCCAGTTAGTGCAGCAGCTAGTCAGACAGGTGGCCCAGATAGTGCAGCAGCTAGTCACAAAGGTGGCCCAGTTAGTGCAGCAGCTAGTCACAAAGGTGGCTCAGTTAGTGCAGCAGCTAGTCAGACAGGTGGCCCAGTTAGTGCAGCAGCTAGTCACACAGGTGGCTCAGATAGTGCAGCAGCTAGTCACATAGGTGGCTCAGTTAGTGCAGCAGCTAGTCACACAGGTGGCTCAGATAGTGCAGCAGCTAGTCAGACAGGTGGCCCAGTTAGTGCAGCAGCTAGTCACATAGGTGGCTCAGTTAGTGCAGCAGCTAGTCAGACAGGTGGCCCAGTTAGTGCAGCAGCTAGTCACAAAGGTGGCTCAGATAGTGCAGCAGCTAGTCACACAGGTGGCTCAGATAGTGCAGCAGCTAGTCACATAGGTGGCTCAGTTAGTGCAGCAGCTAGTCACACAGGTGGCTCAGATAGTGCTGCAGCTAGTCACATAGGTGGCTCAGTTAGTGCAGCAGCTAGTCAGACAGGTGGCCCAGTTAGTGCAGCAGCTAGTCACACAGGTGGCTCAGATAGTGCAGCAGCTAGTCACACAGGTGGCCCAGTTAGTGCAGCAGCTAGTCACACAGGTGGCCCAGTTAGTGCAGCAGCTAGTTACACAGGTGGCCCAGTTAGTGCAGCAGTTAGTCACACAGGTGGCTCAGTTAGTGCAGCAGCTAGTCAGACAGGTGGCCCAGTAAGCGCAGCAGCTAGTCACACAGGCCGCCCAGTTAGTGCAGCAGCTAGTCAGACAGGTGGCCCAGTTAGTGCAGCAGCTAGTCACACAGGTGGCTCAGATAGTGCAGCAGCTAGTCACACAGGCCGCCCAGTTAGTGCAGCAGTTAGTCAGACAGGTGGCTCAGTTAGCGCAGCAGCTAGTCACACAGGCCGCCCAGTTAGCGCAGCAGCTAGTCACACAGGCCGCCCAGTTAGTGCAGCAGCTAGTCAGACAGGTGGCCCAGTTAGCGCAGCAGCTAGTCACACAGGCCGCCCAGTTAGTGCAGCAGCTAGTCACACAGGCCGCCCAGTTAGCGCAGCAGCTAGTCACACAGGCCGCCCAGTTAGTGCAGCAGCTAGTCACATAGGTGGCCCAGTTAGTGCAGCAGCTAGTCACATAGGTGGCCCAGTTAGTGCAGCAGCTAGTCACACAGATGGCTCAGTTAGTGCAGCAGCTAGTCACACAGGTGGCCCAGTTAGTGCAGCAGCTAGTCACACAGGCCGCCCAGTTAGTGCAGCAGCTAGTCACACAGGAGGCCCAGTTAGTGCAGCAGCTAGTCACACAGGTGGCTCAGTTAGTGCAGCAGCTAGTCACACAGGTGGCCCAGTTAGTGCAGCTGCTAGTCACACAGGCCGCCCAGTTAGTGCAGCAGCTAGTCACACAGAATTTTAAGTATTATTAAACATAGGATGTATGATCAGGTTGATCAGTCTAGTGGTCATTCCTCATGATAATTGTTTGGTTTCTTTGTTTACAGAAAGGCTTTGTGCGAGTCGACCATGATTATGTGCTGATTTCTGCTGAAATTGCCAAGGCAAGGGGCTGTAAGCACTTCAGCCTGGTGTCTTCCCAGGGAGCCAACAAGAACAGCAGCATGCTGTACACCAGAACCAAGGTCAGGGTCACCGCACACCTCAGCAGTTACGATTCATCTTTCAGCATTTCATTAGGCCACAAGTATTATGTTATGACACCATGTACAGTGCTTCAGATTGCGAGGAGGCTCTGAAAATAACAAATGATCCCTAATTTCAGAGCTAGTTTCACTAGTGTTAAGGGTCCTACATGTGGCTAGTGATGGGCATTGGTCTGACTTTCATATTGCAACTAATTTCAATAATGATTGATGTATTGCGATACCTACCACAATATATTACTATTGTTCTCTCATCTGTAGTTAGGGGCGGTCGGGTAGCCTAGTGGTTAAAGCGTTCGCTCGTCCTGCCAAAGACCCGGGTTCGATTCCCCGACATGGGTACAAGGTGTGAAGCCCATTTCTGGTGTCCCCCGCCATGATATTGCTAGAATATTGCTAAAAGCAGCGTAAAATCAAACTCACTCACTCATCTGTAGTTTGTTTTGATCCTGAATAAAAAAATAACAACTTTTCTCTCACATTTTTGACAACCTCGTAATCATCCACCATGTTGTTACATGGTACTGAGGTCACAAAGCATGCATAATAGATGCATATTATACAGGAAGTTGGTCGCGAAAAGTTTCGCTTCTTCGATCACATGACACAGTTGCTTATTTCTAAGTATCATAATTTCAATTCGACGTATCACTTACCGGTATGTTAAACTTTGCCAACATTATGAAAATATGCATGATTTAGAAAAACGCAATGTAAAAGTGTTTTCCAAACTATTGTGACAGGTAGTCATCAGTATTTCATACCAGTGATACTGTGCACCTCTACATCTGGCCTGTCATTTAAAGAGGTTATGAGTCAGTTTACAATTGGTAATTAAATCAGACTGTGCATGTATATACACATTTGAGGGATATGTCACCTGATGAATTAGTAAGAATATACTCTGAAACGTTGTGTTCCTCATAATAAAGAAGTTGACATCCATATATTCTCTTCCTTATGTGTACATGGTGTATCACTTCTGACAACATCAAGTTTTCTACCATTATGGAATGAGACTCTTTAATAAGTTTTCATGCATCATATTGTGGAATCTGATTTAACTTTTAATATGATTCATGTGTGTTTCATGCCACAGTTTTGGTTTCATGCCACTGTTTGCGCGTTTCATGCCACAGTTTGTGTTTCATGCCACTGTTTGTTTCATGCCACAGTTTTGGTTTCATACCACTGTTTGTGTGTTTCATGCCACTGTTTGTGTGTTTCATGCCACTGTTTGTGTGTTTCATGCCACTGTTTATGTGTTTTATGCCACTGTTTATGTGTTTCATACCACTGTTTGTGTGTTTTATGCCACTGTTTATGTGTTTCATGCCACTGTTTATGTGTTTCATGCCACTGTTTGTGTGTTTCATGCCACTGTTTGTGTGTTTCATGCCACTGTTTATGTGTTTCAGGGTCAGGTAGAGGAGGCACTGAAGGTCATGCACTTTGACAGGATCTCCATATACAGACCAGGGTAGGAGATCTTACCCAAATACTGTTGCTAGCTCCTAGTGTTTGTGAAGGCAGATTAACATGGGGATTGTTTGGTTAGGATGTGTGACCTGCTTATTGTATGTCATTGTACCCAAATGCCATTGCAAGTTGTAGCAGAAGAATCCAGATCGTGGTATAAAACCAAACAAGGGACACATGAAAGCACATGTATTTCAAGTGATACTGCTACAACAAATTAATCTCACCAACATGTTTTAATCTGCCATTGTAAAAGAATTAAATCAAATTCAAAATTGATAGGAAACAGCTGTTTGATTGAGCTGAGATTAACATTTGCTTTGTCACATGACTTTCATTTACTCGGAAAAAGCGTGCAATGTGTTTGCTTCAAATTGGGGTATAATAGATTTATTTTCCAACTCAGAACTCATATGTAGCCTGTCTTCTTCATGGTGGGGTATAGGAGATTCTTTCTCCCGCTCAGAAATTTGTTTCACTCTGATGCGGAATACACAGTTCTTTTTATCAAGATCACATGAACCAATCAGATCTCAACCTTGTGACAAGGAGGTATGATAAGGATCTTTGTACATGCTATGATAACAGGTTGTCTTGACATGGCTGTTATATTGCCGACTACACCATCAAACAACAAGGAAAAGCAGCAGTGACAACATGCCTACATTATTTTGTATCAATTCAGATTCCAACCCTGTGGGCATTCCCGGTCAAGTTTTGTCCCAAGTTCATGCCACTGTCACTGAAATCCCTCAAGGCAACCAACTAACTAAATAGACAGACACAGGTTCTTCATATACACTTGTATTCAAAATCCATCTGCCAACACAATACACCTCCTGCACTCACACAGGTTGTCACTCAACTGTCTGCCTAGAGCAAACCAAAATGGCCGCCGTAAAGTCATTCTCAAATCATAGACGGCAGTTTCGTATTCGAGGGGAAGTTTCGTATCCACACATTAACATCAGTGACTTGGTAGATTTTTTCAACCTTCTCTGACACGGGATGTTGCTCATGATATTAATCACTGGGTTGTCTGGTCCAGATTTGATTATTTACAGACTGCAGTCATATAACTGGAATGTTGATGAGCATGGTATTAAACAACAGACAATAATAGCCTTCATGGTGTACATGTATTTCCTCCCCAATGAGTTACTTGCTGGCTGCTCTGTTGTTAGTTCATACCCTTATGGTAAAACTTGATTGTCTGATCCATCGATGTTGTTAAACAACAAACAAACAAACAGCCAATGTATGTAACCACTCTGTCATGTTCCAGGGTTCTGATGTGTGACAGAACAGAAGACCGACCGGGAGAGAAAGTAGCCCGCGTGCTGCTCAAGCCGATCTCTTACCTCTTCCCCACTGCAATAACAACACCGACTGAAATCGTTGCCAAAGCCCTTGTAAACAATGTCGTGGCACCGAGCGAGCGCACGCAGGAACTGTACGAGAACAAGGCAATTCACCAGCTGTCTGGGACGTCAAAAGCTTGTGGAACGCAAAGCAACCAGGAATCATCAAAGAGCAAATAAAATCTTGACACTCAACCATTGAAGCTGAAACTCTGTGATAAGGCTTAGACTTCAGCTTTTTGTGAATGATGCTGTATTTTAGTGCTCTGCAGGCCAGTTTTACAGAATGACCCCTGACCTTGTCAGATGACCCCAGGTCACGCCCTGTCCTGGTACCACAGTTGACTCTGCCCACTCTGGGGGTCAAGTCATCTCAGGGTTGAATGACATGTTGCTCCAGTTTTATGGCCACAAAACTGTGTATAGTGACTAGTTCTATGCAAAATTGATGTCTTTAGGAGACATACTTGAATGATGCCATAATGAACGTTTAGGTGTATTAAGGCCTCCCCCCACCCCCCAATAAATTAAATATAATTTTCTGGTTTTCCAACAGATCCTAATCTAGAGCCGCAGAGGCTAAGCATTTTTACTTTCATTTCTTGAGTTTCACTATTCCAGGATTGTCTGTATTTTATACCACTTTTAATTTGAAAGCAGATTATCATTTTCCAAAGAAAAATACTGGTAGGTATAAAACAAATAACAAATGGGAAGCACACATATATGTTTTGGCTTACATTATTATTATTATCTCTAAAAGAACGTATAAAAGAAGATTGCAATTTTTGGTGAAGTCTTTTACAGTGACATTCTTATCAAATACAATGCATTTCATACATTTAGTTTTTCAGCTTGATGAGAAAAAATCTAAAAAAGAAGCCTTTTTTTATTGTATAATTAGGAATTGACTTCAATATTTTTTACGTTTATAAACATATTGAAGTTCATCATAAATACATCAACAACAATAATGACTTCATAGTCTGCTTATTTAATCATTTACATACAAAAACTGAAGATAACAGGACACAAGCACTCAATCAGTGACATCTATCAGTGCAATAATGCAGCACAAGCCCCTCCCACTTTATAATCAGCCAATCAGGAAACAGTAGTGAGTGGGCGTGGCCTAATTTTTAAAAAGATTTGCTTGGTTTGCCAATCAAATGCCAAGGAATCATTTGCAATTTATTCATATTCATGTTACTGGAATTACACGGTTTTGTTTAGATAAAGCCTTCTTGTTCAGCTCCAAGATAATGTCGTTGACTGTGCAGAGTGACGTCCCATGGGCACACGAGTGATTGTGGGTTCGAATCCTGATTCACTCCGATTATGTTTCTAGGTTTGTCAGCACCATATCCATGGTCATGGGTTTCACTAAAGTGGTAAACGTCTGAGCTGCATCACTTGTGGGTTTCCTCCCATATCAAACTGACACTCCGCGATATAACAGGAATACTGTTCAGTTATTAGACCCAACTCACTCACTCGTAGATAATGTCATTTGTTTATACCTGAGTTGGAAAATTCAACAACATCAACAGTTCAGTATTTTTATGTACTTTTTATGTTTTAGTCAACAAATTATGAACGTTTGAAGAATTTGAAACATTTCATTCTTATACAATAGTTCCTGTGTCAATGATATTTCTGCATGTATAGAACATTACAAAAGTTGATGATCTATTATTTTTGGCATATGGGAACTGAACATCACAATGTGTACATATTTCACGACAAATATATGTTTATTATGTCATGTTGTTCATAACTTATGCATACAGCATCCATGTTAGAAAGTGTTGTTGATAACTTTGACTTTCAAAAATATTGCAGCCTTTTCATGCTATCATGTATCAATCTTGCAGGTAAACATTATCCTCATTTCACTGAGATGATGTCTCAGGTTAACATGGCTCTTATTACACCCTTGATTATCATTAAGATTTTACTGACCAATCAAACGTTGACAAAAGGGTAAGGGAGGTAACTCATAATACCTAGAAGCCAAAGACGGCGCCAGTTTTTATGGACATGAAGACATCCTTTCCATCAAAAGATTTTTAAGGGCTTTCTTTTGCATGTCAGTCAGCTTTTCAATGTTGAATTTCTTGCAAACTCGATCATTGTCAGTGGGACTTGCCATCCCAACTTTGACATGTTTGAGGCTGGTTTGTAGCTCTGATTGGTAGGTTAGACCTTGTAGCGTAGCCAATCAAACTGGTAAATGGAAATCAAGGGCGGGTAATTTGAGATTGTGAGAACCACGGAAATAGATCCATGGGTTAGTGTAGGTTTAACGAAATGCTAGCCCTGGAGATAGAGGATGGGGTTTTACATTTTCAACCTAAACCTCGGAGGCCTGTTCTCTTCTACACATTAAGTATCATCCATGTTACGTTGAGATTAGGAGATACTGCTGTAGAGACATCTAGACTAGCCTTACAATTTTTCTGCTGTATGTCATGCTGCTGATGTTGTAACCATGGTAACAGCTTTTTCAATTTTGCATGTATTATGTAATGGTTTCAAGCAATATATATATGTGCCCATTGTATTGGCATAAACTTGTTTGTTTTTTACGGTTGTCATTGTTGGTTTATGTGTAGCAAGTTCTTATCAGGTAGCACTGTAAAATGACTGGAAAGATATTTAATGTTGACAAGTGATGTACATTTCTTAATGTGTATTCAACATAAGTTAGCCAATTTGTGAATGAAGTGTAATTGTTTAAGGGTTTTTTGTTAATGTTTTATTTAGTGAGATTATGGATAGTCATCAGCTGTGATTGAGCATTTATTGTGTCATTCATTGTGTACATTTATTTATGGCTGGGGGTAGGAGGTAGCCTAGTGCTCCCATCTTCCCGAGGCGAGGGAGTTAACTGACTATAAAAGTCGAGTTTCCACCTTTGCCTAACTAGGCTGAAATTATGGAGTTATATCCGTTTCATTACCATACAGATCTTGATTTTTAATCAGATTGTCTTGACTGGGCCCAGCCATTTTGTTTGAATCAAATGCAAGTAAGAGGTGGAATGTGATTGGTCAATAGGAGGGACATAGAAGGGACATAACTCATAATAGGCACTGGTGGTGCTACAATTGAGTCCAAAAGTTACAGTCAGTTAACTCCCTTGCCTCGGGACAATGAGTGCTCCAAGCATTTGCCTGTCATGCAAAAGACCAGGGTTGAATTCCCAACATTTGTGTCCCCTGCGGTGATGTTGTTGTAATAGTGTCAACAGCAGCAGCTTAAAACAATACTCGCTCATTTATGGCTGTGGCTGGCTGAATGGACATGCCATCATGTGAATAAAGGGGTGCTTGCTAGGCCTAGTGGTTGAGGTGTAGGCTCTTCATGATGAAGACTCCGGTTTGATTCCCCACATGGGTTGAATGTGTGAAGCTCAGTTCTGGTGTGGCTGGGTCATGATTTTGCTTGACTATTGGCAGAAATGGCATAAAAACCCGACTTACATTTGTTTTAACTCTTTGCTCAAATACAACGCAACAACTCACTCAAACAAGAAGATCATTATTTTGCGTGTTTGCTGTTTACTACGCTCTCAGCAATATTCCAGCTATATATGAAAGTGTTCTGTAAATAATAAAATCTGTACCAGATAAACCAGTGATTGATATCATGAGCATCGATGACATGCATCAACCAAGTCAGCGAACCTGACCACCAGATCCCGTTAGTCGCCGCTTACGACAGGCGTAGTCACCTTTTACGGCAAGCATTGGTTGCTGAAGGCCTATTCTAACCCATATCTTCTCGGTTATGGAAGACAATCAAATGTGTCCTATTTAGAGCTGGTTATTGTTTAATTATTTTAATCAAGTTGACACAAAATCTGATCATAAATGAAATTGGGATCAGGTGATTGAAATATGCCACTGTGCCCAAAAGACAGGCTGTGCCAAAGACATTTGAGTCATTGGACTATTATTCGGTGATCTTACTGAACTGAAAAATATTCTGGTAGACCGAGTCTAACATTGAAGACTAAAAGTATTTATCATTGCTCATGGTATCGATCACTAGTTAGATCACTGCCTACAAACTCTTCTCTCATTCCAATAATTTATTTAACATGTCCAAAGTAGCATGGCAGCATTATTACTGAAGGGTGCTTTGATTGAAGAGAGTGGTATTGCTTTATTTACAATATTTATTACTGGTGCCAATGTCGTGTGTGGGCTGCTCGTGATATCAGGGAGATGAGGTTCTGGTGGTGCAGGTGGCCCTGCGGTCGAAGATGAGTTAAATGAGAACACTCTGGTGCTAATCTTAGGTCTGTCATTGCAACCAATCAGATGCTTATCTGTGGTAGATTATCGCAACTAATCAAACTCTAATCTGTCATCGGTCATAGGTCATCGCAGCCAATAAGATGCTAATCTGTAGTAGGTCATCGCAGCCAATAAGATGCTAATCTGTAGTAGGTCATCGCAGCCAATAAGATGCTAATCTGTAGTAGTTCATCGCAGCCAATAAGATGCTAATCTGTAGTAGGTCATCGCAGCCAATAAGATGCTAATCTGTAGTAGGTCATCGCAGCCAATAAGATGCTAATCTGTAGTAGGTCATCGCAGCCAATAAGATGCTAATCTGTAGTAGGTCATCGCAACCAATGAGTGGCTGATCTGTGGTAGGTTGTAAAAATTAAAACCCTTATTATAGAATTTTGGGTGCAAAGAAATGGTGATGCTAGAGATTTTACAAGTGCTTCTGGTAATGATCCCAAATTGGGTAGGAGATCCATGGTTTTAGTGCTATTGGTTAAAAGTGATCTTACCAGCAACATTTTCAGCCACATGATTCTTATTATGACTGTTGGAAAGTACCTAGTTGCCCAGGTAAGTGCACCATATGAATCATACAAACATTGGTGCCACGTTCAGATATTTACATGACAAAATCTGCAATTGTTTAGCATTACCGTACTGAACATCACATCACCATGAGCAGATGACAGCCTATTGGCCCTGGCCCACAAAATGATCTTTGTGCTACGACTATCATAAGTCAATGTTAAACTTGAAGTCGATGCGCGTGGATACAGGATGTGTATTTAGGAACCATATTTGTTTGGAGATGTCTATCCCAGTTACGACCATTAATACAACATTGGGTGGCTATTATTGATTACACGATTCATAATAGATTACCGTTTCAAGGTAGACTTCTCTATATATAAATATATATATATATATATGTTTATATATTCCAATATTTATTAATACTGACAAGTTAGCATTAACAAAGAAATCTATATTTAATGTGATTCAAACGACTCTTTCATTAGATTATGGTTTCTTTTGTTTTAAGAAACAACAGTTTAGCATCAACAGATTTATTGCTTGTTCATCAGAATGACTTTTACCCAAATTTTTATGATGATAATACAAACAAATAATACTGACTTAAGGGTCCATCTCGGGGGCATGGGTAGCCCAGTCGTCTAAGGCGCGGTGATTTGGTGTGCAGAGTTGCGTCCCTTGGGCACGCCAGAAACCTATGAATGTGGTCCAAATCCCGGTTCGCCCCGATTATGTTTCTAGGTTTGTCAGCACCATACCCGTGCTCATGGGTTTCACCAAAGTGGTAACATCTGAGACCTGCATCACTTCTGGCTTTCCTCCCACATTAAGCCGACATGCTGCGATATAACTAAAACTGTTAAAAGTGGCGTTAAACCCAACTCACTCACTTAAGAGTCCGTCTCATTGACTCACGAACACCTGAACGTCAATGGAATGTAAGGGAAACAGGTCATTTACATTCTCTCATGATTATGTACAGATCAGGTACGAGAATTTTGAGATGTCAAATATTTAAGGAGAAATACATTTTTAGGGTTTGGAAATATAAACATTGAAGGATAGTTTACTTCTTTAGCAAGTGCTCAATTTGTTGCACTATTATTGAGTTTTGCGCTTGTTGAAGACCTGATTTAATTTAATTTGATGTCTTTCGTGAAAGGATATGTAAATAAAACATTTCTTTGAAGTTCATGAATGCTTGCCCATTTTGTCTGCAATTTATTTATTATCTTTATATTTTAGTTTTGTTATGTTGCCTATGGCATCCAAAATAGCATCAGGTGGGCACAGTGACTGCTGAGTTTGGAAAGTACCAAGATTAGCTCACCACTGGAACTGGGTGTATATGATGCCACAGTTGACTTTGGTGAAGAGTTGCATCCCTTAGCTGTGCCATGATTTGCTGATTATCCTTGATGAACTGTGGTCTGTCAACACCTTAGCTGTGCTTGTAGGTGTACCATGGTAAACATCTGTTACCTACGTCACTTTAGGCTGTGCCTCCTGGCAGTCCAAGGTGCAGCAATTGACTGAAGAGTTGCATACCTTAGTTGTGCCAGGAGATGCTGACTTTGGTTTGAAAACCAGATTTGCCCTGATTATGATTCTAGTTTTGACAGAAAACACTTTCTTAAACACATCAGGCTTTAATTGATGCTCTTCAGCTGAAATACAGAACCCTGCAAATAATCACCCATCAACTAGTGGTTGACAGCATGAGCATGATCCATGCTGTCGGGATGACACAGCCATGCTGTTGACACATTCTGACAACCCAATCCTCTTTTCTGAGGCTTTTTCAACAAGAATGGCATATGTCAAGCCCAAACTGGAATTATTATCTTGTCAAGTAAAACATATACATGCATTCTTTCAAAGCACAATTTATTGAGCAACATGCAAATACTTCAGCATGAAGATATCTGATTAACATGTGCAACATGGCAATATGGATATGTAAAATAACACTGGAGACAAATAAGGACACTGCAGAAACTATGTACTTCATAGTCATAAAATAGCACTAAATACGAGCATTTTGTGAGTGAAGGGCCAACATATCACCAGGCTAATATGAGACAAATATACCTCAACCAACACCATGAGATTCTCAGCAAAAGTTTCAGCAACATATTTTTAAGCCCTTTAAGAAGTGATTAGCTCTGAATTGTGGTCCAGTTGCAAGTTCTGCAAAGCTTGGGATGCCAAATGACAAAGATGCCAGTCTCATTCATTTTAGATACCCTGTGTTTGCAATTTTAAAGGACTTTGCAGACCCTTTTGGGCTCAGTTACATACTATATAACATACTCTTCATTTCTGGAAATGTTTACATTCGATTACATAACATGTAGAATACATACAACATATTTATATTAACATTACTTAACATACGAAAGGTTAGTGACGTGTTCAAATGTCTTACTCATCTTTTGTTCTCAGATCACATCACCATGTTGGGCCACATCAAACTGACATAATGACTGACTTAGTATTGAGATCCCAATATGAGTTCATGGTATCATAATAAATTACCCCCCATCACCAAAAAAGAAATAAGTAACAATCAAGTGGGAATATGGAATGTAGCAATGCAGGAGATTTTGGACTTCGATGGAGCTAATTCAGAAGATGAACAGGCAATAGCTTTAGAACAGAACAGAACAAGACTTCAATAATGACAGCAGGCAACTATAATAGTGATGACATGATCAGCTGATGATACATGTCACCCGTTGTTCTGCATCATGGGAAACTCGATACCCATGGCTCTGTATTATGGGATACACGACACCTATCGTTCTCTATCTAAACATAATTCTTTACCAGTTTGTATATAATCAATAGTATGCTTCAACTAAAATCTATTATATTGATGCAAAGTTCAACAAGGATGTGCAATTGTCTTGCAAACAAAAAAGAACAAGAGACACTTAAAAATATATCCTGGGAAAATCCATCAAACATAAGTTGCTGTTCAGCTATGAATGTTGAGAACAATAGTAAATTCCGTTTCATTGACACTCATGATTTCAATATATATCGCAATACAGCCCCTGTACGTTAAGAAATGCTGGAGCATAACTCTCACTTGCAAGACTCATCCCAATGTAAAATATCTGGGTTTGTTAGTCAAGTGATGAGTACGTTCAAGTTTAGTTTTGCCTTTAGGTGAGGTGAGGTGAAATAGGGTTTAACGTTGCGTCCAAGATTATTGTACATAAATAGTGATGTGCATGCATGTGTGTGTGGCTGCGTGTACTAGTCCGGACTGATGCCGATTTATAAGTGCTAGCCCACTGAGATACCATGCCACAGTTTCACAAGAATAACCCACTCAGACACAGTATACTGACTCCGAGCCGACCAGTCCTTGTTTTAGCCCCTTAATGCCGAGCGCCAGACAGGGTAACAACAAGTACCATCTTTTAACGTCTTTTGGTATGACGTGGCTGGGAATCGAACGCGGGGCCTTCCGCTCTCCGGGCTGACGCTCTACCACTAGACCACGGAGGTGGTCTTCTTGCCTTCAGCACTGACACAGAAGAAAAACATTCTCGTAACCGGTGTATCAGATCGTGAACAAAGTTCTAAAATATGAACCACATAATTACATATATTATATTTCAGAGTATTATGTACATTATATGCAGGTACAACACTGTCAAATAAAACATGTATATGACCTTGTTCTTCACACAACCTCAGTTATGTGGTTATAATACATGTATCTCCATTCTGTTGCAATGAATACCCTGGACCATCTGCCATCTTTGTTTTGAGACGGGTTCAACTGACATAGTTCTACAAGAAAGGTGTTCCAATTTTTTTTTCATGACTGAAACAAGAAGTGATATCACTAGAACTCAATTCACTTTTGCCCCCCCTCATAAAACCTGACCATGTTATAGCATGAGTATTTCCGTCCACCTGTCTTAGTTTGTTGTGCAATGCCGCACTCTGCAATATTCCACCTACATATATGAGGGCGGTTTGTATATATAATCCAATGGTTGACATCATGAACATCAATATGCGCCTGACCTTCATGAGCATACGTTTCATTTCTCCGGAAACATCTCCAGCAAAATGTTAATTTATAAGTTTTCGGAATCAAATAGATATTTTAAGAGCAGGCTCGGACAAGGTAGTGATGTTGAATGTACATCCTTTGTCAAATCCGCGTTCAGAAAAGGCATTTTGATTTAATGTTGATTTCAAGATCCCATCAATACAAGAATTCCTGTGTATCACATTAATGAAAGAGTTATAGTCGGTGACGCCACTTCCGAAATAGAGCAGGGTCAGAATGGGTCCATGGTATGTTACGGTATCATAGAAAAATGGAGATATGAAACACTGGATAAATGAGGATGCCCTTCACATTGCTACCCAAGTTGTTTTAACACTGCAACTGAAAAGACAATCACAGTGACAACACAACCTACTTTGTAAACTGAGATTCTACAGCAAATTAGGCTTCCAAAATATATAATCTCAATACCCTGATGCCACTGAAGTTCATTGTATCACGTCAACATAGGATCACTTTCTTATAGGAACATCTTAATTTTTAAACTTATCCTATCTCATACTGTTTATCCATGATGAAAACCCCCCAAAAAAACCAAGAAGACGAAGACTGGAAAATTGAAGTGGAAAATGGAAAAAAGAGAAAAAAACAAATGGATTTCCTAGGTGTTTTTAACACGTCACCACACAATGGCGATTAGAAAGAGACTGAATTGGCTGGGTAAATCACATGTTCAGGGCGTGTAACTTAATTAGCAAGAAAAGCATGCATGGTCATGTTGATGCTGGGTGTGTTTGGGTGAATTGGTTTTTTTTACAAACCGGAAACCTTTGTTTCGGCAAAGTGTTAGATAGGATAAGTAATATAAATACACAAATTTTTGTAAAATTTTCAAGATTTGTTTTTAGAAAAATTGTAGAAATAGAAATACAAGTTTCCAGTTTCCAAACACATCTGCATCATCAATACTTCATAGATCTGTATCCACTAAGTTCCTCCTTCACCAATGACTACATGTGTCTGCAAATCGGTGAACTCACTATTTTTAACAAAGGCTAAAAAAAAAAGGCATGGCCCGCATCATCATAAAGTTTGTTGCACGTTTCCTTTTTATTTCTATTATTTTTTTTTAAATATACAAAATCCTTAAATATTCCAAGTCCAATGGTCGTCAAATACTGTATTCTAGTATTTAACTCATCAAAGAATACTTTAATGTAGGCTTTCCCAGGTTGATTGTACACAACTCTTTATTTCGTTTGTAACCAGTTTGCACAACCAAAAAACAATAAAGAAAAAAGACACCGCCCGCCAGCACCATATTTTCAAAAGCCATTGCCTGAGAACCAAATATTTTATTTTTTAAGCCTAACGAGTCAAGCCACAGCCTGGTTGAAGTGAGAGGAAGCCAGCAAGGTTTCAGACCAATGAAATGAGATTACATCGGCAATATTTCTCATGCAACATGTGCCTTAGCCTTGCGGCCTCTACTCTACACATTTCTTCAATGTCACGTAACGGTAGGGTTTGCATTAAGTTCTTAAATGCATTTGACTTACGAGAGTCTTACACAGGCGACGGAGGAGCAAAGTGTCTACAAAGCTGTGATGTTTTGGTTATAACATATGAAATTATATTTTATATGTGAATAGAATGCTATGCAGTAGAACTTGGATATAAGAAATAATTACAAGGGACCGGAGAAATCAGTTCGTTATATACGTCGTTTGTTAAATACATTTTTCGCTCAGAAATGTCTTTGATAAAACAAAAGACAATACACGTAATTTGTTTTACAGACATGATTAGTCCAATTACATGTACAGGTAAGATTAACATTAAGCAAGTTTAATGAGGTTGAATTGTCACCGCTGATTGTGTTGATTCGCCGCTGATGGCGTACAGCCAGTTGTCAGTGACACTTGACATTGAGTGAGATTTCTCAGTTCGCTGTACACAAAACTAATTAGTGGTATTTGGGCTTGTCGGGGATTAGATATCTGTTCGCTATATGCGTTAGTTCTGTAGAGAGTTTCTTATGTACGTAAATTTATATGATAATAAAAAGGAGATAAATCAGGGATTTTGTAACAGTTCGTTGTATCAGTTTGTTCGCTCTATCCATGTTCGTTATATCCGTGTTCTACTGTATTAAGAATCATAAATCACAAAATATTTAATGACTCATCCTCATGAGATATGTGTGTTTGATTTTTACTGAACAACGTTGAGTTTTCTGCCGATTTCGATGAAGGCATCTACTGCTCTGTCAATGTCCTGCTCGCTGTGTGAAGCTGAAATCTGCACCCGGATCCTTGCTTTTCCTGTGTCAAAAGTCAAATGTCAACAAAATTATATCTTACACTACCATATCTGAAAATCTGCAACTATGAAGAACAATTCCCCTTAAATAATTGAAGATTTGATGTTAATTTCACATATACCGGTAACAAAATTTTGGCTATGGTGAAAACATTATTCAAACTTCTTTTGTCTACACTAATTCATCACAGCCAAGTAACAGTTTCTCTATAACTTTCAGATACAATATATTAAGAAAAGTATTTTTGTTGCTATTTAATAAATACCAACAAAAATAGCATTATTTTATAAATAATATAATAGAGCGATTAGGGCAGGCTAGTTCCTGATAGCCCAAGGATCATGACTGAAGTCAAATGTGATTCTTCTTTCCAAGGGGGCACGGGTGGCCCAGATGTCTAAGGCATTGCGATTCGCTGTGCAGAGTTGCGTCCCTTGGGCACGCCAGAAACCTATGATTGTGGGTTCGAATCATGATTCGCCCCTGTTTGTCAGCACCATACCCGTGCTCGCGGGTTTCACCAAAGTGGTAAACTTCTGAGACCGTCATCACTTCGGGCTTTCCTCCCACATTAAGCTGACACGTTGTGATGTAACTGGAATACTGTTCAAAGCGGCGTTAAACCCAACCCACTCACTCACTCTTCTTTCCAATACACAACACCTGACACAGCTCATGAAGGCAGACTGCACACAAAGCTGGTGCCTTAGACCAGCATCTTTCCCATGCCTATGCCCAATGGCAGCACTTCATGTCAAGGGCCTTCCAAGCCTTTACGGGCGGTCGGGTAGCCTAGTGATTAAAGCGTTCGCTCGTCATGCTGATTCCTGACATGGGTACATTGTGTGCAGCCCATTTTTGGTGTCCCCCGCCGTGATATTGCCGGAATATTGCTAAAAGCGGCGTAAAACCAAACTCACTCACTCACTCCAAGCCTTCACAGGAATCGTATACATGGTAAAAAAACATGAATTGGAAAGGACCAATTTTTGTACTTACCTTTGGGTACTACTGGGAAGCTGAACCCAATAACGTAGATTCCTCGATCTACGAAAGAAGAAAGAGACACCTTGATACATGATACAGCTGTGCCTTCACATGGGGCTAACCAGTCTCTTGTACAGTGCGGAGGTCCGTTTGCTAATTAGAGTATCTTAACAAGGCCACAGGAAAAATAGGTTACGTATAAGGTTCAGGCTTGCTGACTGGTTGATGCATGTCATTGTATCCCAATTGTGTGGATCGTCGCTCTTGATGTTAGGTGTCTGGTCCAGACTTGATTATTTACTGACTGCGTCATAAAGCTGGAATATTGCTGAGTGCAGCGTTAAACAACAAATAAACAAACAAACAAATTCTTCTGCTACTATGCCTCTCTGTAAGAAGATCTGACGACACCTCCATAGGAGGTCATGCCAGGTGATGATGAAAGAGATGAACATGGTGATGTCACTTCCATGATGCATCTTCCCGAGGCAAGGGAGTTAACTGACTGTAAAAGTCCAGTTTCCACACTTACCGAACCAGGCTGGAATTTCTTGGTTCGATCGTAGCGCCACCAGAGGCTATTACGAGTTATGTCCCTTCTATGTCCCTCCTATTGACCAATGAGATTTCACATCTCATAATACTTGCATTTACTTCAAACAAAATGGCGGCGCACAGTCAAGATCTGATCAATAATCAAAATCTATATTGTAATAAAATCTTACTTCGCGAACTGCATCAAAATTAAAACTTGATTAAAAACATGAAAAGATTTAGAAAATATCTGTTGATGCTCTATTGGGGGCCACATGCTTTGCAAATCCTGCAACTGACTGACATCTGCTCGTCAGTTTACGAACCGGATGCCAATTTTGTTACGCGATTTTGATTGGACTATTCATGGACTCGTTAGTTCAGCCAAATGTAATTCCATAATTCTAGCCTAGTTCAGGAAGGGTTGAAACTGAACTTTTATAAGTCTGTTAACTCTCTTGAATCAGGGAGACGACATGATGAAGCTACAGCGGAAGACATGATAGAATGGAGATGTGCAACACTGGATAATCCTGACTGTCTGATCAGAAGTTTACCTGACTTCATATGAGGGGAATTGTCTTATCTTCACGCAGAGAGGTGTTTTATCGGAGCAACGGATCTAATTTTACTGACATTGGTAAATTCTTGATATCACTGCAATCACTTTATAACAAACTTTATAGAGACATGTTCACATGTTTTTACAGCAATATAACTTGTAATGTAATGTATCGTATCATATCATATCGTATGTATTGCAATACAGGGGTTCTAAGCGATGTATTGCAACAGTGAAGATCCGGGGTAGAATAGGTCTTCAGCAACCCATGCTTGGTGACTAACGGGATCAGGCTCGCTGACTTGGTTGATGCAAATTATCGTATCCCAATTGTGTGGATCGATGCTCATGATGTCAATCACTAGATTGGCTGGTCCAGACTCGATTATTTACAGACCGCCATCCTTTGGCTGGAATACTGCTGAGTGCGGCATTAAACAACAAACAAATCATTATATCTAAAAAAACAACTGTGTGTTGAGCCCCACTACTGCGGCGTTAAATAACAAAGAAAGAAAAACCGAAAATAAGAAAAAGCGATGTATTGTATCATGAGCCTTGTGTCGCAACACAATACTGTACTGCTGTATTGTTACACCATGACACGTAGATAGTGTTTTGTCTCGTAGATAGTGATGTGTCTCGTAGATAGTGTAGTGTCTAGTAGATAGTGTTGTGTCTCGTAGATAGTGTTTTGTCTAGTAGATAGTGATGTGTCTCGTAGATAGTGATGTGTCTCGTAGATAGTGTTTTGTCTCGTAGATAGTGTTTTGTCTCGTAGATAGTGTTGTGTCTAGTAGATAGTGTTGTGTCTAGTAGATAGTGTTTTGTCTCGTAGATAGTGATGTGTCTCGTAAATAGTGATGTGTCTCGTAGATAGTGTTGTGTCTAGTAGATAGTGTTTTGTCTCGTAGATAGTGATGTGTCTCGTAGATAGTGATGTGTCTCGTAGATAGTGTTGTGTCTAGTAGATAGTGTTGTGTCTAGTAGATAGTGTTTTGTCTCGTAGAGAGTGATGTGTCTCGTAGATAGTGTTGTGTCTAGTAGATAGTGTTGTGTCTAGTATATAGTGTTGTTTCTGTTAGATAGTGATGTGTCTAGTAGATAGTGTTGTGTCTAGTAGATAGTGTTATGTCTTGTAGATAGTGTTGTGTCAGGTAGATAGTGTTGTCTTGTAGATAGTGTTACGTCTAGTAGATAATGTTGTGTCTAGTAGATAGTGTTACGTCTAGTAGATAGTGTTGTGTCTAGTAGATAGTGATGTGTCTAGTGGACAGTGATGTGTCTAGTGGACAGTGTTTGTTTGGTTTTTAATGCCATACTAACCAATATTCCAGCTACCTCACGGCGCCCTGTTACTCATCGAGTCTGGACCTGACAATCCTGTGATTGATATTGTAAGCAATGATCCATGCCATTACCAAGCCTGATCACCCAATTCATTAGGATGCCTCTTACGACAAGTATAGTTTGCTGGGAACCCGGATCCCAACACGGTTAGTTGATGTCTTATGGATAATGATGATTCTAGTAAATAATGTTATCTAGTAGATAGAGCATGTCCAGTCGATAGTGATCCAGTTGTCCCCTTACCAAGCATCTGATCAGCGAATGTACTTGCCAGTCGGGCATCACCGAGCATCACCGGGCAGATAGGATGTTCCGGATCTCCCTGAGAAAACACATGCACTGGTATGGATACGGGAGGATATGATAACTCACACACAATGTTAAGGCTAAAAACATTAATAGTCTTGCTTCTCAGGCACCGCCCGCATCATTATAAAGTCTGCCAACAAACTTGTTAGAACAAGCCAAAAATAAAAACCACCGCTCGCCCGCACTATATTTTCAAAAGTCATTGCCTGAGAACCAATTCTTTTATTTTTTTAAGCCTTTATATAAACCTTGAAATCCTGTCTCTTTCATTACGTAAATTAATACAGTTTTTACACTAGATATATCAATCCTGAAATATTCAATCATGGACAAGATTCATTATGGCAAGTACTGTATAAAGCTTTGATACAGTATACTTGAATTCCAGTACATGAATTCTAGGGTGGGATGAGTCCAAATTTACTACCCGGGTACCCGACACCCTGTTACCCGACCCTACACGGGTACCTGCTGTATGTCTCAAGAGTTGGGAACAAAATGTCTGATTGGGAATGGTTTTACTGCAGCCCTGGCAAAATCTATTTAGATACATGTATCAAACGATCAGATCATGCACACACTGAAGTTTGCTGAAACTTTATCTTTACTCTAACATATACAAGTCAAAAGAAATGTGAACATTAGTGACTTGTAGTGTAACCACTGAGCTATAGTGAGTTTTTGTCATTAAACAATATGTCCTGTGACTAACCACGGGTTCGGGTAGTACTGTGGGTACTCGGGTCCTACTCAGGACCCATCCGACCCAGGTACCCGAGTAACCTGTCCCAGCCCTAATGAATTCCATCTTCACATTGTGCCATGTCAACACGTCTGCATCAAGTGCTGACTGAGGTCAAGCCCTACTTACTGCTACGTTGAATCCTGCGTCCATCATCCTGGTGCGGAACCTGCTGGTGTTGGTCAGCACTTTCTGGGGGAGGTCAGTGTTAGCCATGATCAGATCCAAAGCCTGGAGGAACATACACTCAAGAATGTTAGAGGAAAACATTCAAAGCAGGACGACATATTTTAATTCCGGAACAACCCTAGAACACGTTTCTTGTTACACCAAGCACACCTAGGCTGTTACACATTGACTGTTACACTAAGGACACCCTGCCAGTTACACCCAAGAACACCTTGGGTATTACACATCGACTGTGACGCTAAGAACACCCTGCCTGTTATTCCCTAGGATACCGAGCCTGTAGCACCCAAGGACACCTTGCCTGTAACATCAAGGATACTGAGCCTGTAACACCCCAAAACACCTTGCCTGTAACATCAAGGATACTGAGCCTGTAACCCCCAAAACACTTTGCCTGTAACATCAAGGATACTGAGCCTGTAACACCACAAAACACTTTGCCTGTAACATCAAGGATACTGAGCCTGTAACCCCCAAAACACTTTGCCTGTAACATCAAGGATACTGAGCCTGTAACACCACAAAACACTTTGCCTGTAACATCAAGGATACTGAGCCTGTAACACCACAAAACACCTTGCCTGTAACGTCAAGGAGACAGATCCTGTAACACCCCAAAACACTTTGCCTGTAACATCAAGGATACTGAGCCTGTAACACCACAAAACACCTTGCCTGTAACATCAAGGAGACAGATCCTGTAACACCCCAAAACACTTTGCCTGTAACATCAAGGATACTGAGCCTGTAACACCACAAAACACCTTGCCTGTAACATCAAGGAGACAGATCCTGTAACACCCCAAAACACTTTGCCTGTAACATCAAGGATATTGAGCCTGTAACCCCCCAAAACACTTTGCCTGTTAGGTCAAGGAGACAGATCCTGTAATCCCCCAAAACACTTTGCCTGTAACATCAAGGATACTGAGCCTGTAACACCCAAGGACACCTTGCCTGTAACATCAAGGATACTGAGCCTGTAACACCACAAAACACCTTGCCTGTAACGTCAAGGAGACAGATCCTGTAACCCCCCAAAACACCTTGCCTGTAACATCAAAGGTGCTGAGCCTGTAACCCCCCAAAACACTTTGCCTGTAACATCAAGGAGACAGATCCTGTAACACCCAAAACACTTTGCCTGTAACATCAAGGGTGCTGAGCCTGTAACCCCCCTAAACACCTTGCCTGTAACGTCAAGGAGACAGATCCTGTAACACCCAAAACACTTTGCCTGTAACATCAAGGAGACAGATCCTGTAACCCCCCAAAACACTTTGCCTGTAACATCAAGGGTGCTGAGCCTGTAACCCCCCAAAACACCTTGCCAGTAACCCCGAAGAACTGCTCACCTTGCTAGCACAGGCCACTACTGGTGGGGGCAGAGTGTTGGAGAACAGATAGGGGCGTGACCTCTGGCGCAGGAGGTCGATCAACTGCTTCGGCCCTGTGGTGTAACCACCTGGAGATACAATCATCAGTGTCAGCGGTAGTTACAAGTTTCAGTTATAACCTTTACCCATATATGCATGACCCTACCCAATTGCACATCCTATATATGAATACCTAGAACCTACATACCCTTTTTTATACATACCAAGAACCTACATACACTTTATATGAATACCAAGAACCCACATACTCTTTATATGAATACCAAGAACCTACATACCCTTTATATGAATACCAAGAACCTACATACCCTTTATATGAAAACCAACAACCTACATACCCTTTATATGAATACCAAGAACCTACATACCCTTTAATGTGAATACCAAGAACCTACATACCCTTTATATGAATACCAAGAACCTACATACCCTTATATGAATACCAAGAACCTACATACCCTTATATGCATACCTAGAACCTACATAACTTTATATGCATTCCCTTAACCTGCCTACCCTTTAACATGGATAGCCCAACTAGCATTCCCCTTGCCTGCCACACCCCGGCTGCCCACTATCCTGCCCCTGAACATGTACACTGTCACCCCTGAAGCAGTGCCCTGCCCATCCTCCTGCACATGGTCACCCCTGAAGCAGTGCCCTGCCCACCCACCTGCACACCGTCAGCCCTGAAGCAGTGCCCTGCCCACCCTCCTGCACACCGTCAGCCCTGAAGCAGTGCCCTGCCGATCCTCCTGCACATGGTCACCCCTGAAGCAGTGCCCTGCCCACCCTTCTAACCCCTGAACATGTACGCCATCACCCCTGAAGCAGTGCCCTGCCCACCCTTCTAACCCCTGAACATGCCCACCGTCACCCCTGAAGCAGTGCCCTACCAGCTGCTCCTCCTAGAGCTTTGCCCAGGGTGGAGTTGATTATGTCCACTCGGTTGTTCAGGTTGAAATACTCCTCTGTGCCTCTGTGGAGTGAAACAGCAGCATCACGGTTATATGATGTCAAAGTTGAAAGAAAAACTAATAAAACTACTGCTACAGAAGCCAAAATATTCCAGTTGTTGAAATGTTATTTTCTCTGTTTAAACATGAATAGCATGACCTAATGCAGATATAGTGAGGTTAAAAATTTGACATTTCCAGCGTGACATTTGACATTTCCAATAAGCATGATAAGGAGTTCTTTATCAACCTTCCTCCTTTAAATATTTTGTCACAAAGTAGCTGATAAAAGTGCCCTCACCTGCCAGTCTTGCCAAAGAAGCCAGTAGCATGGCATTCATCTACAAACACCATGGCCTTGAACTTGTCAGCAAGGTCACAGATATCTCTGCAGGTGGTAATGAATGATAAGTTGTTACATAAACAAATGTATGCAATTGACAACTCAGAGAATTGGTAAATCAGTAACAACACAACAGTCAGCAAGTAACTCATTGGGGAGGTTCGTTGGTTGGTTTGTTATTTAACGCCGCACTCAGCAATATTCCAGCTATATGACGGCGGTCTGTAAATAATCGAGTCTGGACCAGACAATCCAGTGATAGATATCATGATCATCGATCCATGCAATTGGGATCGATGACATGCATCAACCAAGTCAGCGAGCCTGACCACCCGATCCCATTAGTCGCCTTTTACGACAAGCATAGTCGCTTTTTACGGCAAGCATGGGTTGCTTAAGGCCTATTCTACCCCAGATCTTCACGGGCCTCATTGGGGAGGTATGCCCAGCATCATGGAGGCAAAAACATTTATCTTGTTGTTGTTAAAGCCACACTCATCAACATTCCATCTATGGAGGCCTTTAAATAATTGAGTCTGGACCAGATGATTTAGAGATTTTCATCATAAGCAAAACGATTCCACCTCAGGGATTCAACCACACAATCAACCATGTCACTGAGCCAGACCACCCATTCAAGTAAGCTGTTTGTTACGACCAGCATACGTTGCTGGGATTTTAACCTTGAATGCCCATGGGACTGTCTTACATGCAGTGCCACTTACGGTAGGGGTGCGACATTTCCGTCCATGCTGAAGACGCCGTCAGTGATGATGAGCCGTTGCCGAAGCTTCTGGGTGGCTTGAAGCTGGCTCTCAAGGTCTATAAAAAACAACTGAAGTATTACCAACTAAGACAAAGCTTTGATTGATATTATGAGCAACGTCCCACGCCGTCAGTGTAGGATGTCACGCAATCAACCAAGTCACAAAACCTGACCACCTGATCCTAGGTTGCTGCATGGGGATCGATTCCAACCTGGAATCAATCTCATTCAAATCAGATCTTAGTTTTCGCTACAGCTAAACAAAGATCTGAGGACATCCCATAACGGGGTATGTCAGAACGACCTTTCGCGAACTTTAACCGACCAATGAAGTGACTGACAAGAAATCGACATTAGCCAATCAGAAGACAGCTTTCTCGAGCTTTACGACACAAGTTTCAAACTGGCGACTACACTTCGAAACATGTTTTGACGTATTCTCGATTAAAAAATTTAAAACTTATAAAAAGAACATTCTGGAATGGCTTATAGATAGCCTAGATTGTATGGATATAATAAAGAAAACCGTAACTGTCGTTTGACATACCCTGTGTTAATTTTTTCGAGGTGGGATGATTAGAAAACACATTCCGTCCGTCACTTTCATGATCTGGTAAGCGACGCTCTGATTGGTTGGATGAAAGGTCGTTCTGACGTGACCCGTAGTGGGATGTCCTAAGATGTTTTTTTAGCGATAGCGAGAACTAAGATCTGATTTTAATGAGATTGAACCTGGAATCTCCATGGGATCAAGAAAAGTTTACAAATGCAGCAAAAAGTATTGGGCTCTCTTTTTCAAGCAATCAGACTGCAGCAAACAAACCTATTTAATTTACAATGCCAGGGATTTTAATATCAACAATGGTTATTTGTTCAAAATTGCAGTTTGCTCTAAGTTCTTATTTCCTTTAGGTCAGAGGTATTTTAACATTGTACTGCAACGCTGATTAAATGCAATGTTGTAAACATATTATAGTGTCTTCCTCTTTAGTGGTGTGACTGATGGAAGGGGTCTTTAGGACAAATTGACTGATGCCTACATAGGCTATGTTGGCTGCATGCAATACTGGGGGATGGGGGATGGAGTAACCTGGTGGATGAAGCGTTCGCTCGTCACGCCGAAGACCCGGGTTCGATTCCCGACATGGGTACAATGTGTGAAGCCCATTTCTGGTGTCCCCTGCTGTGATATTGCTGGAATATTGCTAAAAGCGGCGTAAAATCATACTCACTCACTCACTTTATTGGCCCAGTCATACAACTATTTTGGAAATTTTAATTCAACTATGTGAATTTTTACTGACATCTGCTGCAATCTTGGGTCCAAATATCAACTTGTGAGCAGGTCAAGGTAAACCCCTGAATTCACATCATAAGAGTCCCTACCCTTGAGGTCCCTGTGCTTGTAGCGATGTCTCTGTGCCTTACACAGACGGATGCCGTCGATGATGGAGGCGTGATTCAGTTCATCTGAAATGGCGGCATCTTCAGGGGACAGTAACACTTCAAAGATGCCAGCATTGGCATCAAAACAGCTGATGTACAAAATGGCATCTTCCTTGCCATGGAACTTTGCAATCTTAGCTTCAAGGTCCTTGTGGATGTCCTGGAACACATCAGCATCACTGTAACCATGGTAACAGTGTTCAATCAAAGTTTTCACAATCCCAGATAAGGCTTGTAAAAATCAATTTCTTTTTACCTAAGCCCTCTCACCTAATATTTACAAAGTTTTAATCACTGTTAAAAAATGACTTTCAACTCAAATATTGTTCTTGCACCAGTTTCAGACTTTCTGCACGTTATGCCATACATGGTGCCAGATTCGCGGAGGAACCTAGTCATGGCATTGATTCTTCGAGACAAAGGGGCAACTGCCAAAAAGTGTCAATTGGTAAACTAGAGATGAGATATTATAATAGATTTCTAACATAGCAGAGTAAAAAGAAAAACAAGACGAAAAGTGAGCAGGGTTCAATAAGGCTTAAATAAATATAAGTATTGATTCTCAGGGAATGGTTTTTGATAATATAGTGCGGGCGTAGTCTTTTTTCCCTCTCCGTTGTTCAAACTAGTATGTAACCAAATAAACAATGTGTACAATCAACCTGGGAAAGAGTCTCACTACATAAATGTTTTCCTTGATGAGTAAAATACCGGAATAGAGAATTTGACCACCATTGGACTTGGAATATTAAAGGATTTTTTATTTATTTTTCAAAATGGAAATAAAAACCAAACATGTGGTGAACTTTATGTTGATGCGGGCGGTGCCTGAGAACCAAGACTATTATCTGTTTTCACCTAATACCCCCTACTTCCACTCCAACATATTTCTAAGTTCAAAACATGAAAAAAGCAAAATTTCTCAGAAAATCCACTTATCAAAATCAAATCAATCGGTTTGCAGTGTAACCCACACTTGAAAGGAATCCATAAAGTAGTTTTTAAGTTATAAATTGCACAATTGTTGAAGTAAAATAATATTCACAATAAAAATAAAATAAAGTTCACAACATGAAAAAAATTTCATATTCTTTTCAGAAATTGCACATATCAAATTAAGCTTTGCACTGCACCTATTCTATTAGTATGGAACTGTTCCCTAAATTTGAAAAGAATCTATCCAATAGTTTTCCAGTTGTGGGTCGCACAAATGTTTCAGAAAAATTTAAGTAAAAAAGAAAAAAAATGTATATTTTAGGAAAATCCAAATATTGAAATCAAACTTTGCACTGCACATCTCCTATGGGTGTAAAAAGTGTTCATCCAGTTTGAAAACAATCAGTGCTGTAGTTTTCAAGTTATAGGTCACATAAAAAAATACCTCCGAATGACTGACGGAAGTGAGTGAGTGAGTGAGATTTTACGCCGCTTTTAGCAATATTCCAGCAATATCACGGCAGGGGACACCAGAAATGGGCTTCACACATTGTACCCATGTCGGGAATCGAATCCGGGGCTTCGGTGTGATGAGCGAACGCTTTAACCACTAGGCTACCCAAACCGCACGGACGGACGGACGGAAGGATTTCCTAGGTATAATTACATACCCGTACCCTTTTAGGTCGGGGTATAACCAACCTCCCTTCCTACACATGTAGTTTTTACAAATGTCACAGGAAACAAGAATCTATTGAAACTGAGATAAACCGTGAGTAATACATCACTCCAACCTGCGTTCCACAGATGAACCGAACAGAGCTGAGACCAGCGCCATGCGTCTCTAGAGCTTTCTTGCCCGCTTCAATGACCTCTGGGTGACCCTTTAAAACAAATGCAACAAGCGTATAGTCGACAAAGTCATCTATATCCCCCGCCCATTTTAACATGTTATGGTCCCAAACCAGGTAACTGACCCAACATTTCTCTCAGCCCATGTCAAAATAGCTGCAATGGAAATTCTAAAATAAACATTTCTAAAACTCCTTGATATCAAATGGCACCAGTTCAGTATGCAATGTTTGGCAAGGAAATATTTAACAGTTTATTTGTTATACTCCATAAGTGAACCCACCCTATATTATAACTAAAATCCAACTTGTTGTCATGGAAACATAAACAATATAAAATTCTAAAAGTGCTAAATATCAAAAGGCACCAGTTTAGTATGTGACATGACCCGTAATGGAATGTCCTCAGATCTTTGTTTAGCGGTAGCATGAACTAAGATCTGATTTTAATGAGATTGACAATGAACACATTTTCATAACCAGATAGTATGATAATGGGATTAAATTGCGTACTTTAGTTCAGATTTGTTGACTGGTAATTTGCTACATGCTTGCGGTGAACAGCTGATAATGTTTTTTGAGATGGGTGGAAAAACATTGAGTCAGTGTAAAAATTGATTTTCTTAAATATGTAAGTATATTTTGGGAGCCATGCGTTATCGTGCGCTATAACTGTCTTTGCGCTATATTGAGGGGCGCAATAGCGAGGGAATACTGTATCTGATTCTCAGTTCTGTAGATGTAACATTTTACTGAATTTATGAGCTTGATTTTGGTTAAGTACATTTTAAAATAGGGCAAGTAACATTTTTCATAAATTTTCAACCCCTGGAGGTTGAACCCACAATCAGCTGATCCTGGTGCAATTTAGGGATGCTACTCTTTATGCCAAAAAAGGCTGTGTTTAAGATAAAAAATGATAATGAACAAATTAGGGTTTGTAAAGTCATCATAATAATCATGATGTAATGGCATCTCACTCACCGACAAACCTAAGTAATTATTGGCACAGAAGTTGAGGATATTACTTGACTGGCCTTGAACCCTGATGGAAGATCCCTGTCGAGAAGTGATGACTCGCTCTGATTTAAACGTGCCTGCATCTCGGATACCTTCCAGCTCTTGCTCCAGCAGCTCTCTGGTAGCAGACAAGGAAGCAGTTCCGCGTCCAATCACAAGGCTCCTTTGTACAAGGGAGCTAACTCCTGTCAAACCTGAGGAAAACAAATTTTATATTATACCTCATGAATGACAACAAATTCTGGGCTAAGTTTGTTTACCAAAAAGAAATATAGAGATAGGTAATTCACAAACTTGTGCCAACAAACTAAAAAAAATTGCAAAAGCATTATGTAAATATTTTACATACCGGTATATATTTCTTTTTGTGCATAAGCTTTATTCTGGATTATCATGATTATGATGTTACCTTGGTTTTTTTACCTTATTTTGTGTGGTGTGGTGTGGTGTGGTGTGGTGTGGTGTGGTGTGGTGTGGTGTGACTGATGGAAGGGGTCTTTAAGACAAATTGACTGATGCCTACATAGGCTATGTTGGCTGCATGCAATACTGGGGGATGGGGGATGGAGTAACCTGGTGGATGAAGCGTCGTCACGCCGGTTCTATTCCTGACATGGGTACAATGTATCAAGCCCATGTCTGGTGTCCCCCCTCCGTGATATTGCTGCAATATTGCTAAAAGCGGCGTAAAACCATACTCAATCAATACAATACTAGGGACCTCTCCATGACGCAGCTACTGTCACAGCTAATTGAGTACACAGGCATAGAGGCAGTGCTTGTAGTATTGGATGAGTGAGTGAGTGAGTTGAGCTTTACGCAGGTCTTAACAGTATTCCAGTTATATCACTGCGTGTCAGCTTAATGTGAGAGGAAAGCCTGAAGTGATGCAGGTCTGAGATGTTTACCACTTTGTTCAAACCCACAAGCACAAGTATCATGCTGACAAATCTATAGAAACATAATCAGGAGGTGAACCAGTATTCAAACCCATAATCATAGGTTCCTGGCACCCCCAAGGGATGCAACTCTGCAGAGAAAATTGTGGCACCAAAGAAGACTGGGCCACCTGTGCCCCCTTGGAGTTGAGGGACCAGACATACAATGACATAATACATGATGACCAATACGCATGTATGTTAAAGTATTTATTTATGTGTATACATATCACTTTATTAAAGGTTATTATGTATATAAAATAAGTATAAGATTTCACTGGTAGTTTCACTGGTATTTATGTTATTATGAAATCAACTGCTACTTTGAAATATATCATAACAATATTATATGACAAATTGGTGTTTGAATAACTTTGATCACACTTATTTGCCTTTAATATAAGTCCATTCGGGACAAATTTAATAATACACTAAAAAAATCCCAATCTCATTAAAATCAGATCTAAGTTCTCGCTGCCGCTAAACAAAGATCTGAGGACATCCCATTACGGGTCATGTCAGACAGACCTTGCCCGAACTTTGACCGACCAATGGAATGACCAATCAGAAGGCAGCTTTCTCGTGCTCTACGACACTAATTTCAAATTAGCGACTACGTTTCGAAACATATTTTGACAAATTCTCGATTAAAAATTTGAAACCTGAACTAAAGAACATTTTGAAACCGCTAATAGATGTTCTAGATTGTATGGATTCAGTCATTAAACCCTTAACTATCGTTCAGAATACCCCGTGTTAAAGTTTTCAAGGATGCATGATTAGAAATCACATTCCGACTGTCACTTTCATGATCTGGTAAGCGACGCTCTGATTGGTCGGATGAAAGATCGTTCTGAGGTGACCCCTACTCGGATGTCCTCAGATCTTTGTTAAGCGATAGCGAGAACTAAGATTTGATTTTAATGAGATTGAAAAAATCCAAAGGCATCAAATGTTAGCTTTGTGATGTAGAAAAGCAACATGGACAGATCTGCCTTGTAACATGTTTGAAAATAAGTACCGTATTCGACGTAATAAGCGCCCCCTCAAATAAGCGCCCACGGTGACATTTGCTGATATATTGGCTGGTGAACAATCCCAATTAGCACCCCTTCCGATTGATCAATGTACACAAGACTAATTTATTTGCATATAATACACAATCGTGTGCTATATGCACCCTTAATTATGGGCAATAAAATTCTGGAAAAATACATCTGTCGTACATAAACATTTCAGGCTGTCAGCATAACCATGAAATTTATCTTTAAACTCTGTTTTTTTCCCCAAAATATTATTCTAATAAGAGCCCCCTATTTCTAATTTTGAGAGCGCCCTGGGTGCTTATTATGTCGAATACGGTATTTTAAATTGATCTCCAATTAAATTGTCTTAAGGGGCGACTAACGGGATCAGGTGGACATGCTCACTGACTTGGTTGATGCATCCCAATTGCGTGGATCGATGCTCAAGATGTCAATCACTAGATTGTCTGGTCCACACTCGACTATTTACAGACCGCCGTCATATATAGCTGGAATATTGCTCAGTGCGGCGTTAAACAACAAACAAACAATTCAAAATTAAATAGGCCTATAACATCGACATCATATCCTTGAAAGAACGCCATATACACGAAAATGCATGCTAACATTGGTGAACTTGGGGTTAGGGGGAAAAATCGATAAGAAAGGCGAATGCTACTTGTGCACCTATCTTGTCTTTTCCTGTTAAACACACCGCTAATTCAGTCGTTACATTTCCACTTCACTTGATCGAATATGGAAGATATAGATACTAAATCTGAGGCATTTAATTTAACTCCAGAGTGTCACTTTATCATTGATTGCCAACGTGTAATGCAGTAAACCTGAATTGTCAATAAAGCCAGGAACGTTTTCAACGTTACATTTCTCGAATCTCACCTTTCCTTAAAACCTCCATGTTGTCGCCACAACTGCACACTGACGGTGACCTCACGTGTACCCAGTTTTGTAGATCTAGCCAATAAAATTACGAAGGTGTGTCCCGTGTAGCCAATCAATATTTTCTTTCGTTTCGTTCTAGATTTAGGGTAGCAAGTGCCCGTTTTTAATCTGATATTTTACTGTTACGGTTAACGGAGAACGTTTATTTCAGTAGTGTTAAATTCACAAATATACGGTGGCATTGACAGTTTTAGAATTAATGTGATGTATCACCTATTCATCAGAGTTAAGATTAAATTTATCTATAAATCAACTTTCGTATTTAATGTTCTTTTTAAATAATAGACGGAAGTGGGTGAAATAGCGGCAAAATTGAAAAATGGCGGAGATTGAGCGGACTGTGGAAGTCGCTACTGCGCTTCCAATTACCCTGGTTTCCGAAGGTGATTACCAATGTATTCCCGCGAAATCTTTTAAATTCGATGTACCTAGGATAAACTACATTTCCCATGTCGATACACGTTCTTATGTCCAGAATTTCATAGGATATGTTTCTCTCAAGTCGATGACAGCTTGTTTGTTGATAAATATTGACCAAACGTTGACAGATGATGAATACATTATGCCTCCCATGTATACGGAAATTGAACAGAATGTTTCGGAAAGACATATGCACATTTGTTACAAATTGCGAACCAAAGTCACAAGGAACCCTGAATTTACCACTACACAGGTCTCAGACACGTATTCTGATACTGTGCTGCAGGGGTTGTAGACCTAGGCCTAACACTTAGGTAGGAAAGGCTACAAACTAGGCCTAGTAAGATTGCTAAGAGGAAAGACTTCCGTCCGCCAGTATCCCCCCTTAAAAGTTATATATAATTTACATATAACATGTTTCTTCCAAGTATATATATATATTTGTGAAGGGGGGGGGGGGGGGGGGGGGGGGGAGATTACAGAAGGCAGAAGTCTTATCGTCTTGGGTGCTGACTATGTGGTTTCCAATATTTTCATGAAAATGTTCTGTCACTTGACTATATATACGGTATATATATATGTAAAACACTTTGGCCAAGATGGCGAGTGACGTACCTTGTCTGTTTATATGGACCTACATTTAACAAAATCTTATATAGCCAGGACTTGCTCCTTTCAAAAGTTAGCCCTTCTCCAAACTAACTGACCTAAATGTTGGCAACAACTGAGTTACCCAGGGGGTCACCAACTTCTCACCCCTAAAATGTTATTTCCTTCACTCTGAGATTAAATCTTGGCTTCTCTTTCAGTCTCTGCCTCATTTTGTGGCGATTGTACGAGCCAATAAAGATGTTGTTGTACAGAAGATTATAAAGTGACAGCCAGTTGTGTCATTCTACCGAGATGATCTTTGAATTAACCATTCACACAACTTCATCCCGAAAAATATTTTCTCATCAAACTTACATGATTCATGAGCAGTGTCCATTTAAAAAAATGAAACAGACAGAGAAGGGGTGGATTTTGAATAGCCAGACAGGCCATCTACTTTATGTTACAGTAAGCTTTCTTAATTTTAACTGGGTCCTGTGTTTCAGTAATATCACTATCCTGCTTCAGGGGCCTGTGGGGAAAAAGAAGTTTGTCACTGCAACATGTGCAAAGTTGTGTCTGACAATTCAGTCATTTAATGCCCAGTCAAAGACAAAGGAACCATATAATATATTTAAGGCTACAATTATTTGAGTTAACCTTTTCACACTTGCCTTTTTACATGAAATTGCTAATGAAATATTTCTGTAGCACTTGCAGTCTGAACAAGTAGAACTTGTGAATGTTGTTAAACTCATGGGGCCAAGTGAGCGTGCTGGTTGAGCATGGCCACAGTAGGGTTGGGGTGATACACCAACTGTGCAATCTCATATGTATCACGATACCTTGCTCACAATCTGATACGTATCTGCATCATGATACTTGCATGTCCTCTTATCTGAGATGCATAAGCCATCTTTTTCATAGACAGGATTGCCAAATACCTGGCACACTGATGATTTACAGTTGACAGTGTCAACATGGTCAAGTATGGCACAATGGATGATAATATTTACAACTGTGGTCAATATTAACCATCGTGATCCACTGATACATTGATGTATCTTACCACTATTAATGGCCAGTCATGATGTTTCTTCAAAATTTATCTTTAGTTGTAAAAAAACATGTTAACTCATTCCAGACTGGGTGAAGAGTGTGTGGGACAATGACTTCACCGAGATCGACGCCCTATCAGAGGACATCAGGGAAGAATTCCAGTCCAGTAGTTATTTCACAACACAGCTGGAGGAGTTTAAGTCACTTCTATCTGACTGGCTGGTGCAGAAAGAAGTCAACACAGGAGAGGGTAAGGCTGCCATTATATAAGTGAGCATGCTAAGTCATCATCCATATCTTAAGATGCCATTCTTATAAGCATTGCTGAAACTTTTGTTAAATTCATAAAAATGACCACTTAGTTTTGGCATTAAACAAAAAGCAAACACGACACTGTGACGACAGGCTGTATTTTCTTGTGTATATTACAGATTGTTTTACAGAAAAAGCAGCAGTATGAAAGTGGCATATCATGATTATAATTGCCTAGTGTTCTTGAAGAAGGTTGTTTGTCCTCTACCACTCAATCTCTGACATTAGTGACAAAGACGTTAAGTTCTCAGGGTCAGTGTTCTAGCTGGCTTTTGAAACTGCCAGTCTTTGCCAGTATTCGATTAGCAAATCAGCAACTTATTTTGAAATTATAAACGGGCATTCTGTCAACCTTGCCAAACTCCACGATGACAGTTACATCATGATCATTTGCCATCACACTTTCTTGTGGAAGTATCGTGGTATTTTTGAGTCCTATAAAGCTCTCGAACCCACACGACACCAGTTTGCAGGGACTAGACGAATAGTGTTTTTAAATATGTAACTTAAATACCCACATGTGTAAACGCTAGTGGGTAACAGAAATTTGAATACCCAGATGGAATTACTGATACCCAATGATTTTAAAATGCATGGGTAAAATACCCACAACACCAAAAGCTTATCTGGAGCTCTGGTTATCACCAAATAATTTGAAAAACAACTTTGCATATTTTGCAGTCAGTCATGACCACTGAAGCTGAACCAGTCTAAAACCCTGTAGTTGCAGTATCTAACCCTGCTTATTCCCACTCACAGGGATCTGTTTCAACAAAGTAGCATACAAAGGACCCTTGCACAAGAATACCAATGACCCGTGAAGATCCGGGGTAGAATAGGTCTTCAGCAGCCCATGCCTAACGGGATCGGGTGGTCAGGCTCGCTAGCTTGGTTGATGCATATCATCGTATCCCAATTGCGTGGATCGATGCTCATGATATCAATCAATGGATTATCTGGTCCAGACTTGATTGTTTACACAGACCGCCATCAAAAAGCTGGAATATTGCTGAGTGCGGCTTTGAACAACAAAACAAACAAAAGAATACCAACAAGATATTTCATTTATTTCTTCTGACAACAGATGTAACTCCAACTTACAGGTTTCTGGACTGTGCTGGTGGAGAATGATGTTTCCGTGAAGGCCATCATAGCTGTGTTGGGATATCTCATAGATAGTGGTTGTAAGGTATGAATCCACTGGTACTAGAACTAGAAGTAGTTGCAGTATATTCTTCAGATAATGATTCATAAAATGTTTTATTGACATCTAAGACGCCTCAATGAGCTGTGCAGAGTTGCATCCCTTGGGCACACCAGAATCATATGATTGTGGGTCCGAATCCCAGTTTGCCCCGATTATGTTTCTGGCACCATGCTCTTACTCGTGGGTTTTACGAAAGTAGTAAGCGTCTAAGACCTACATCAGTTCAGGCTTTCCTCCCACGTAAAGCTGACACCATGATAAAAGTGAAATTCTGATCAAAGCAGCGTTGAACTCAACTCACTCACTTGATTGACACCTGTGGTAACTTTCTTTGAAATTACGGGGCGTCTTTTTGTCAGTTTTTAGTTATCCATCATGTCCATGGAAGTACAGTAAACTACAGTTATAACGAACTCAAAGGGACCACCAATTATAGTTCGTTATAACCGTAGTTCCTTATAATCATAAACACTGTATGTATCAGCGTTAGAAATTGGCACTTGTCCTATAGTCCTTACCAAACTGCCAAATAGTAAACATGGTAAAGGTATCCTAAGGACTAGTAGAAATTCGCCCATTTTAAGGGTTTTGCTATATGTTATCATTATAAGGACTAGTGGACAAAAACTGTTAGTTTCTAACCCTGTGTATACAGCAAATGAACGGGATAAAAAACACAGTTTGTTATATCCGTCAGTTCATTTTAAGCGTGCTCGTTATAAAAGTAGTTAACTGTATTTGAACTAAAGGACTACCTCGAATTTTAACTTTTTAATCTATGCATGATTAGGGTTATCGGGCCCTTAACTTTGATTCTTAATTTTAAGCAAAGGTTACCATGGTTACTTGAAGGTATTCATGCAGTAGATGTAATTGTAGTTATGCTAAGCTAATACAGTATTTGGGGGATGATATGGATGATTCTCTCAGAATTGTTTTTTAAATGTCTGTTATATTATCCTGATTATCATGTCCTGTCACCTCCACAGTTAACATCCAACTCTGAACAGAGAGCAGCAGCTATCTTGTCTGCTGCCACCTATTTCAAGCTTGTCAGTGTGCCAGGTAAACAGTTGGTTACTCTTGCAAGTTCCACCTCGGCTCTCTTCCCCAAAGTTGTCCATGGGAAGGCTATTGTCAGATATGTTAAACTACAGCAGCTATCATCATCATTATGCTTGTATCGAGATGACAGTATGATTATCTTGTAGCCCATGTTTATACCTCGGTTTATTGATGGACATCATCATGATCGTAATGATGGACGATGTCTTGATAAGGTTTAAAATTTGTAGACAGCCAGGCGAGACCTTGAAGTTTGTGTGGTCCAGACATGATTATTTAGTTACAGACCACCGTCATATACATGATATAGCTGGTGCGGCGTCAGGCAACAAAACAACTTTTAACTTTGCATTCCTGTGTAATCTGATTGGTCAATATGAGGGACATAGTAGGGACATAACTTGCAATAGCCTCTGATGGTGCTTCAATCGAGCCTGGAAATTCCAGTCTAGTTTGGCAAAGGTGGAAACTGGACTTTTAAAGTCAGTTAACACCCTTGCCTTGGGAAGATGCAATTGGAGGAATGTTGTTCACTTCCATTTTAATTATTAGAATAATGAACATAGTAAGCTTCTAGAAGTTTCGTGGTGTGATCGTTAATGTAGACGATAGAGGCAGACAAACTTAGCTAGGTTAGGTACATCAACATATTAAACATTAGCTTTGAACTTGGATCAGGGATTACAAGCTGTTCCATGCAGTAGTGTTTCAAACTGTGTTTCTATTACCAGGCAGCGGCGCCTTCAAGGTGTACAGTCCAGAGCTGTTCATCAAGGCTGTGGATGTCTTCAAGCTCTGGAATAAACTCGGTTAGTATTGTCTTCACTGTCCCTAGATCGGGGAGTTGGGTTGCCCAGTGGACTTAAAGGTCCATGTTTGATTCCACACATGGTATGGTGTGTGAACAGTGAAGTCCATTTGTCATGTTTGTGGTGTTCACAGTTGTTATATTGTTGGAATGTTACTAAGAGCGGCATAAAACCACATTCACTCACTCACTCTTTACCCAAAGATAAGAAAGGATGAGATATGTTAACTAAGTATCCTATTTATATGCCTATATTTAATTTTGTTTCATAAATTTTCACATTGTAGTACATGATATATAATTCCAGAAACACTTACAAAGGAAGATGCCAGAATTGTTTATTAATAACCTTGTATAGCATGATACAAAGAAGGGGTCTGAATTACTTCTTTTGTTGTATTTTACAGGCCCCGGACTAGTACAAATTCCTGTCCTACAAATTTCGAAATTTCCTCATTGCCTTAACATTACAAGGGCATTTTATCTTTACCTGGACTAGTAAAGGTTTTGAGTTTAGTTTTAACCCTGTTCTACAGGCCATGTTCCATGTCTCTACATTGACAGTGGTGTTAGAAGTTGTCATGCATATTGTCAATGTCAGTCAGTATGTAGTGTGCACTCTTTCCTTCTTTTCAACTGCCCCCCTTCACCTAAATATGATGATGCATTCCAGGAACATGCAAAAGGAAACGAGCTTCGCCATCAGCATCAAGGAGCCAGAGCAGCCAAAGCAGCCAGAGGAGCAGGAAGGGGCGTGGCGCCAAGAGAGGCAGGAAGACTTCGGCAGAGAACACGGTCGGTCACCCGTGGTTGTGTTCAAAACTCATTCATAGAGTGTAGGATGTGTTGTTTAAACTTTACACTGTCAGTCTGTTTTTCAAGGGTATGATAGTTGGGAAGTCCTGTGGTTAAAGTATACACTTGTCATGCCTTCGTTTAAATTGCCAAAACACACAGATTCAACTGCTTTATTTTTATTTTTCATAAATTCACTCATCTGTATGAATCAGTTTGATGTCTCTCAATTGCTCCATTTGATTTAAGCAATCTTTGATTTAAGGCAATCGTAACTACCACTGCATTAGGATACATCCTTGCCATTGTCAGGAAAAATAAGATAGTTGTGTGCACAGTCGTGCATGACAGAAGGATGTTGACACTAGCATGTGTTGCAGTAGCTTCGGGAGGTCTCCCACAAACATCTGTAAAATGTAAGACCTGATATCAACATTTGTATTGTATCATGGATTGTAATATAACTTCAGCACTTCAACATCTCTGAGTTCCCTGATGACGATGAGGAGGAGGGGGTGGAAGAGGAGGAGTTGACACCGAGGGAGGTGGCTCGCTTCCACGCCATGATGAAGAACCTGCTTCAGGTCAGTCGCAGACAATGATGGTTGGGTCACATCACACCCTGATGTTATGTTGGGTCACATCACACCCTGATGTCATGTTGGGTCACATCACACCCTGGTGCCATGTTGGGTCACATCACACCCTGGTGCCATGTTGGGTCACATCACACCCTGGTGCCATGTTGGGTCACATCACACCCTGATGCCATGTTGGGTCACATCATACCCTGGTGTCATGTTGGGTCATATCACACCCTGATGTCATGTTGGGTCACATCATACCCTGGTGTCATGTTGGGTCATATCACACCCTGATGTCATGTTGGGTCACATCACACCCTGATCTCATGTTGGGTCACATCACACCCTGGTGCCATGTTGGGTCACATCACACCCTGATGCCATGTTGGGTCACATCACACCCTGGTGCCATGTTGGGTCACATCACACCCTGATGTCATGTTGGGTCACATCACACCCTGATGCCATGTTGGGTCACATCACACCCTGGTGACATGTTGGGTCACATCACACCCTGATGTCATGTTGGGTCACATCACACCCTGATGTCATGTTGGGTCACATCACACCCTGGTGCCATGTTGGGTCACATCACACCCTGATGCCATGTTGGGTCACATCACACCCTGGTGCCATGTTGGGTCACATCACACCGTCATGTTGGGTCACATCACACCCTGATCTCATGTTGGGTTACATCACACCCTGGTGCCATGTTGGGTCACATCACACCCTGGTGCCATGTTGGGTCACATCACACCCTGATGTCATGTTGGGTCACATCACACCCTGGTGCCATGTTGGGTCAAATCACACCCTGGTGCCATGTTGGGTCAAATCACACCCTGATGTCATGTTGGGTCACATCACACCCTGATCTCATGTTGGGTCAAATCACACCCTGGTGTCATGTTGGGTCACATCACACCCTGGTGTCATATTGGGTCACATCACACCCTGATGTTGTGTTGGGTCACATCACACCCTGATGTCGTGTTGGGTCACATCATACCCTGATGTCATATTGGGTCACATCACACCCTGGTGTCATGTTGGGTCACATCACATCCTGGTGTCATATTGGGTCACATCACACCCTGATGTTGTGTTGGGTCACATCACACCCTGATATCGTGTTGGGTCACATCATACCCTGGTGTCATGTTGGGTCAAATCACACCCTGGTGTCATGTTGGGTCACATCACACCCTGATGTCATGTTGGGTCACATCACACCCTGATGTCATGTTGGGTCACATCACACCCTGGTGCCATGTTGGGTCACATCACACCCTGATGCCATGTTGGGTCACATCACACCCTGATGTCATGTTGGGTCACATCACACCCTGATGTCATGTTGGGTCACATCACACCCTGATGTCATGTTGGGTCACATCACACCCTGGTGCCATGTTGGGTCACATCACACCCTGATCTCATGTTGGGTCACATCACACCCTGATGTCATGTTAAGTCACATCACACCGTCATGTTGGATCACATCACACCCTGATTGCATGTTGGGTCACATCACAACATGTCTGGTCACAAGACTACCGTGATGAAACTGAAATACTGCTCAAAACAATGTTAAACACGGCTATTGTTGTATCTTATTATTAAAACATTAAGATTACACTGAAATGAAATTCCAGATGCATGACAATATTTTATTATGTCGCAGGACCTTGTTGCTCTACTGGAGACATTCTCTCTCAAGTCCTCGGAGTCGACAGCCCATCACACCATAATGGTTCTGGCAGAGATATCTCGGATGGAAGGGGATCTCATCACCACACAGTTTGGCAGCTGGTAAGATATCCTTGATTACCTCGACTTTCATATCTCCATGGACCGCCTCCGTGGTCTTGTGGTAGAGCGTCCGCCTGGAGAGTGGAAGGTCCGGCGTTCGATCTCCGACCCAGTCACACCAAAAGAAGTTAAAAGATGGTTGTTGTTGTTACCCTGTCTGGCGCTCGGCATTAAGGGTTAGCCTAAAACAAGGACTGGTCGGCTCGGAGTCCGTATACTGTGTCTGAGTGGGGTATCCATGCGAAACTGTGGCGTATCTCAGTGAGCTAGCACTATAAATCGGCATCACTTCGGACTAGTACAAGCGGCCACACACACAGGTGCATGCACGTCGCTATATAAGTGCAATAATCTTGGACAAGTTGTTAAACCCCATTTCACCTCACCTCATCTCTCCATACTGTCATGATAAATATCATGGACCCATTTGCCCCCATAGCACCCTGAGGGGATTCCAAATTAAAATATGTCCACTTATCACAGAAATCATGTGTTCAGCGTGTAGGTCGACTGGCATGACAACGTGCCTGACCCAGATTGTTGGGAGGTGACTATAGTGATCCTAGGCGTGTTCGGGTGTATTGTTTTTTTACAAGCTGGAAACCTTTGTTTAGTCATGTTTAAAGAAGAATGAGAAATGAAAATAGGATAAGTATACAAAAACACAATTTATTGTAAAATTTACAATTCTGCTCAAGTTCATATCAGGATTTTACACGACGGTCAAATGTAGAGAATTGACACAGAAAAAAAATAATACTGTGTCCTCTGTAACTCACAATAACATTCATAACATACTACAGCGCATCAAGAGCAGTTATGGGTGTCTGTTATTTCACCCATCAATCATGACCACTGTAAAGTAATTATCTAAACGTACACTACACCATTTCATTAATTTACAGGACTCTCATATTGCCTGAAAGGACCCTTAAAATTAATTACTGGGGGTCCTCTGAACCCCCACTTTTGTAAGTCAAGGTAAAACCCTGCATATCTTAGATTAGTTCACATGTGTTGACCTGACCCTTGAAGATCCGGTGTAGAATAGGTCTTCAGCAACCCACGCTTGCTGTAAAAGGTGACTATGCCTGTCACAAGAGGCAACTATCAGGATCTGGTGGTCAGGCTCGCTGACTTAGTTGATGCATGTCATCGTATCCCAATTGTGTGGATCGATGCCCATGATATCAATCACTGGATTGTCTGGTCCAGACTCGATTATTTACAGACCGCCATCATATAGCTGGAATATTGCTGAGTGTGGTGTTAATCAACAAACCAACCAACATGTGTTGACCTATTTTTCTTAGTTTTCTGCTCACTGTCATGTGTTACAGGCCCAGACCAAATCATATGTCTCCTGCTTGCTTGGCGTACAAGGTAAGACATTTCTCAATAAATATTCCATCATTATTACATTACACGTTTCATGGGTAAACTGAGGCCTGTCTATAACTCACAGAAATAGCGACTATAAAGCGCTACAAATTGAGACAAAACCACAGAGCAGCTGTATGTATTCACAGGGGATGGAAGAACGTAGTGTATTCAAACTGAAGTATTGATCATGATCAAACTACAGGGATGAGAATCTTCCGCAATTTTTAGTGACCACAAATTTGTTAAAATCTGATGGCTTCCCCCATAGACACCCCCAAATTAGGGACCACGCTCCATTGCAAATACGTTTCCATTCTCCTCCCTGAAACTATTTTTAGTCCTCAGGACCTTTCATCTCCCAATTTCTTTCGGCTTTTAGATCCACGGTAAATTGGGAGCACACATCATACTATTTTCTAAAATATATATTCCAAGATTCAGCTGTGAGTGTGAGTCAAATGTTGACCATCCATCTATCAATTACATACTAAATGTGATGCATCTCTTGTGGACACAGTGTTTATGTTCATGAGAGACCTCGTTCCTCTAAACCTGCATCCTCTATATCTCCAGGACTTGCATTTCAGTAAACCTACACAACCCCTGGATCCATCCCTGTGGTTCTCACAATCTCAAATTTTACCCGTCCTTGATTTCCTTTAGCCAAGTTGATTGGCTACACTACTTGGTCTAACGTACCAATCAGAATGCAAGATACCAACTAGTCTCTATGTTGGCTTGGCGATATCAAGAACATCGTTGCCAGTCCCACGGATTACAATAGTGTTTGCGAGAACTTCAATGTCGGAAAAACTGACTGACACACAAATTTGTAATGAAAAGGATGTCTTCGTGCCCATCAAAACTGGCAGGGGCTTTGGTTTCTAGGCAATACGAGTTACACCTCACCCATTTTCTTTTTCTGTATCTCAACATTTGATTGGTCATTAAAATGTTGATGAAAATCAAGGGTGGGTAATTTAAGATTGAGAGAACCACAGGGATTGGTCCAGGGGTTAGTGTAGGTAACAGGAGATATAGAGGATAAACTTCTTGTTGCTTGTTTCCATGCCAACTGATTTCTTTCTTCAGGGGATGACTGCCATATGCTCTCCTCTCCACGGTCATGTTGTTTCCATGACAACAGCAGTAAGTACATTGCTTTACTAGTAGGCTTAACAAATGGGCCATCCTAGATTATCCAGTGAATCTTATGTCCATTCTGTTAAACACATCCCTGACACATTTGCTACCATATCTTCGTTTTGAGACGTTTTGGATGGCACAAGGCTAAATTTAGCTCTCTCAGTTAGTGTTTTTTTAGGGATCCAAGCAGCTCCAAACATGAGTATATTAGGAGCCAGACAAAACCAAACCAACAGATATCTTAAACAGATATTGGTGCCAGTTATGTTTACTTTTAGGTAACCAAGTGGCGAGCAGTTTATCAATTTAGGTCGCCAGTCATGGATTAAAGTCGCCATTTGGTTAGCAAAATGGTTGTTATTTAGAAGGCTGCTGAGTCTGGTTATCAGCTTCAATGTATACTAACCTCTGATTGGTTCATCTCAGGGATACGACCAATCGTAGTAGAGGTTACAGTCAATGAACTACCTCTACCAAAATGGTAATCAACAGCCCCTCTGGCTTGTCGAGAGAAAATATTCTGAAGATGACACTGACAGTATTTATCAATATCGTAATAACTGAACGGATAACTAGATAATACCCTGGTTTATCAAGGATGCAGTGTAACCATGGAGTTTTATTGTTATTTTCATTAAATATAATATCAAGTGACTAACCTTCGGTCTGGGTAGTCCTGTGGGTAACGGGGTCCTACTCAGTACCCACCCAAGTTACCCGTCCCTGTCCTAGTGTTTAAACATGGAAACCATGGTAGGAAGACTTCAGTTTAGGAAAAAGAATTCTAGTCTTAATAGCTGCTGCAGTTTGATACAATGGGAGGCCTGCAGACATGGAAGTTTGCTACAAAATTGTGGCCATTTAGGATTTCCTATTTCTAACATTTTGTTATTTATAAAGAAAACAGTGTGAAATAACAAAATCAAACGTGATCAGATGTGATAGAAACATTTTGATGTTTACATCTGGGCACACAGGAAAGAAGTGATATTTTCCTGCCTTGCACTTAGGCAGTTGCATTTCCTGTGAAGGATAGGGTTATCCTCACAACTAATAGACATGTTGGCAATGAAGAGGACATCTGTTGAAAATTTAAAAGATTTTACAATGATTGGCAGCCAGAACAGGAATATATGGCTATGGTGTAATAGTGTTAGTAGTCTTAGCTAGTACACAATGATGACCATTGTTTAACAATTTGTTATTTATAAAGAAACTGTAAGGTATCCAAAAGTTTCCTTTTTTGGATGAAGCCCACATTCAGGATGTGTGACATAAGGCATAGTTTTGACATTGACGTGTTCCAGACGTTCAAGTACCTGCTGCAGAATGTTCTGATGTTGATCGGCAACAACAAGTCTGTCATAGCTCAGAACATCCCTCGGCCTGTTGTCAACACCAGGGACAATGCTGTCAAGTTCATACGGTATGTTCCGATGACTTCAACTATGCTAGCTAGTAAATTATTTTTAATTTCACTTGTCTGCGAAAAGGAAGGTTTGAAAGTGACATGTCCACAAATATAATCATACTCTTAAATATGCCTCGAATATGGTGTTTCAAATTTTGCAGGGCTTTATCTAGGATTCCAAACTAAGCGCTCTTGGCAAGCAAATTGGGACAAAATCATGATATTGTTCATATTTTTTACTTATCCTGCATTACTCCTTAATGCATTCACTGCTTACTTACGACAACTAGAAGGACAGCGCTGCGAAGGTCCTGGGTGAAGAAATAAAGTTGTTGTTCTCAAGTCCCAATCAGTGGCCTTCCGTCGCTGTCCTGTGACCTTGATGACACCTAAGGTCATCTTCACATCACTGCTTGTCGCAGCACAGCTAGGACGTGTCCAAGCGGAGCTCTCCTTTTGGATTAATTTTAGACCTTCAGTTTGTCTACAATCTTAAAAATTGATCTGCGATGGGTGATGTATTCTTTTCATATTACTTTCACCATGTTGTGTAGTTTTATGTGAATTAATTAGGCGTGAAAAGACGCTTGTCTTTTTTCCCGCCAAAATATTGTTGTTCGCCGCCATTTTGAATTGTGTTACAATCGTTTGCCTGCCAAGGTAGTCATATTGTTTACAATTCTCAGCTACGTATGTATAACATATTCTTATGTTCTTAAATATTACTAGCTTTGGCGTAACAGTGAGTTGCGTATACTAAAATTATTGTATACTTTTTCAACTCGTTAAAAATATGGTTGCCGATAGATTAATATCAAATCTACGGCTTTCTTCCAGTCCCGCTTCATCAACAATTCTTTTATTGCGTACCTATGTTTATGCGATTAAATAGTTTTTTGTTGGTATTTTTGGTTTTACATTGAGTTGCGTATATGAACTATTGTATACTCTTGCAACTCGTAGTTTTTGCCGATAGATTATTGTTCAATTCTATGGCATTCTTCCAGTACCGCCTCATCAACAATGGCGTAATTGTGTTTGTTTAAACATATTTTATTGACATATATGGTCAACGGGATTGGGCAAAAGTTATCCAACTTAGGTGGCCCTTTCCCTACTCTATATGTACAGACATTGAATATACATATATATATGTAATTGTGTAACTTATGATTGAGCGTGGTATTAATTGTCGTGGGAAAAATCTTACAAAGATTATCATCCACGTTGTTTGGTTTGCGCGCAGATGTGCTCTCCAAACCCTAAATGAAAATATAAATACCCTTGGTTTACATTGGGTTGCGCATACAAAAATATTGTATATCCTTGCAACTCATAAATTTGCCGATAGGTTAGTGTTCAAATTCTTCGGCACTCTTCCAGTATTATCTCATCAACAAGGGTTTCATTGCGTAACATACCTTTGAGCATTTTACTAATTGTCGTGGAAAACACCTTACAAGATTATCATCCACGATTGGTTGGTTTGCGCGCGGATGTGCTCTCCAATCTCTAAATGTAAATAGCATTGGTTTACATTGAATTGCGTATATAAAAATATTGTATACCCTTGCAATTCGTATTTTTGCCGATAGATTACTGTTCAATTCTACGGCATTCTTCCAGTACCATTTCTTCAATGGTTTAATTGCGTAACATAATTATGTTTGCTCGGTGTACATATTGTCGTGGAATAATCGCCCAAAGCTCTTTATCCACGGTCATAGGCATGCACGTAGATGTGCTCGCCAAAATTCAAAATGTAATTTTTATGTAAATCTCTAATCCAACGAGTTTACTATATAAAAGCAGATTACTCACAATCATATTTTGCAGTTATTCCGTCGTGAGACGAGAGGAATGTCACTATCGCAGAATAGCGAATGACATATGGTTCTGTCATTACCACCCAACCGTTATTATCGGCAGGTATTATGACGACTGTGATTGCAGAAGTACACCATCCACCGAAATCAACAATACCGGAGGATTTTGTGAGTATCGTAACTGCTCCTATTTTTTCAGCCGCCGGACACTTCCAGATACATGTATGATAATCTGTGACGTCGGCGACAGCACCAGCACCAGCGTAACGAGATGCTATGATGGGGGTAGATTAGACGCAAGCCTTGATCCAGTCAATACTTTTGAGCTTTGTGTCTGATTTATCTGCGCCGAGCGCAGCACTTGACTACAACCCAAGCACTTCTATTACGCAAGCGGCGCACGATCAGCTTAGCGCTGTTCCAACATATCCAGCATAGACCTGCGCTGAGCGCAGCGTCTGACTGATACCCAAAGCGCTCCTATTACGCAAACGTCGCACGATCAGCTTAGCGCTGTTCCAACATTCCAGACCTGCGCTGAGCGCAGCGTCTGCGTATCAATCAAGGTCTCTACAATGACGTTAGCCCAAGGCTTACAGTGTACTCTGTTACGTAACCGGCACATGATCAGCTTAGGACATGTACCCGATTGGGAAGCAGACCATCTCGTGTCAGTAACGCCCTCCCCTGATAACAGGGTAAATAAGAGGGACACCACGAGGTCATTGGAGGAAGCCTTCTCCAAAACTCACATTTGCTCCGTGATTTAAGCGACCAATATCGTCAATGTTTGCAGTGGATCAGAATCTATTAGAGGATAACCCTATCTGATTAGATCACTTCCAAACTATGGTGTTTTTCCTACAGCGTCAGTTTGACCACAGGAAAATTCATCTTGAGACCGTTCTGACGGTGATTACCGTTACACCCAAGACTTTATAGCGTTTCCAACTGAGATGCTGGTTTCAAGGGCAGTCTATTACGTCAACCTTGATCATCTACTCCCCTGTTCAACGAACAGATCGCAGACACGCACGTCAAGTTCCCAAAAATCTTGGAAAATCCAAGTCAGGGAATTATAAGCCTAGACGCGCGTTTCTCAGGGAAGACCAGCATTCCCTTACTGAGAAAGGGAGTGGCAGAGACAAGTCTCAAGGACGATTTCGTACTTATCGCACTATATCATGGTGTCCGTATAAGGGTAGAGTTAACCCCACCGTTGACCACAGTTTGATTGGGAAAATCCAACATTGACATACTGTTGGTAAGAAGAGCTGTAGAGTGGGTTCACAACGCAGTATTTACTCCGGGGTTTTATCCTCGCACCTACCTGGTACTCATGAAGGACCCAGACAAGATGAGAATGATCCACAATCTCTGTGTTCAACGAACGTTTGATTCTTCATCAGTCTCGACTATCCATCCCAACCGTAGACTTTTCAGGTCCAGTTCATTGGGGTTCACTACCAATGGTAGTATTTCCCATTTGACATGTCAGTTACACTTATGGCTATTTACAGGAGTAATGAAGCCAATAACTATCTACACGTGACGAACACTTGGTTCGAGTCGTAGATGGAGGGCGATCTACTGTATCATCAACACATGTCAATAACTGGGATAGACAATCAACGAGGCGAAGTCGGGAGTATTCTCCTTCCTATTGACTTCAGTTCATAGGAGACCTGTTTAAGACAGACCAGGATATCCTATCTGTACCGAGGGACAGATGGCACAAGTTTCTACTTCTTTTGTCATCTACTCTACACCAACCACACACACTTCGCCAGTGGCAAGTGTTGCTAGGGTTAATCACCTCGGCACAGGAGTTAACTAGCATGGGCCGCTTACAACAGCGACCAATTCAATTTTTTCCTGAACCCTTACATCAGGAGTCAGGATCCACTCAAGGCCATCACTCTACCGACTAAGCTAGAGCCTTGCCTCAATTTGTGGCGCTGAATGTCTGCGGAGTTTGTTTATTCGGGTTTTCCCCGAATACACACCTGTTTGTGGACGTCCCCTTTCAGGGGTGGAGTCTTCACTTACAAGACCAGATAAGCTCAGGGCTATGGCCCGGCGCACAATGGAAGTGGCACATAAACAACTTGGAGTTGGAAGCTTTAATTCTGGCTATATCACATTGGCAGAATCAACTACAGTTAGCCCGACTCGCTATATCCACAGACAACAGCACTGCGGTGTGGTGCCTGTGCAATCGGGGAACAACACACTCCCACTCTCCACTTCTAAGGACATTCAGATTTCTTCCATCTAGTGGATCGGCTGTGACTAAGGTTCATAGTTCAGCACATCCCCGGATGTAGAAACATACTGGCCGATACTTTATCACGTCCAGACAGGGTGGCTCCCACTGAGTGGAAATTTCTCACAGAAGCATTCCAGTTACTGCTTCAGGAATTCAGGCAACCAAACATTGACTTGTTTATTACTTGCCTAGGCCACCAACTCATGACGTATATCTCCCCGTTGCCGGATCCGCAGACTTGGGCGGTGGACGAGTTCAGTATCACTTGGGAAGGGCAAAGAACTAAAACTCTTCTGCCACACTTTTACTTCCCAAGGTGCTACAGGGGATCAAGGAGACAAGGTATCTCGATCTCTCCTTTGGTCGCACCATGGTAACCGGCGAGAGGGTAGTTCGTCAAGCTCGGAAAAATCTAAAACGATTCACTTCCCCTCTCACAGTGGTCCAACCTACTCATCCACCCTCAACAGAAAATTGCCTCACCCAACGTCTGCACGTATGGTTCGTCTTTAAAAGGCGTTTAAGTGCGAAGGGTTATTTCGACACGGGCAGCAAAGCTATAGCTTTAGTTCACCGTTACTCTCCCAGAGACGACGATGACAAGTGGGGATCACTTGAGACTTTTTACAGGGAAGAAAAGAATCAAGTCCCTACGATTGCGTCACAATTCCTAGAGGAATACCTCCTACATTGCGTACCCAAAAACACTTGGAAGGTAGCACCATTACTACGTAATTGGCTGCAATTATCTTAGTGTTGACCGTTTCCGGAAAATCACAGTGTGATTAAGGTCACGGAACTACAGGCCATATTATGCTCATTCAGGTTTGAGGATCAGAAGGCCAAGTTCCAGCCACCTGATTGGGACTTGAACGTGGTACTTCGAGGTTTGCGAGGGCCCCCTTCGAGCCCCTCATTGCATCCTCATTTTCAAGCTCCTTCCCAGCGCGTGACACCTTCGTTACACTCTCGGTATAGTATAGAGAGCTCCGCGAACGGGCTATCGCTGTGAGGAGCTTGGACATCACCAAGGAAACAATGGTTTCTCTTGGCATTAGCAATGGCGGTACGGGTGAGCGAACTACATGTGATCGACTCAACCCGGATCCGTTTTGAGCATGGGACGCACGGAACGGGACATCAAGGGTTATGCTGGGATTTTATTGCTAAAATCTACTACCAGGCCAACCCGACCGTTCTTCACCATCCCACCGATATCGACTATTGTGGGAATCGTACATGGTGAAGTTCTCCTGGGCTCGGTGCGAGCAGTTCGAGTTTTCATTCGACGCTCCAAGACAAGGCGTGGTTCGTCCACGACAGAAGTTAGTCGCATAATCGCAAACACCATATCTATATGGTTACGCGCAGTAATCCTTCAGGCCTACGAGATCATCAAACGGAACTCGCCGAGAGCGAATTACCCTCAAGATCTCAAGGTGTCAGCCTTACCAGGGCTCAACACGGCAATTGTGGTTTTGGAACAATCACGGAAGGATATTTCTGGAGATTCGACACATATTTTCGTTAGTCATAACCTTCGCGTTGTGACTCTCGAGGATGCCGAAGACGTTCGAAGTTTGGCCCTCTGGTTGTTATCCTGCAGATTGCCAACCACTGACGCAAATAATGAACTCGCCCTATACAGAGCCAGTCAACTTCCATGTGCAGTCACTCAGTCGCCACCAGTGGAAGAATATTAGACAATCTTGTTTGTCAGCGACGGCTCTATGACGCAGTAAGTAAAGAATTAGCTGAATAGCTATTATTTTCTTTATTACTAAGTGTGTATAGGGAATTTCTCTTTAATTCCTATGTTCAATGTTTTTGATTTTTGAACAACCCTACCGTAATGGCGTTTTTGTCTGAACTTTTCCGCTTCACGGTTTATCGACCAAATGGGGTCGTATTGCAGGGTGTGAATTATTGAGGTTTCTGTATTCTGAAGGTTTACCCACCTCCAAACCGTCCGATACAGATGCATTAAGGAGTAATGCAGGATAAGTAAAAAATTTAGTAAAATCTAAATATTTTTTACATTTGTATACTTATCCTGCATTACTACGCTTAAGGCCCACCCGTCGTTAGACTTGCCTCCCCACTTTGGCTTCAGAAACCTCAAAAGTATGTTTTTCTAAGAGCTTGGGCGACAGGCAGTGATGTGAAGATGACCTTAGGTGTCATCAAGGTCACAGGACAGCGACGGAAGGCCACTGATTGGGACTTGAGAACAACAACTTTATTTCTTCACCCAGGACCTTCGCAGCGCTGTCCTTCTAGTTGTCGTAAGTAAGCAGTGAATGCATTAAGGAGTAATGCAGGATAAGTATACAAATGTAAAAAATATTTAGATTTTACTAAAATTTGATGATTTTAATGTTCTTATTTTCGTAAAACTCTGAGAAATTGGGAAATTTGTTATTTAAATTGGAATTTTTACTATCAAATGCTGCGATTATCGGTCTCAGAGCAGGCCCAGAGAAATGTGTTTTGTTTGCACTTTTTTATGTTTTCTATGTACTTGTACTGCACTTATGAGTTTGTTAGCAAAGGCAGGGCAAAAACAATCACTTTCCTTGGCACAATTATTTTCTTTTGTGCAGAGTTTGTGGCAACTAACAGGCAAAATGTCTGTTGTTTGATGCCACACTCAGCAATATTCCAGCTCTATGACAACGGCCTGTTAAGTTTTGGTCAGACAATCCAGTGATTGATCATGGTCAGAGTGTGGTGACACACAATCCACAGGATCAGTCAAGACACTGAGCCAGACTACCTCATCCATTAGCGGCCTCTAATATCAAGCATAGGTTGCTGAGGACTTATTCTAATCCTGAATCTCCTCTGTGCACCCCCAATTACACAAAAAGAGAGACATCATCAGCCTTAAGGCTAAAAAGAATATTAGTCTTGGTTCTCTGGCACCGCCCGCATCATCATAAAGTCAGCTGCATGTTTTGTTTTTATTTCCATTTTCAAGAAAATATTCAAATCCTAATACCTAAGGGAGTAGTGCACTTTACCGGGCGCACTTTTTCAGATCCAATTAGCGCTGTGGGGGCTCGAACGCGCTTTGCCGGCTCACCGGCTTGGCTAATTAATGCGACGCTCTACCACTGGACCACGAGCGCTATCACATGTAATCAGTGCTCGTTTAACGGGTCATTAGCACCCAATGCAAAACAAGCAGGCGTAATTCAGAAAAAAATGAATTGCTCATGCGTGTGACGTCACTGTCCGCTCTCCCATTCATCTTTTCTTGGAACCACACCCGCCATTGTTTATGACCAACCAATCGGATTAACTGGATTAATGCTTGAAAAGGTAAGAAACTATGGCTAACCCTTGCCCAAAGCAAGCTAACCCTAAGGTCGAAAACGGGTGTTGGATCGTAAAGACGTATAAGTTTCCCTAAGACCGAAAACGGGTGTTGGATAGTAAAGACGTGTAAGTTTCCCTAAGACCGAAAACGGGTTTGGATCGTAAAGACGTGTAAGTTCCTAAGACCGAAAACGGGTGTTGGATAGTATAGACGTGTAAGTTTCCGTAAGACCAAAAACGGGTATTGGATCGTAAAGACGTGTTAGTTTCCCTAAGACCGAAAACGGGTTTGGATCGTAAAGACGTGTAAGTTTCCCTAAGACCGAAAACGGGTGTTGGATCGTGAAGCGAGAGTCACCGGAGCGTGAGGCACGGTAACGGTATAGCGAGACAGCAGTAGCACTATAGCGCGGTAATTGACTGGATGGTAGAGCTTGGGCTGTGCCCGGTAAACTGCATTGTTGCCATACCTAAACACAATGCGATACAATAAAGCACACAGTTACTTCCCTTTACATACTCACTGCTTTACTGTGCATAGCATGTTATGTCCATGGCAGTAATAAGACTTTGAATGCTTGTTTATGTAGGGAGGCCCTTTCTAAGGTTGATGGTACATCACTGTTTATTTGGTTACATACTAGTTTGAGCAAGCAAGAAAAGGGAAAAAAACACTGCCCGCCCACCTGAGAACCAATTCTTCTACTTTTTTAAGTCTAACATGGAGACAAACAATAATAATGTTGCAGGTTCTTGATCAAAGAAGGAGATGAGAGAGTTATCTCCCCTACAACACATCTCTTACAGCATCTATGTACAAAGGTTCCTGATAAGACAGAATACAGGACCAAAGTTGCACAGGTATGTTTTTATTACTATGTAACATTAACACAAGCCTTTTATTTGTAATTTATACCCAATCTCATTAAAATCAGACCTTAGTTTTCGCTACCGCTAAACAAAGATCTGAAGACAGCATGTATGATGTTGTGGCACTAAGGTTTATGTGATAAACTTTGCTTGCGATTGGTACGGCAGCTGTGAGATAAGTCCTGAGGTGTTATAGGGATGTTTTGTTGGTTTTGTGTTCCAGACAGTAGTGTCTCTGTTCGAGGATCTGCCTGACGAGGCGTATGTCAAAATGATGGAGTGGATGAAGAGACTCAGCAAACATCAAAAAGTAAGACTTGTTGTTTAAGTATTTTTAATTAATAAAAACTAAGGCTGTATCAGAAACAGTTGATTGTCTTTGTAATATTACTAATAATAAAAACGAAATGATGCAGGTATTAAGTATGGAAAGTGAGTGAAAATACTTGTTCATGGTTTACCATACTGCATTTGTCTTTTTTCCCCCCGAGTTACATTTTGTTCATGGGTGTCAATGTATTGCTTGCTTGCACTTACAACTGACACGTTTCGAGGTGGGTTGGATGCTAGTTCATCAGACGGTCCTCCAATGGTGTTGTCAGATCTTCACGCAGAGAGGTGTATTCAAGAAAAGGATGTGATTTTTATGATATTTGGAGTTGGTGAGCTATGTAAGTGATGATGATGATGATGATGATGATGATGATGATGATGATTCCCTTCAGATAAACAACCGAGTGATGTCCCTGGACGTCGTTGCCCTCTTGTTGGCGGCTCCCCAGAGACAGCTGAAGGGTGAGTGTGACAGCATGGATATAAGAGTTGCTGGAATGCTGCCATATACAACATGGACAACACTTCAGAATTGATCCTTTGCATTAAGGCCATGAGTTTTAAATGTATAAACTAGAGGTGTAACGATACGGGAGGGTCGCGATACGATACGTATCACGATACAGGGGTCGCGATAGGATACGTATCACGATACAGTGTTTACTGGTACAAGCTAAGCCAAGTTGATGTCTTTCTGCTCTCTAAAAGATGTGACAAGTACAGTTGAAGAAGATATAAGGTGTTTATTTACTGTTATAGCAAATTGTCAGCAATACAGTATGTTTTACTGAAACAACAAACTGGCTTTGAAACTGTTAAACGTATTTCATGTTTAAAAGTACTGGGTAAGTAAAACTGTGTTATGAAAATATCGTATGTATCGCGATACATGCTTTCCAAATCGATGCATCGTATCGTGGGCTGTGCATCGGGATACAATACTGTATCGCCGTATTGGTACACCACTAGTATAAACACAGGTCGGCCTGTCGTAACAAAACAAACAAAGCAAAAGTCTTCAGAATATACCAACTTTTGATGAATGAAATACATTATAACTTGTACTTGTAGCAGTATCATGATTGGTACATGTTGTTTTGAGTCCCGCCAGAGGCTCTTACTGACATGTTTTAATCTGTCTTTGTAAAAGAACTGAAACAAATTCAAAATTGTTACAAAACAGCTGTTCGATTGAGTTGAGGTTACCACTGGCCATGTCACGTGACTTTCATTGATGTGGAAAAAGCGTGCAGCGTTTTGCAGAAATCCACTTGCAGTCTGTCTTCTTCGTGGCGGGGTATAAGGATATATTCTCTGATGAGAAATTTCTTTCCCTCCCATCCTGGATACATAGTATCAAGATCATGTGAACCAATTAGATGTCATCATTCTGAAATGATAAATGATTATGATAACTTGAAAACTGTTAAAAACATTTCATCCAAACTTGGTAAATGTATTAACAAGGTGATGAACTGGAGCCTTTTGCTATTGCAGGGCTGGGATTTGTCATCTTCTGATGACACTTGTTTAATGTCAGCAAGGAACATTCACATTTTTCTCATTAGTTTCATTCTTAGTTACTTATCCTGCATTACTCCTTAATGCATTCACTGCTTACCTTACGACAACAAAAAGACAGCGCTCAGCTATGGTCTTGGGTGAAGAATAAAAGATGTTTGCGCTTTTCACTCCTGTTTTTTCCATGGACCATCACCGCCGTCATGTGACCTTGATGACAAGTCACCTTCCTCAAATTACTGAACTCTTACTGCGCTCTTTTTGTTGTCATAAGATAAAAAATATTTAGATTTTACTAAATTTACAGTGATCCGTAAAAATCTGAGGTCAAATAGGTCTTCAGCAACACGTGCTTGCCGTGAAAGGCGACTATGCTTGTCCTAAGAGGCGACTAGCGGGATCGGGTGGTCAAGCTCGCTGGACCCGTGAAGATTTCGGTGTAGAATAGGTCTTCAGCAACCCATACTTGCCGTAAAAGGTGACTATGCTTGTCGTAAAAGGCGACTAGCGGGATTGGGTGGTCAGGTTTCGTTGACTTGGTTGATGAATGTCATCGATCCCAATTGCGTGGATTGATGCTCATGAAGTCAATCACTGGATTGTCTGGTCCAGACTCAATTATTTTACAGACCGCCATCATATAGCTGGAATATTGCTTAGTGCGGCGTTAAACAACAAACAAACAAACAAACAAACAATTGCGTAGATCGATGCTCATGATATCAATGACTGGATTTCTGGTGCAACTCAATTATTTACTTGACTAGGGCTAATAACCCAACCGAAAAAGCCTTTGATCATGTTGATAATGACAGTTAAATTAGTGTTCCATATCTTTATGAACCTTGTATTTACAAAGGAAATCATTCCTTGTTTCAGATGAGGTTCCGGCTGAGCAGTCACTGTACACAACACATCGCTTCCTGGTTATCCTGCTCATATCCCGGTGTTCCGACATCGCTCCCACGTAAGTGACTCTCTACTGTCTCACATGCTGATACCCGTGAAGATCAGGGTTAAAATAGGGCTTCAGCAACCCATGCTTGCCGTAAGAGGTGACTAATGGGATCGGGCGGTCAGACTCACTGACTTGAGTGGTGCATGTCATCGTACCCCAATTGTGTGGATCGATACTCATGATTTCAATCACTGGATTGTCTGGTCCGGACTCGATTATTTACAGACTGCCGTCATATAGCTGGAATATTGCTGAGTGCAACATTAAGAATGATTAAGCATCAAACAAACAAACATATACACTTTGATCTTAAGCCCTAGTCACTTTACCTCTGTACTCCATGCATGACACAGGGTTCGGACGCGGGCAATCTCCGCATTTGCCCATCTGCTGTCGTCCGGTGATGGAAGTCTCCTCAGCACCCTCAGAGAGATGGTGACCCCCAAAGTTGGCCCCCGTCTGGGTGGTCCTGTCAGGCTGATCCCAACCCCGGGGGTCGACACAAGGACAGTTGCTCACACAGAAGGCACCGCCATGGATCAGAACGACCAGACAGTGGAGGCGGAGGGTTCCACTGCAGAGAAGACTGCTGATGGGGTCACTGTGGACAGTCAGGCCAAAACGCCATTCAACCAGATTGAACTGACCCCTGGCTTCAATGCAAGTGAGTAGATTTTAGCTTGTGATCATGGAAGCAGGACCTTTGAGAGACACATTATACTTATTGACTGGTCATTTGTTAGTGTCATCAAGTGGGCAATGGTGTTTCAGAGGCGCTGCTATTCATTGTGCAGAGTAGCATCCCTTTGGAATGTTTTATTTGTTTGTTTGTTATTTAACGCCACACTCGGCAATATTCCGGCTATATGATGGCGGTCTGTAAATAATCAAGTCTGGACCAAACAATCCAGTGTTTGACTTCATGCGCAAGCGTAGTCGCCTTTTACGGCAAGCATGGGTTGCTGAAGGCCTATTCTACCCCGGATCTTCACAGGTCTGTGGTGAGCCAGATTCCAATTATCATGGGTTTGAATCCCAAATTCTCCCTGATGATGATTCTGGAGTTCTCAATGCCCCTTGTCATGGGTTTCACTGATAATGCTTGTCCTAAGAGGCCACTATGCTTGTCCTAAGAGGTGACTATCGGGATTTGGTGGTCAGGCTTGCTGACTTGGTTCATTCATGTCATTGTGGATCGATGCTCATGATATCAATCACTGGATTGTCTGGTCCCGACTCGATTATTTACAGACCGACGTCACATAGGTGGAATATTTCTGAGTGCAGCGTTAAACAACAAAAAAACACACAAACACAAAGCGATAGTAGTGCTAAGATGAATGTAAGTCTCATACTTTTGGATAGACTTATGACAGTCGTAGCGCTAGAATCGCTGTGTGGAACGGAGGCCCTGCATGTGTAGTTTTCTATTGCTGAAAGGTGTTAACAGATTGAAAGGGATGCCTCCTATTTTGTTACATACTTTTTTGGTCGGTGGATCTTTTTCAGCTTGATGGTTTACATATTTTGAGGAGTTGGTGATGAAATGCATTGCAAATGATGAATTATTTTCATCACAACCATACACTTAATCATGCTAATCTTTTCTAATATTTTTGAAAAAGTTACTTTGACCCAATCATCCCAGACTTTCCTGATTGTCTCAGTTTGTGTTTGGCATCTCTATAACCTGTGTGTATGTACAGACCTGATAGACGACGATGGCGTCATCTCCATGTTGCGTCGTCGCAGCCAGGACCAGAAGGTAAACGTGAGGAAGGCAGCTCTACAGGCCTTAGAGTGTATGATCCGCTTCGAGGCCCCAGACTACCGGAAAGAGGTAGGTCTCATGCAGTCTCATCTCATGCTGGTCCCAAATAACATTAAGCTTCATTCTGTAAAAAACAGTGTGGTTCTTCTAAACTTTCAGTTTAAGTGAGGTTATGCCGTGGCATGTTGTCTGTCCTCTGTCCATCTGTCTGGGCACAGGTCAGGATACTTGCTGTGGAGAGTTACATCCCTTGGGCATGCCAGAAACCTTGGATCGTGGGTTCGATTCCTGATTCGCCCCGATTATGTTTCTAGGTTTGTCAGCACCAGTCTAAGACCTGCATCACTTCGGGCTTTTCTCCCACATTATACATGTGATATAACTGGAATACTGTTAAAAGCGGCATTAAACCTATCTCACTCACACATTCACTATCCATCTGTCTGCTTGTAAGATTTTACATTTTGGCATCTCATTTGCCTATGACGCTCAACCGTGCACCGTTGACTCAAGCCCTGTAGAAATTCTGGTTTAGAGTTGATCCCCATCAAGCTATGCTTGCCTTCTTAATTAATCGGGTGGTGTGGGTCGGGGACTTGATTGTGTGATTGTACCCCAACAGCTTGGATTGTTTTGGCATATCAATGGTTTGTCTGTCTGGTCTTGACTGATGTACAAGCTGCTATCATGTAGCTGTAATATTTACTGTGTGTGGTGTAAAACAACAAACAAACACCATGAACTCTTTATACTGACTAGGGGCGGTTGGGTAGCCTAGTGGTTTAAGCGTTCGCTTGCACGCTGAAGACCCGGGTTCGATTCCCGACATGGGTACAATGTGTGAAGCCCATTTCTGGTGTCACCCGCCGTGATTTTGCTGGAATATTGCTAAAAGTGGCATAAAACCATACTCACTCACTCACTTCATACTGACTAGGATCTGGCTATACTGGAGGAGCGCTGTGCCGACCCGTCGCTGTCGGTGAGGAAGCAGGCCATGATGTCGCTGACGGAGCTTCTGCTGCAGCACACCACAGACACGAAGATGCAGCGGTAAGATGTCACGTCATCACGTCTCCTCCGTGTTATCTCACCATGTCAGAGACCAACTGTGTGAATGCAAACAATGAAGAAAGCGGAGAAATATTTCCCTGAAATAATAATGTTAAAGTTACTAGTGCCAAGGCATGATGTGCTGATAAACATAATAAGCGTCAATCATGGAGGAACTATGTCTCCAAAATTAATTCACGCACACCCATGTCCAAGGTGTGGAACATGGTAAAAAAAAATAAAAGGTAAAGGTTCCAAACCGTCTGGACCTCCTCCGTGGTCTAGTGGTAGAGCGTCCGCCTGTAAGGCGGAAGGTACGGGTTCGATCCCTGGCCGCGTCATACCAAAAGACTTTAAAGATGGTACTTGTTGTTACCCTGCCTAGTGCTTGGCATTTAGGTGTAAAACAAGGACTGGTTGGCTTGGAGTCGCTATTCTGTGTCTGAAGGGGGTGGTCATGTTAAACTGCAGCATGGTATCTCAGTGGGCTCGCTCTCAAAAATCCGCATTAATCCAGACTAGTACAATCAGCCACACACACACAGACACATGTGCATGCACGTCACGATGTAAGTTCAATAATCTTGGACATGACGTTAAACCCCATTTCACCTCACCTCATATCAGAGAAAGCCACCTGACGCAAAACATCGCTGAAGGACATTTCCGTAAATTCTCAATAAGCATGATAAGAGATGTTACATGAAAAATATTAAACCTAGTTGCACTATAGCATGATGTGTCCTAGAAGTTCCAGTCAAGCAGTACAGATTAGCCACTGATCCAGGGTCCAAAATTTCATGTATTACTTACTTGTATGTTGAATTGTTGTAGGGCCTGGTTGGATGGAGTTCTCCCCCTTGTAATGGACAGGGAGACAACTCTTCAGGACAAGTGCATCGAGACACTGGAGGATATCGTCCTGGATAATGTGGTGCCACACAACAGGTAGGTAGCCAAGCATTCTTAGTTAGTGACAGAACCATCCGTGTATTTGCCCTCTCTGTGGAGTTAAGTGTCATCACACACTTGTGCTTATGTGCTCACTCACTTGCTTTGCTGTGTTGAAAAAGCGTTAAAAAATGGTACTTGTTGTTACCCTGCCTGGTGATGAGCATTAAAGGGCTAAAACAAGGACTGGATGAAATGACAGACACCCACAACTGCTCTTCATACGCTGTAGGTACAATGAATAGTATTGTCCCTTGAGAAGCAGTGTATTCTTTTTCTCTATCCATTCTCTCAACATTTGTGCGTACTCCGAAGCGCTCTACCACCAAGCTACTATGACATAAGCATGGAGTACAAAAGCAAGAAATGGGTAACCAGTGGTAACTAGTGGCCCTCTGTATTTCAGATCCAAGGACGAAGGACACCAACTGGTGTGGAGTCTCCTGAGCATCATGACCCAGTATGAGAGTCTAGACTTGAAGTAAGTCTTCATCGTGGAGTTTCCTGGTTAGAGCAACTTACTCTAGCTGAGGAGACTAAATCAGTTTGGTGGTTAAGTTGGTGACCTTTGATTGTCTGCCTTTACATCCTGTCAGTGTGTATGGTTGCTTAAAATATCAGTCATTGGTTTGTCTGATCCAGAGTCAGTATGTACAGATGTTGCTGGAATATTGCTGATTGCAGCATTAAGTAACAAACTAGCAATGAAAAAAGTCTACATAATAACTCAGTATGTAGTAAATCTACATCATGACTCAGTATGAGTAATCCTGTTCTTAAACCTAAGAGTTACCTCCCTTGGGCTTGCCAGGAACCTATGGTGGCGGGTTCTAATCCTAGTTCGCTCTAATTATTTTTCTTGGTTTTTCAGCACAATGCCCGATCTCCTGGGTTTCACCAAGGTGGTGAACGCCTGCATCATTTTGACCATAAATGTGAAATACTGTACAAGGAGGCATTGAACCTAACTTGTAGGGTGGATTGTAAGGTGAACTATCTGTGTGAATGTACTGCATGTTGCAAGGTCTCTGTAGTGTTTCTGTACCTCCTCAGACGCTACCTGCAGAGGGCGTGTCAGCACTGGTCGCGGCAGGGGAAGCTGAAGGGGGCGATCGTCAACCACCTGCAGACACACCTGGACACACAGAATGATAAGGTGGGTCCATCCTTGGTGGAAAGGACAATTGTCAATTTGCCAGCAATGTTTGCCAAATTTAACCAGCTTAAAAATGTGACATATTAACATGTTTGCTTTGTAGTTTTTCAGTTTTCAGGAACTGTCAAATAAGCCAACAAAAAATAAATACCACACATGGAATCATTTTTCTGCTTTTAAAGAAACATGTGTTGTGACTCCCCAGGGGGCGTGGCTGCTTCTGGCTGAGATCGCTACATCCTTCCCCAAGATGAACAATGACTTCCTGCTGAAGTACTGGGACAAGCACTCTGCAGAGATGAGCAGTAGGTTGCCTTTCATAATACAAAGTGGTGTGGTGGTTTTAGCCTAGGCAAGTCAACTGTTTGACAAGAGAAACAGTATGATATTGTCTTTGGTTGTTTATTTGTTAACGCTACACTCAGCAATATTCCATCCTTCAGACCCTGACCTGTAATGAATCAAATCTGGATGAACAATGATCCACACTCAATGGGATTCAATGACACACAATCAACCAAGTCACTGAGTCACTCTCCCAATCCTTTATGTCGTCTCTTAGGGTGGTCAGGTAGCCTAGTGGTTAAAGCGTTTGCTCGTCATGCAGAAGACCCGGGTTCGATTCCTGACATGGGGACAATGAGTGAAGCCCATTTCTGGTGTCCCCAGCCGTGATATTGCTTGAATATTGCTAAAAGCGGTGTAAAACCATACTCACTCACTCACTCTTGTCGTCTCTTACAACCAGCATAGGTACTAGGGATCTATTCATTGGGTAATAATATTCCAGTAATATGGTCTTGGATATGAAGCTTCCGAACAAGGTCTCTTGTCTCCCGTGTGTGTAGATGAGACCAACTAAAGGTATTTTGGCCAACTGCATGTCATCATGACTTGTGTAGCTTCTTCCTCATGCTGTCAGTAACTGGTTTGTTAACTCCCTGCCCGCCTGCCTGTGGCTGGTAACTTTACTGTCAGACAGCATGAAATTATCGTCTACCTGCCAGCTGTGTGGCATATAAATTTAAGCCAAGTTACATATTCAGTTTTTTTATAATTCCTCATAGATTCTAGTTGTTAGCATTATTTCAACTGAACCAAGAAGTGATTTGTTTCTTATTTTTAGCGATTTAATATTCATAATGTCTGAATTTGGGCAGGTAACTCTGAAGAGGGGCAGGCAACACTGATGGGTCATCTGCCCGACTGTCTTTGGGGGTTTCAAAATTATTTCAGACAGTGTTAAGTCCGGAATAAATTCTGAACAGGCTACTGTGATCAAGGTGATGAAGCCATAATATTGCTAACTGTGACACTATTAACATGTGTTCGCTTGTTTCATCAACACCTCTCCTTCCATCCCGTGTAGATGAAAACAGTACCTGGCCACAAGTCATCTCTGTCATCGGATGTGTAGCCAAACATCTCCCTGCAGACAGACGCACTGATATTGCTGGTAGGTGGCGCTCATTGACGTGATGTGTAGACACGGAGTGGGGCATAATCAGTGAAGATGAACCACTTGTCGCATGTGAAAGCATCTCACATGAAATTGTTATTTCTGCCATAAGACAATAATTCAGAACCAGGTAGCACACAGTGTTACACTGAAAATATCCACTGCCTCTTATTTTTATATGTCTTTGTTTCTGTCCTTAAATCAACTAATGCCAATATTTTTTATTAAGAATTTATTTTGTGTTTATGGCGGTATAAATGTGGATATCCATGGAGGTTTATGGAAATACACGCATGAAAAAAGTCTTGGTTAGCCAATCAAATGAATGGAATCACTGGCAAGTTCTCTTTTTCCAGATGAATTGAAGGACAGACTGAAGAAGTTTGATTCCTCCCCCCAGCTGACCGCTGTCATCATCAACACCCTCTCCAAGGTACATGCTGTCTTGTTGTCTTGCTGTTTCAGTGTTAGGATGCAGATAATCAACTTAGAAAACACTGAAACGAAAGCTGAGAAGAAAACATACATACCAGTTGAAAACTTGTTCAATGACAGTCTAGCATTTTTAAAAAGAATGTGTTTGCAGATCAGCTGACCCTTAGGGTCTTAATACTGTAAATCTTGAAATTAACACGAGCATGAATTAAATGCGAAAAATGTGAACTGTCTTTGCTCGCATTAATTAACTTCACATTTATGTCTCCAAATGACTATCAACAATAAGACGAACTAATGCACACTTTGGATAGCGGAAATACCAACGTGAATATAAACACAAACACGGTTTATTTAGCAGCAGTTGTAACAACTATATAACAATGTCATTCAAAGAATAGGAATTACACAATAGGCATCCGGTAAGTTATCACTGCTGGGGTCAAGAGTTCTACCAACTTGTGTCAAGCTTGTTGACACCTCCGCATACCAATCAGTGAACTGTTGTTGGTTCAATTATTTTATTGCCTTTGAACTTCCTTAATGCCACTCAGCAGAGAAAACATATCAAATGTGTGTTGTTTTTAGGAAAAAGCTGTTTATTGTTTTTACGGAAGTGCTCTCCTGAGCACTAATAAGCGATGCTATTTGCTGTTTGATTGGGTTAAGGGGAGTCGTATTGATATTGAGTCGCATTTTAGGCTAAGGGTCAGCAATCGTATTAATTTGGAGACGCGTTAATATCCATATTTACAGTAATTCACTGGTTAACTTCAGCCTTGTTGGACTCGAACTATCATATGGATTAACAAATCTTGGTGTGGAGAAATGTCCTTTTCTGTGTCTGTGGAAACATTCCAAGAGTAGGTTTGGTGGATTACGGGGTTTGTGTTCCTCTGTTCCAGCTGTGTGAGGCGGGGTCGGATGAGAGCACGAGTCGTCGAGTGAGGGAGAGCTGGTGCAGCTGCCTGCTGAACGCCTGTGATGAGTACCTCTCTCACATCATCCTTAATGAAGAGGCTTCATCTAGTGAGTCGTCTTCCCGGCATTCAGCTACTAGAAGCTTCATCCCAGGGCAGAAATAAATATTGGCCTCACAATCATCACAGAATTCACATAATATAACTGCACATTACAGCAAAAATATAATTTAGGTGATATTTGTGTACAAATCAGAGCTCACATGTATCTTAACTTGTGCAATGCCTGACCAATGGTCATTGAAAAAATCTCCAAGGACACATAAAATACTTCCAATATGTAAACATCGCCATCAGGAAAAGGAAATTATCACATCAACCAATGACAGGTTGCAATCCTATTTATATTAATATTTTCATGTCCAGTCACAATTTGTGTTGGATGTGCATAAGGAAAGTTTCGTCTCAAATTAATGACATCAAAATATGAGGGAAATACTCACTGTTCACAGTTGGCAGTGAAGAAGAGGATCAGATAGTTCGCTACCTGTTCACGCTGGGAGAGATTGCACAGCTGTGCCCGGCCAAGACACCCAAGCGTGTGTTTATGCTGGTGCAGTCTCTCATAGCTGCCCCTTGTATTGATGGTAAGAAGCATGCATTAACTTATCAATTAAGGAGCCCCTCTGTAATGTTTCTTACTTTGGGAAGACCTCCATGTAAGGTCAAGGTCACTAGAGGTCAATTAATGAAATCTGGTTCAATTATCGTGAAATTTCATATTCATATTAATTCATCAAATATCAAAGTTTTTTTGCAGTTTGCGCTCAGCCCTTAGGTCAATGCTTGTGACAAACGTCAAGGTTGTTTTGAAGGTCATTCAATCATGAATAGACTTGTGAATAGTTTCATTCAGGAAGTATTGTTGGTGTGGTATGGAGATTTGTCATTTGTAACAGCCGTAGATGCCAGAAGTAATGTTTTTGCATGTGATTCGATGATGTTGAAGGTCAAGGTTAGTCAGTGCACAGTCGACATCCCAAGAGCTTATGTAACACAAATCTTGAAACGTTATGATTGCAATTTGACCAAACTTGATGTACATGATGTCTTGGCAGCTCATGGATGAGTCAATGTCACTAAACAAGAAGTAATCCTTTTTGATACATGATTCCGATTGGGAAAGTTAGGGATTCAGGAAATGGTAGGGCTGAGACTATTCTGTTTTTGTATATAATGCAAACACCTTTCTGGTTTATTATTGATTATTGATTCTCTGCAATTTTAGTTATGATGCGATAACATGTTTCAATAACAATTTCTTGAATTACCTAAGTCATGGAGTACCTAAATCTGTAGGCCAAAACGTTTTCCTTTTGCATGTTAATGTATTGTTAATATGTTTTACACACGACTTTTGATGTACCGGGTACCTCTCTGGGGACTCCAGCACCAGACTCCAGTGGCCTTAGCATGTTGTAGTTGTTTGTTTGTTAACGCTGCATGTCAATCTGTAAATGATCAAATCTGGGTCAGACAATCCAGTGATTGATATGCGAATCTATCCACACAATTGGGATACAATGACATGCATCAACCAAGTCAGCGAGCCTGACCACCCGATCTCGTTAGTTGCCTCTTACGAAAAGCATAGGTGCCTTTTATGACAAGTATGGCTTGCTAAAGACCTTCGTGGGTTCAGTCATCAGGTGGTCAGACTTGGTCGCTATATAAGTGCAATAATCATGGACGCAACTTTAAACCCCATTTCACCTCACCTCACCTTATTCTTGCAAAGTGTGATCATCAGCTTAAGATACTTGGAAAGGTCTTCAATTAGGAGTGTCATGTATTGTTTGAACCATGACACCACTCACTGTCTCACTCGCTCGCTGTTTTCCTCTCCTCCTGATGCAGACGAGTCAGGCTCCCAGGAGATCCCCTGCTCACAGACTTTCCCCTCCTCGGGCGAGGTGACCAGTAGTCAGGGCACCGTGCTCTCACAGCCTCTCTCTCAGTTCCGCGACTCCAAGATGTCTGGCAAGATCCGAGCCCACGCCTTCATCACACTTGGTGAGTATCTGCAAAATTAGCTGCTCTCTCCCTCTCTCCTCCATGAATGAATTTCTTTGTTAAAGATCAAGTAATATCATTGTCAGTTCTTTTCTTTTCTGATTCATTCAATGTGTAGACTTTGGATCTACATGGAACTTCAATGAGTGATACTTCTGTCTAACTGTTAATTCTTTTCATTTGTCTGAATACACCAGTCTTATCTTGCTGATCTGTTGTGTATGATCTTTTTCTTCTTCAGCAACCCATGCTTGCCGTAAGATGCGACTAATGGGATCGGGTGGCCAGGCTCACTGACTTGGTTGGTGCATGTTATCATATCCCAATTGTGTGGATCGATACTCATAATGTCAATCACTGGATTGTCTGGTCCAGGCTTGGTTATTTACAGACCGCCGTCATATAGCTGGAATATTGCTGAGAGCGGGGTTAAACAACAAACAATCAATCAAATCTTCTCCCGCAGATGATATGTATTTTGTTTTCTGTCTATTCTCCAGGTAAACTCTGTCTCCAGAACGAGAATCTTGCTAAGAAATGTATCGCAGCTCTGGCCCGCGAGTTAGAGACATCACATGACCCCAACATCAGGAACAACGTCATCATCATCATGTGTGACTTGTGTGTCAGGTTAGAGCTTGTCATAATCATGATCATAATCATAATCTTAATCTTAATCATGATCATTTCAAGTATGAAGACACTATGTGTGACATTTGTATCAAGATAGAAGCAGGTGCTTGTCATAATGCCCGGTCACCCTAGTTGTGATGTCTTCCAGGAGTCAAATTCTCCTGAAGGACATTGGCTGTGGAATCCATAATAATTCAGGTTGATTGTTGGCAGGTACACAACCCTGGTAGACAGGTATGTGGCCAACATTGCCTCCTGTCTGAAGGACCCGTCACCTCTCGTCCGCAAGCAGACCCTCACACTCATGACCAGGCTCCTCCAGGTGGGCACCAGCCTTTCTTTTTTGGGGGGTGAGGGTGTGTGGGCACATGGTGGGGGTGGAAGGGGATGGGTTTGGGGCTGGTGGGGATGGGTTTGGTGGTGGAAGGGGGTGAGTTTGGGTGTGGTGGAGGTAGACGGGGATGGGATTGGGTGTGGTGGAGGTAGACGGGGCTGGGTTTGGGGGTAGATAGGTTTGGGGGTGGATGGGTTTAGGCTTGGAAGCACCGGTGATGCATGCCGTAAGACTAAGACGATACACTGAAACAGTGTCTCACTTCTATTGAAATCAATTCAGGACAGGAGTGCTGTCACCTGGTGAGATTCTGTTTGTAAGTCTGGAGTGCTGTCACCTGGTGAGATTCTGTTTGTAAATCTGGAGCGCTGTCACCTGGTGAGATTCTGTTTGTAAGTCTGGAGCGCTGTCACCAGGTGAGATTCTGTTTGTAAGTCTGGAGCGCTGTCACCTGGTGAGATTCTGTTTGTAAGTCTGGAGCGCTGTCACCTGGTGAGATTCTGTTTGTAAGTCTGGAGCGCTGTCATCTGGTGAGATTCTGTTTGTAAGTCTGGAGCGCTGTCATCTGGTGAGATTCTGTTTGTAAGTCTGGAGCGCTGTCATCTGGTGAGATTCTGTTTGTAAGTCTGGAGCGCTGTCACCTGGTGAGATTCTGTTTGTAAGTCTGGAGCGCTGTCATCTGGTGAGATTCTGTTTGTAAGTCTGGAGAGCTGTCACCTGGTGAGATTCTGTTTGTAAGTCTGGAGCGCTGTCACCTGGTGAGATTCTGTTTGTAAGTCTGGAGCGCTGTCACCTGGTGAGATTCTGTTTGTAAGTCTGGAGCGCTGTCACCTGGTGAGATTCTGTTTGTAAGTCTGGAGCGCTGTCACCTGGTGAGATTCTGTTTGTAAGTCTGGAGCGCTGTCATCTGGTGAGATTCTGTTTGTAAGTCTGGAGCACTGTCACGTGGTAAGATTCTGTTTGTAAGTCTGTCATATGTTTTCAGGAGGACTTCCTCAAGTGGAAGGGTGTGTTGTTCTATCGGTTCATCACCACTCTCCTGGACACCAACACACACATCAGGGACTTTGGTAAGCATGCAGCATGATCTGGTTAGCAATGCATGGACAGGCACAAATGGCCAGTCAACTATGATACCACAATGTTTTGTGCAAAGTTATGCCCCTTGGTCATGCCAGGGTCGGCTGATGCCTGGTTTGGATTCCAGATTTGTTCTGATTATGATCCTTGGTTGTCAGCACCATGCCCATGCTCTTGGGTTTCTCCAAGGTTGTTAAAGGCTACAACCTTCATTGCTTTGGAACTTTGTCCTATATATCTCTTATACACTGAAAGACCCGTGAAGATTCCGGGATAGAATAGGTCTTCAGCAACCCATACTTGCCGTAAAAGGCGACTATGCTTGTCGTAAGAGGCGACTTACGGGATCGGGTGGTCAGAGTCGCTCACTTGGTTGATGTATGTCATCGTATCCCAATTGCGTGGATCGATGCTCATGGTGTCAATCACTGGATTGTCTGGTCCAGACTTGATTATTTTACAGACCGCCGTCATATAGCTGAAATATTGCTGAGTGTGGCGTTAATCAACAAACAAACAAAACAAAATTATACACTGAAAAATCCCAATTTAAAACACTTGTCAACCAGTCTGACAATCTGTGTTACACCATGACTTTGATGATTTCAACATTGCATAGAAAAATGATTGTTCGAAAACCCTTCTCAAACCACTGCATGTTAGGTTCCAAATTCAATGAAGAAGTGTTAAACCTACAGGTAACTTAGCTCTTCATTGAAAACTTAGTTTGGTTATCTCCTCATTGGGAATTTGTAAACTGAAAACACTTTGGCTAAAATCTTTTGAATATTTGCGTTTTACTAAACTGTTAGCAATGAGTGTTGTGTTGAGTGCAAGATTGTCGTGTTGTCCACAGCGGAGTTCTGCCTGATCCATCTCCTCCTGCAGAGACAGCCGACCATGTTCTTCCATCACTTCGTCGAGTGCATCTTCCACTTCAATGCCTATCAGGCCCACTCAGGTGATTCAGCTATGTGCAATTTTTGTCCATCTCTGCCCTCCCATGTTATTCCAGTACTTGATTCGCTGTATATATATAAGTTGGTGCAGGATCACGAGGGGTACTTGGGCTTTTATGCTTCCCTTGATGTGTCTTATGCCACAAGCCATTAAAACCTAACGAGGAACACATAAAACCCCATGTGCCCTGAGTGATCCTGCTGCAACGAATTTATCTTACTGACATGATGTGATGTGACATTGTAAAGAATTAAAACAAATTCAAAATTGATAGAAAACATCTGTTCGATTGAGCTGAGGTTAGCTTGTGCTATGTCACATGACTTTCATTGGCTCAGAAAAGGCGAGCGGCTTTTTGTTTCGAAGTGGGGTTGAAGAAATTTAGTCTGCCTATGAGAAATCCACATGCAGCCTATCTTGCTCGTGGAGGGGTATATTGGATTTTATCTCCCGCTGAGATACGTATCTCCCTCAAAGGTGGGATACATATATTTTATCTTGATAAAATTGACCAATGAGATCTCATCATTCTGACATGGAGGTATAAGGGCCCTTCTCCAATAAACTCCCCTGGCCAAATTCTCGACCAATCTGTAAGTAATCTTTGTAAGTTCCTCCTACTAAGCCCAAACATATAAATGTCAGTCCATACTGTCTTGAGTGTGTTACGGATTGTTGCCGAAACAGCAGCTTGGAAGGGCTGTATAATTGCCTTGCGACTATTATTGATACGTTTTAGTTTCATTGACAGTGGCAAGATTTTGGACACGCTTATCCATTTAACAGATATATTCTTAACTAACATATTTAATTAGACATGAAAACATGCTGACGTTGGATAAATCCTTGTGAGTGACGATGTCCTATGTTACAGTGTACAACAAGTTCACCCAGTCGGACCGGGAGAAGCAGATGTTTTCTCTCAGTGGCAAACAGAATGCCGAGTAAGTTGTTTGGTAATGCTTTCGACAAATGATACCTTTTTACCTCTGTCGCTGCAAATAGAAGGCACAAGACTGAGCACAAGCAAGTCTCACTGACAGACGTTTGGGCACCCACTTCAAGACTCCCAGTGATAGTTTGAGATACATTTTTATATCAGCCTAAACATTCACAAAGATAAGAAATCTATTTTCTCCTAAGTGGTGTTGTCTGGTTACCATTAATTCTATCATTTGAATATATGTTGTATGAACATTTAACCAATTTAATCCCAAGGTGCTGATTTACCTTAACATGTTTAAAGCGATGTACAGATTATGTATTAACTGGAGGAACTGACTGTGTCTCCCTCTTGATTGAAAACATGAAAAGATTGGGAAAACATCTGCCAAGTTGATGTTACACATGTTTTGCAAATCCTGCAGTTAACCGAAATCTGCATGATAGTTTACGAACCGTATGTTGATTTTGTTATGCGATTTTATTTGGACTATGCATATACTCGTTAGTCCAGCCAAGATATAACTCCATAATTCCAGGCTAGTTTGGCAAGGGTGGAAACTGGACTTTTATAGTCTCTCACTATCATTTCAACATTGCTATCCTCCATAGGGGTTCTTGTGCTGAATAGGTCAGGACTCCAGATAATGATTTTGAAACATTGGGTACTTATAAGTTGTTTTTCACATTGGCTATTACAGTTTTCTTTGGGTACTTTGAACTTTTTTACTTCTATTGGGTCTTTGGGGGGTACGGGTGGCTCAGTCATCTAAGGCGCCGCAATTCGCTGTGCAGAGTTGCATCACTTAGGCACGCCAGAAACCTATGATTGTGGGTTCGAATCCTGGCTCGCCCCGATTATGTTTCTAGGTAAATCAGCACCATACCCGTGCTCTCGGGTTACACCAAGGTGGTAAACGTCTGAGACCTGCATGACTTCGGGCTTTCCTCCCACATTAAGCTGACATGCCTTGATATAACTGTAATGCTGTTAAAACCATCTATCTCACTCACTCACTCATTGTGGGCCTTGGTACATCAATTTACTTTAATGAATATGTGATTTCTCATTTGTATGTACTTGTGTGCTACCTTAAATGTGTAACATGTCACATAACTCACAAGTGTGATATACATGTCTTAATTTTTTTCTAATTTTTATTTTTTAAATTTTTATGGAATGAAGTTGGACGTAGACTCAATTGGGGATGGGGTTCGTTTCCGGGGCAGAATTCGAAAACCATTCAGTGTATTTGATGGAAACTTGGCAAAGCTATCAGGCACATACTGAAGTGGTGCCTTTTGATATTTTGGGATTTTTCTAATTTTAATTTTTTAAATTTTTATTGAATGAAGTTGGACATAGACTCAATTGGGGATGGGGTTCGTTTCCGGGGCAGAATTCGAAAACCATTCAGTGTATTTGATGGAAACTTGGCAAAGCTATCAGGCACATACTGAAGTGGTGCCTTTTGATATTTTGGGATTTTTCTAACTTTAATTTTTTAAATTTTTATTGAATGAAGTTGGACATAGACTCAATTGGGGATGGGGTTCGTTTCTGGGGCAGAATTCAAAAACCATTCAGTGTATTTGATGGAAACTTGGCAAAGCTATCAGGCACATACTGAAGTGGTGCCTTTTCATATTTTGGGATTTTTCTAATTTTTATTTTGAACCAAGTCCTATTGGTGTTTCCAGACTGACCAGAGTAACTTGCAGGTTTTTTCAAAGTTTGAAAAGAACTGTATCTCATTTAGTTATTGTTTCTTGTAATTTGTCATTTGTTAACATAAAAAAAACCCCACAGAAACACACTTGTTTTACTTTCCATTTCATATGGATGCGACCATGGTGGATCTTTTGTGGGTAAACAATGTATGCTTCCTAAAGAACATTCAACTGTTGGCTCATTACATACAGAATTGCACATTTACTAGTGGCTACTTTACAGACAGCTGCCGGGGGGATATGTCATCTTTCTGTTGAATCTTGTTTTGTTTTGTTTCTGTCATGTTTCCATGATTCTGTCTCCCAGCAAGCGCCTAAAGCTGTATCTGTTCATGCTTGAACATATGACGGATGAACATCGCTTCCAGCTGTCCGCGAAAATCTGTCAAGACGTGAGTGAATTACCCCGGTAGATAGTTTACATGAGTTTTGGAATGACTGTTTAAGATGTGATTGATCGATGTGAAGTGCATAGTTTACGAAATAAGAGAATGTGGAAAGTCTGTGCCCTAAACATTTCAGTCTACTTGCCCGAACCTGTAACATAATTTTCAGTAGATTTCAGTGTTAATGTTTAATAAGCCAGGGGTGGGAATCTTCCGCTGGTCCGCAAATTTCTGTGACTTCAAATTTGTTAAGATCTCATGGCTTCCCCCCTAAACACTCTCAAATTATGGACCACGCTCTATTGCAAAGAAGTTTCAGCTGAAAAGGAAAATATCCATCCTGATTAGCAATTCGCTGTGCAGAGTTGCGTCCCTTGGGCACGCCAGAAACCTAGGATTGTGGGTTCAAATCCTGGTTCGCCCCGATTATGTTTCTAAGGTTTGTCAGCACCATACCCGTGCTCGTGGGTTTCACCGAAGTGGTAAATATCTAAGACCTGCATCACTTGGGACTTTCCTCCCACATTAAAACTGACACGCTGTGATATGACTGGAATACTGTTAAAAGCGACGTTAAACACAACTCACTCACTCACTTTATAGAAAGAGCCTGCTCGATTGTACCTCAAAAGATGTGAAATGTAAACATCAAAAGCTGCTGAAATATTGCTTGACATATAAGGAAGGTTGACAAATGGAAAGTCGTAGCCATACTCACTACAGATATGAGATGGTCAACAGGTGTATCAGTTTACAGTACCATGAAGATCCGGGGTGGAATAGGTCTTTAGCAACCCATGCTTGTTGTAAAAGGTGGCTATGCTTGTCGTTAGGGGCGACCAACTGGATTGGGTGGTCAGGCTCACTGACTTTGTTGATGCATGTCCTCATATTCCAATTGCGTGGGACGATGCTCATGATGTCTGAATCAATGGATTGTCTAGTCCAAACTCGATTATTTACAGACCGCCGTCATATAGCTGAAATATTGCTGAGTGTGGGGTTAGTCTGTCTCATTGTTTTGTTTTCATATCCTAGAATGTCGGAAAGTAATTTATGCAAGAAGGTCGTCATCAGTGCATCCAAGTTGATGCATAAGTTGATATGCCTCTTCTCTTCCTTTAGTTGGCCACATAGTGATACTATGTAGGGAAATCCCCTAAAAAGCCTTAACTTCTACTAGCCCTCAGGATACCTTAAACATAAGACAAACAGATGAACAGATGAAACTGACTGACTCAAGATAAAATTGTGAAATGTGTGTATAAAATTGATATGTTTTTTCAGAATAGAAATACAGTAAACTATGGTTATAACAAACTTGAAGGGACCACTAATATTAGTGTGTAATAACTGTAGTTGTTATAAGCATATACAGCATACATACAACAAATGGCCGGGACTAAAAACTAAGTTCATTATATCTGTGTTCGGTAAAAGCGTGTTCGTTAAATGTTTAAAAACGTTCATTCCCTGAAAGACATTACCTTGTGTGTGTATGACACAAATTTTGCATCCTGTAAAACTGTGATGAATGCTCTGACACGTATCTCCTCCTGCACAGATCCTTGGCAGCGCGGTGGACGGTGTGCTGCCGCTGGAGGGGGAGAGTACCGCCATCCTGCAGGACGCCCTCGCAATCCTCGGCAGTAAGGTATGTGAGCAGGAAAAATCAATTCCAACTTTGCCAGCCAAGCTCCTGACATTGATAACCTGTTGTAGAAACTCTATACTATCACTGCCACAAGGAAGGACTCGTGGACTTGTCATACCATGAAGCAGTATTTATTTGGATTCCTTTACCAGTGTTCTATATTTACCCCATCTGATTTATATTTTAAGAGTTTGCTTCAAGCAAAGCCTGTTTAATAAAGAATGATGGGGTGTTTCTTTTTGTAATGGTCGGTCAGCACATGGATCTACCTCCCTCATTGAGCTGACATGTTGAAATACAACTGAGGAAATGTTTAAAGTGGCATGAACTCACTCACTCACTCACTCACTCACTCACTCACTCACTCACTCACTCACTCACTCACTCACTCACTCACTCACTCACTCACTCACTCACTCACTCACTCACTCCAGGAGATCAAGCTGTCCTCCCTGAAGGTCCGGCCTCACGATGATGTTGCAGAGGAGCAGGACATGGCTGCTGTTGTCATGGCAACTGCAAAGAAGACATTGATCACCCAGGTAAAGTTATATGAATTAATTTAGAATATAGGTACAGGGATAATTCTAGGGTGGGTCCTTGTGATTTTAGCCCCTAGATTTGAAAAAAGGCCAAAATCTTCAAATACAATGGGTCATTTTAACATTGTGAAGTATGGGCAAGTGTGGGTGTAACTCTGGAATATTTGAAATTTTCACATAAGGGGCCCATGTCAGAACATTCCGAGGGTGAACCCTGTAGGTATATAAATATTAATACATAAATTCAAGCGGATTTGTTTGTCAATTTCTTAATCATTTTTTGTTGATTTTTTTTCATAGGTGTTGAAGAAGAATGTCATTGAGAACATCGTTCCTATCGTGACATCACTCAAGAAAATGGTGAGTTCCTATGTGATGTGATGTACACATTATGACTACCATCATGATATGGCAGAATCATTACAATGTTTAAATCAGATTGCACCTGTATACATGAAGTAACATGTATAAACAGTTATTGACCTTGATACAAGCATTGTACAAATGGTCTTCAGTGACCCATTCTTGCCGTAAAAGGCGACTATGCTTGTCCTAAGAGGCGACTAACGGGATCGGGTGGTCAGACTCGCTGACTTGGTTGATGCATGTCATCGTATCCCAATTGCGTGGATCGATGCCCATGATGTTAATCACTGGATTGTCTGGTCCAGACTTGAGTATTTACAGGCTGACATCTTACAGCTAGAATACTGCTGTTAAACAACTAACAAACAGCATGTACAAACAATAATCAATCAGTTAGCTTATGATGGGAAGGTTTATCAGTGATAGAAACTAACTGGTTAGCCAACTAGTCTATATGATGATAATATATATAGCAAAACCCTAAAAATGGAAAATGTCTACTGGTCCTCATAATATAATGACTATTGAGCACTTTGGCAAGGACTATAGGACTAGTGCCAAATTCTAACGCTGTTTACTTAGTTTGAAAAGTTTGGGGACAAAAGGCAATGGAAGTACAACTAGGGGCCAGTTTCAGAAAGCGATCTTTTCAATGAGATGGTCGTAAGTTTATTTTTGGGAGTTGTGGTCGTAGCACAACGATTACTTTAGGAAATGGGCGCCTGGTCTGAGGGCCTGTGTTTATATAGTCCCTGAAGTCTCCACTGACACTAATACCATGTTGTTTTTTGTAGCTGGAGAAACAGAAAAGCCCTGTGCTGCGATACCTCATGTTGTATCTGCGTGAACTCATGAAGGACTACAAGAATGAGGTCAAAGGTGAGAGGTCAAAGATTAACTAAGTGTCAGTGTGAGCGTAATAGTATGTAGGGTCTTATCGGACTCAAAATATTACGTGTATATGCACAGGAAAGGTGAATGGTTTCGCCAATGTGGTAAGTGTCTTAAGACCCATAACGAAGGGCTTACCTCCCACAACTAGCTGATGTGATATTGCTGAAATACTATTCCAGGTGGCATTAAACCCACCCACCCACCCAAATACCCATCAAAATACCTACCCAAATACCTACCCAAATACCCATCCAAATACCCACCCACTCCCTGTGTTCAAAAAAGAAATACAATCAGGGTTCAAACTTTCAATTTGTGATTTAGATGTAGCATAGATTGATATCGGTGCAAATTATTTGTAGGGTTGTCTGGTCCAGATTCGAATGTTTACCGTGTTTAAAGGAGGCCGTGATATATCTGGAACAATATATAACACTCACTCACTCACTCTCCATTTTTACCTTCACAGACATTCTGTCAGCTGACAAGCAGCTGGCCACGGAAATTGAGTACGACCTCCGTATGTTTGAGGAGCAGCAAGCTGCAGCAGAGAAACGCCGACACGAGAATACGCCAGTACAGAGGGCCCCTATTCAGGTATGTGTAGTTGTGTTAGGGCGGGAACGTAGACTGGGGCGACGAATCAGGTATGTGTAGTTGTGTTTGGGCAGGAACGTAGACTGGGGCGTCGTTGATTCAGGTATGTGTAGTTGTGTTTGGGTGGGAACGTAGACTGGGGCGTCAATTCAGGTATGTGTAGTTGTGTTTGGGCAGGAACGTAGACTGGGGCGTCGTTGATTCAGGTATGTGTAGTTGTGTTTGGGCAGGAACGTAGACTGGGGCGTCGTTGATTCAGGTATGTGTAGTTGTGTTTGGGCAGGAACGTAGACTTGGGCGTCGTTGATTCAGGTATGTGTAGTTGTGTTAGTGTGGGAACGTAGACTGGGGCGTCAATTCAGGTATGTGTAGTTGTGTTTGGGCGGGAATGTAGACTGGGGCGTCAATTCAGGTATGTGTAGTTGTGTTTGGGCGGGAATGTAGACTGGGGCGTCAATTCAGGTATGTGTAGTTGTGTTTGGGCAGGAACGTAGACTGGGGCGTCAATTCAGGTATGTGTAGTTGTGTTTGGGCGGGAATGTAGACTGGGGCGTCGTTGATTCAGGTATGTGTAGTTGTGTTTGGGCAGGAACGTAGACTGGGGCGTCGTTGATTCAGGTATGTGTAGTTGTGTTTGGGCAGGAACGTAGACTTGGGCGTCGTCGATTCAGGTATGTGTAGTTGTGTTTGGGTGGGAACGTAGACTGGGGCGTCAATTCAGGTATGTGTAGTTGTGTTTGGGCAGGAACGTAGACTGGGGCGTCGTTGATTCAGGTATGTGTAGTTGTGTTTGGGCAGGAACGTAGACTGGGGCGACGAATCAGGTATGTGTAGTTGTGTTTGGGCAGGAACGTAGACTTGGGCGTCGTTGATTCAGGTATGTGTAGTTGTGTTTGGGTGGGAACGTAGACTGGAGCGTCAATTCAGGTATGTGTAGTTGTGTTTGGGCAGGAACGTAGACTTGGGCGTCGTCGATTCAGGTATGTGTAGTTGTGTTTGGGTGGGAACGTAGACTGGGGCGTCAATTCAGGTATTTGTAGTTGTGTTTGGGCAGGAACGTAGACTTTGGCGTCGTTGATTCAGGTATGTGTACTTGTGTTTGGGCAGGAACGTAGACTGGGGCGACGAATCAGGTATTTGTAGTTGTGTTTGGGCAGGAACGTAGACTGGGGCGTCGTTGATTCAGGTATGTGTAGTTGTGTTTGGGTGGGAATGTAGACTGGGGCGTCAATTCAGGTATGTGTAGTTGTGTTTGGGCAGGAACGTAGACTGGGGCGTCAATTCAGGTATGTGTAGTTGTGTTTGGGCGGGAATGTAGACTGGGGCGTCGTCGATTCAGGTATGTGTAGTTGTGTTTGGGTGGGAACGTAGACTGGGGCGTCGTTGATTCAGGTATGTGTAGTTGTGTTTGGGCGGGAACGTAGACTGGGGCGTCGTTGATTCAGGTATGTGTAGTTGTGTTTGGGCGGGAACGTAGACTGGGGCGTCGTTGATTCAGGTATGTGTAGTTGTGTTTGGGCGGGAACGTAGACTGGGGCGTCGTTGATTTAGGTATGTGTAGTTGTGTTTGGGCGGGAATGTAGACTGGGGCGTCGATTCAGGTATGTGTAGTTGTGTTTGGGTGGGAATGTAGACTGGGGCGTCGCAGATAGAGTTGTGTCCCTTGTCTGTGCCAGTATCCTCATGTGCCATTATGATGCTTGGCCTATCAGCACAGAACCTGTGTTCAAGGGTTTCAAAAAAGTGGGAAACATTTCCGACCTTCAGGCCACAAAGTTGCGACTAAATTGGTCGCCATGGCGATCTAGTTTTGTATTTTGCGACTGGTATTTTCATGTCAGTCGCTAACTGGCTCCTTGTCTTTAATTAAGTTTGGCGACTAAATATCTCTTGTCATAAGATATTAAAAAAGATCGTTTTTAATATAAGTGCGGTAACTTCAGTGAAAAAAATTGATATCAGAACATAATAACATCGACTACATCACTGCTAGGCCATGTGTACTGTTTTCGCTTTCGATGTGAAGCTCCATACCTGGAATGAAGGAAGCACTTTCCGTTATTAAGTAATGCACTAACGGTGTTAAGAGTTTAGTACCCACGCATGCACTGTACGACATCCGCCCAGGTGACAGCTGTGGCGGTCGTTTCGCCGTTCAAAAACACGAAGTATTTTTCCATATTTGCGCAAGTCAAAACAACAACAAATCGTTGTCAATCGGCAAATGATGTATACCGTATTTTCTTAAGTATAGTGCGCACCCCTCTCTAGCGGATTCAGAATTTTTTTGGGAAAAAAATTCGAATAGATCTTCCAAGCGCAGAAAAAAAATTACACCGTAGATATATCTACCCCTTTAGCGAAGTCCGGCAAACGAACGGGTGATGAGAAACATGGTCAGTACAAATTCGAGATTTGAGAGAAAAAATCACCAGACATGTTGATTTACCGTTTAAATTGTATTTTTTGTTCTGCTAGCTAGGCATTGTTTTATATCCAGGGATTAAGATTACCATGTGTATCTTCTCGTAAACTAAGCCGGACGCAGCAATCAGCTGTACACACATTTTCTTGGAATTTACCGGTGATTCAGTCAAGACACACCCAATGATATAACTTTACAGGGTTTTAATGCAAGGATCGGCAAAAATTGTACCTGAAACTATTTTTTTATCAGGAATAATATATTCCAATATCTTGTTAATTTAGATGCAGCTTTTACTAAACATATTTGAAAGAATAATAACCCTAAGCGAAGCAGCTGATTGCTATTACCGGGTATTACATGGTTTTACATGGAACCAGTCTGACCAGTCACCGTCAAAGGCTCCCGCGCACGTGATCGCGTGAATTACGCGTTGACATAGAATCGTCCAACAAAAACAAATATGACTTTTAACGAGTCAAAGTATGGCATTTATGACATATGTATCCATTCTCTGTCAACTAAAGTTCGTTTCAAGGCGTCAATAGCGGTAATCTGACATTGGTTTCTGTTAATAACGGTGAGTTGTGCGATCTTCCGATCGCTTCACACACGATTTCGCCGAAATTAATTAAAACAATTTTAAAAGTAATTTTGAATAACATTAATGAAATAAGTTACAAACATAAGTCCAGATGTACAAAGAACACTTTTTATAGTCAGACAGTGTAATTACATGATTAATTTGCGTACTTCAGTATGGATTTGTTGACATGGTATTTCCGGTGTTACGTGCTCACGGTCTTTCCATGGGGGTAAAACATCAAAACTCATTATTTCGTGTATAATGCGCACCCCCTTCTACACAGCTGTGGGTTTTTTTGGAAATAAATGCGCAGTATACTAAAGAAAATACGGAATGCTTTGAATGGCGAAGCTGACACGGAAGTTTCATCGTCTGTCGACACATTCGATGAACCAAAACCTGCAACTGGCACCGGTAAACTGTCAGATGATGTTACTGACACAATGTTCTAAAGCTTGTTTGTCTGAAAAACTCAAAAGCTTCAACAACAGTTGTTGTTCATGATATAAAACTGATTTTTTAAACTAATGGATTTTTGTGTGTTTTGTTATGCAGAAGCTCAGTTAAATTACAAGTCATTACTTTTGGCTCCTTACATTTTGCCTTGGCTCCTTGAAATTCTATTTGGCTCCTTGAAAAAAAAATTTAGGAGCCAAGTGGCTCCTTTGAATTTTTTTTAACTTTGTGGCCTGACCTTTATTTTGGGCTTCCCTCCTTCACAGCTGACATGCTGCGATATGACTGAAGTACTGATAGTCAAGGAGGTGAAATGGGATTTAACGTTATGTGCAAGATAATTGCACATATATGGCAACGTGTGAGAAACATTTCCAACTGCTTCCTTTTGGGCTTTTCTCGTTGTGTGTACTTGCAAGCGAGCACACCTCTCACACAGTTTGCTGACTCAATGTCAACCAGTCCTTGTTTTATCCACAAAGTCACCCTATAAGTAGTGCTTGATTAATTTTTCTTCTCAAAGTTCTGTCTTGCATGGTGTTATTTCTGATGAACTTATGCCTGACAGCAAAGTCGACGATGTTTTAAGTTTCCATCCCTGCCCATCTTGTATCAAACACCCGCCTCACAGTATGTTATTGCCATTAAAGTACCTACAGACAATGAAAATCGCTTCTTTAATACAGCGATAGAAATTGAATTTTTTTTCCACTAGTTCTTATAATGATAACATATAGCAAAATCCTTAAAAATGGCATATTTCTACTAGTCCTTATGATACCTTGACTATTGGGCAGTTTGGCAAGGACTATGGAACTAGTGCAAATTTCTAACGCAGGTACTAGTGGGCTACTACGCTGCTAGTTGGGTATACCAATATGTACCGTTGCCATGGCCCCTAGTGTGGACAACGGCGATTAGCAGCTAGCGCTGCTGGCCTGAGACTGCTACCGCTGTCCAGCCCCCACAGTAGCATATTTAAATGCTACCATTGCTTGAGAACTACCACTACCAAGTCAGACTACCGTCCAAAGCAGCTACCGCTGCCTGGCCCCATTAGTAAAACCATTGTTGTGACTACCGCCGCGGGCCCAACTGTCAACTACCACTTTAGAAGACTTCCGCCGCTGGGCCCATATATGTGGCAATTGGTTGCCCAACGTAAGCTATTTTACAATTCCCCATCTGAAAAGTGGGGAAGACAAGGTTCCCACTGAGAAGCGGGTAACCCCGGAAAGGTTCCCGCTGAAAAGCAGATAGTCTTAAGCGCGAGTATTAATTTGGAAGCAAGTTAATTTGTTACTAGCAGTGTAGCCCACCAGAACCCCGCCACATAGCACCAGAGTGCTACCCCAGTTAATGTACACAGATATCCTTAGAAGGTTTGCAAAAAAACAGACCATACAACACTACGTTATTTTGGGCCTTTCTATACTTGATCCTTTTTATCATCACACTTAAATAATTTCACCTTTCGTCACAATTTTATTGTTGTTGCAGGGCCGACTGTCGATGTCCCCAGCATCGGGCTCCCCCAGACCGGACGGCTCCCCCAAGCCAGGTTCACCAGCCAGATCTCCCAGCACCCCTAAACAGGGGAAGTCCCCTGCCCCTGGGTCTGCCAAGCCACCCACACCCGTCGGGACTCCTGGGGCTAAGCCACAGAGTCCGCTGGCTACCAACAAACCTTCCACCCCTCTCAGTGCCAGCAGAACACCAGAGAGACAGGGCACGCCCAGCAGGTAGTCTTCAGTCATAGAACCCAGGATTTGGTTGGGCTCTGCTTGTTGCTGCTTTATGGTTTTCAGACTTATACTAACTTACTACCTTGGGCTGGTCAAAATAAATTTGTGCAGCTCAATATTTGGGTCAGTTTTCTTCCGTAGGAAATACTCAATGTGCTTAATGCGTGTACTGTTTCTACTGGAGTGTGGAGAGCTATAATGTCATGAGGGGGCACGTGTGGCCCAGTCGTCTAAGGCGCCGCAATTCGCTGTGCAGAGTTGCGTCCCTTGGACACACCAGAAACCTATGATTGTGGGTTCAAATCCAAACAATACTAAACATCCTGTACGTACCTGATGCCTATCCTATTTTGACTACATCAGATGCACACCCCTGGCCACGCTTGCCATCCTCAACTCTGCCAGGAAGGCCCTGACTCGCAACACGGTGCTACGGGAAGTCCGCAACTCTCCCAAACCCAAGGAGAAGGCCAAGGCGACCGAGAGGGAGAAGGAACGACGACGGTCTGCGGTCAAGTGGGCAGACAAGGACGGTGGGGCACTACAAGAAGTGTCGCCCAGTCAGGCTGAGGTGCAGAGTTTGTGTTCATGGTGTATATGTTATCAAAATTTCCCAAGGGTTAAACATCTCTGAGTCATAGGCCTGTCAGTACAATAAAATTCTGAAAAGCACAAAATTTTAGACGACCAGTTTTGTTTCAATCTTTTCTTCCACTGACCTATTTAATGTTCTTATGGATAAAACACTTTGGGGCCTGAAAATCGTTCATATATTTGTTCACGAGGGGCAGATAATCTGTACATTTGTGTTTGAAAAGGTTTATTTTGTGTATTACAAGAAAAATGTAAAAGAGAAAACCTGGTGTGAAACTTCCCTGTAATTACTGTATTAAGATGATGTAATGTTATCAATCTGTGACGTTACGAACACTGGATGATGCAAAGACATGTGAACAAAGACACGTGACAATCAGAGCTGGGAATTGATGAAATGCACATGCAGATATCAGCAAGTTATTACACTCGGTCTCTCTACTCTGGTGGGCAGTATTCTCAGTTTCTACCTTTAGAAATTGAAAAATTGAAATAAAATTCAAGGGAGTATCAGTTTTTTACTGAAACAAACCAATTAACATAGAAATATGACACTTGCACGTTTATGTGCCTGTAATGTGTAAATCTGATATTTTGTAGAACAATACCGAGAATGTGCGAACACCACCACGGCGAACGAGGAAGTCAAGCCGTGCCATCAGCACTCCAAGTGGTAAGTGTCTTGCTTTGGGAGAGCATGCAGCATCATCCTACAGATAACACTAGCATAGATTCATCTGTAGCACCTGTCCCAGACTGTAGCAGCTCTGTAGGATATAGGCTGAAAGTGATGTACATATGGGTTGGAAGAATATAGACTGATTTGTATGTTGTAGATGTTGGCTTGAAGGATATTGACATGGGGTAGAAGGGTATGGACATGTGTAGGAGAAGGATATGGACATGCCTAGGAGATGGGCTAGAACTAAGAAGGATATGGACATGTGTAGGAGATGGGTTAGAACTAAGAAGGATATGGACATGTGTAGGAGATGGGCTAGAAGGATATGGACATGTCTAGGAGATGGGCTAGAAGGATATGGACACGAACTAGAAGGGTATGGACATGTGTAGGAGAAGGATATGGACATGCCTAGGAGATGGGCTAGAACTAAGAAGGATATGGACATGTGTAGGAGATAGGCTAGAAGGATATGGACATGTGCTAGAAGGATATGGACATGTCAAGGAGATGGGCTAGAACTAAGAAGGATAAGGACATGCCTAGGAGATGGGCTAGAACTAAGAAGGATATGGACATGTGTAGGAGATGGGCTAGAAGGATATGGACATGTCTAGGAGATGGGCTAGAAGGATATCAACATGTCTAGGAGATGGACTAGAACTAAAAAGGATATGGACATGTGCTAGAAGGATATGGACATGCCTAGGAGATGGGCTAGAACTAAGAAGGATATGGACATGTGTAGGAGATGGGCTAGAAGGATATAGACATGTCCTAGAAGGATATGGACATGCCTAGGAGATGGGCTAGAACTAAGAAGGATATGGACATGTGTAGGAGATTGGCTAGAAGGGTATGGACATGTGCTAGAAGGATATGGACATGTCTAGGAGATGGGCTAGAAGGATATGGACATGTCTAGGAGATGGGCTGGAGGGATATGGACATGTCTAGGAGATGGGCGAGAAGGATAAGGACATGTCTAGGAGATGGGCTAGAAGGATATGGACATGTCTAAGAGATGGGCTAGAAGGATATGGACATGGACTGGAAGAATATGGACTTGGGTTAAAAGGATATGAACATTGTCAAGAAAGATATCAACTAGAGGATATGGATTTTGGTAAGGAAAATTTAGACATAACACAATTGGCGCTTGTTGGAAGGTGATAAATTGAAAAGAAAGGGCTAAATGTTAGATGATTTTGCAGAAATATTGCTGATGCATTAGACTATATTCCTCAGTCACACTTGACACAGCATGAGTCACATGTATACGTACATGACGACAGTATCTGTATGGTTTCAATGTTTGCAGCACACCTTGCCCAAACAGGTAGGACTGTCACCATCTCTCTCCATAGCGCTGCTTGCTAGTACTTCTTGCTTGCTTCCTGGAGCTGCTTGCTTCTTAGTTCTTTATGCTTGCTTCCAAGAGCATCTTGTTCCCTAGAGCTGCATCCTTCTTAGTACTTCTTGTTTTGCTTCCTGTACCGTCTTGTTCCGTAATGCTGCTTGATTGCTAGTACTTCTTGCTTGCTTCCTGGGGTGTCTTGTTCCTTCGTGCTGATTGCTTCTCTCATTTGCTTTCAGCCAATCATTATTTTATCAAATGACATGTCCTGCTGGTTATGATATCAGTGAGAATGTTCCCTAATTAAGTCAGGCCCTCGTGGAAGACACGCTATTTCACTATGCCAAGATGTGACCCTCAGCTACTAGTATTTGTTTTTTGTGGGCTCAGATCCCAGCACATGCCACACATAGTCTTTGGTGTGTCAGCAAAGTGGTGAAGGAGTGACGCAGAATGATGATAATGATGATGATGATAGTGCATGTACAATCATTCGACCATTATTACCATTGGTTAATGTCATTCTCAGCTCCCTGGGGAGTAAACACCCCAAGCTGCCCATGACTCACAGTACAGTCTCATCCTACCAGATACCCATTTGTTGAGTGAATAGAGGCATATTTCAAACAATGTCACTTGCCTGAGGAGACTGTAACTCGCCAACATGCCAAATACTGATAAGAAGTGCATCAAGTGCTTGCTCACCATAGTTAGTGCCAGTGAGAACTGCAAGATGTTTTCTATGAGCATGATGAGAATGTATGTAGTGAGAAGCCTGTCATCCTCTACATCTCCAGGGCTCACATTTTGGTAAACCTACACTAACCCCTGGATCTATTTCCGTGGTTCTCGCAATCTCAAATAACCCGCCCTTGATTTCCATTTGCCAGTTTGATTGGCTACGCTACAAGGCTTAACATACCAATCAGAGTTACAAACCAGCCTCAGAGTTGGGTTGGCAATATCAACAACATGGCGGCCTGTCCCAATGAATATGATCGAGTTTGAGAGAAATTCAACATTGAAAACTGACTGACACGCATTTTTATATTATATTTCTTTAGCATTGTCTAGCTGGTTACAGTTCTACAGAAGTAAGTTTGAAGTACTGCTGCCACGACAACTCCAAGTGAGCAGGGCAAGAGTGGCCCAGTTGTCTAAGGTGCAGAGTTGCTTCCCTTGGGCATGCCAGGATTCTATAATTTTGGGTTTGATCCTGGTTCACCCCGGTTATGTGTCTAGGTTTGTCAGCACCATACCTGTGCTTGTAGCTTTCACCCAACTGGTAAACGTCTAAGACCTGCATCACTTCGGACTTTCCTCCCACATAAAGCTGACACACTCTGATATACCGGGAAAATTGTTAAACACAGCATTAAACCCAACTCACTCACTCCCAAGTGAACAGACAGGCAGGACATGGACACCGGGACTGCACGTTTTAAGTCCTAGGCTTTATTTACTACTTTAATTGAGTAACATTTTATCCAAATTTACGTCCAGAACTTAAAAGCGAAAAAGAACTAACTTATGATAGGAAGACTGAAATTCCCAAGTTTAATGAAACAATACTCTCAAATGGAATTAATGAGAGAGCAACATTTTAACATAAGACATGATTTTCTGTTTTAACTTAACTTTAACTTTTAACTTATGTATCAACAAACCATTATCACAGTTATGTGTAAAACAATGTAAGACAGAGTCTCCCGAGTATCACCTAAGCTAGGGTTCCAATGTGGCTGGTAAATGTGGAAACCTACCACAGCATTTATGGTATTTATAGTAACCTTTTGCCAGGCTAGCAGAAAAAAGTCACTAGCCCTGTGGTCTCGTTTGTTTTTTAGTTATTTATATGTACATTGTTGCTGATGTTGATAAACCCAAATCATTGGAAGAAATGGAACTTGCTGATTACTGGAAACATCAACTTCAATGACACTGCTGATGGGGCACCAGATGTGGTAATATGTAACCATGGTAACCTGAGTCCTACTGTAGTTTTGTCTCTACTTTGACTTCAGATGTTCTCGGCAACATCACCTTTGCTGGGGAGCAGAACATCACGCTGATACCGCCATCCCCGATCCCAACCTCTGTTCCTGTGCGTGTGTATCCTGATGTCTCGGAAGATGGTGAGTACTGCTGAAGCATATAGTGCAATAAACAAAAGTGAGAGAATTCAAGGCTAGTTTTTTTGTTTCAGGAGCTGAAGGCAAATTATTCTGGTCAATACATTTACCACAGTACGCAAATAATTGGGCAAAACGCCAGATTTCGGCAACTGCAGGACTGACCCATGTTCTGAAATGTCTTTGCATCTCATTGCCCTTCAGAGTGTGAACTGTTTTAATGTAATTTACATACAATCAGGACTGTTATCATACGTACTTCACAATATCACAAACAATCCTTTCGCGTATTCTGTTAAAAAAACTTGCGTAAAAACCTCAGGATTCATGGATGAGCAGGGATGAGAATCTTCCGCAGATCGGCAAATTTGATTGAACTCAAAAGATCTGATGGCTTTCCCCATAAACACCCCTAAATTATGGACCGTGCTCCACTGCAAAGACTTCAGTTCAAAAGGAAAATATCCATTCTCATCCCTGAAAGAGGAACGCCGTCTATGTATAACCGAATGCTGTATGTTACAGCAACCTCAGCATCACCAGTGCGGCAAGGTCGCAACAAGCCTCGTGATGACCTCGTCTACATGTTCTCCCCCGATAAACCGTAAGTATAGTTCTGTAGCACAAACCACTTCCACAGATGCTAACCATTATGCTTTTGGCATAATAATTGCGCTTTTGAGACTAAAATTACGCTATTACACTTATCCCCAATTTACGATTTTTGACATTTTTTTCATGAATTATTTACATGTATAACATATCACAGAGCAAATTGTTATATGCACTGAATACATGAAGCATTCTACAGGAAACTAATTGCATGTACACCAATATTTCTTTGGAACTCAAAACACCACATTGTCTTACTGCAAGCAATACTGTTAATATTGTCACATGATATATTTTCTGAATGTGTGGAGCTTCGACCACATGTTTCGGACGCCATTTTTTGCTGCCTCTCTAAAAAATCAGGGGGCTTGGTGGGCTTGCCCCCACACAACAGCTTGAATTAGTGCTTTCGTAAGTGATTTATAATCTGTAATTACCAAAGTTATTCAAAATATGTGTTTGTTTGAAATATGGCCCCGATATATGTCACTGATGAGGTTGGCGCATGCTGTTATGGAACTTCTATTTTCGAGTACTTTTACAATGTTGATGTCTTTTTTTCGATGTTTACATTGACATTCAATTTCGAGGTTTAGTCTTATTTAACTAAACAACCACAGGTGGAGTCATTTTTTCTGCTTATTTTTAGCCCTATTGGCTATTGCCCAGTTTTTTAAATACTGCAGCCTGCGTGTACGGCTACATTACTAGTTTCAATGCATGTGTACCCATCCTTCACATACGTAGAGGGCGGCACAGGTGGCCGTGATGTCTAGGCGCCGCGATGCGCTGTGCAATGTCGCGTCCCTTGGGCACGCCAGAAACCTATGATCGTGGGTTCGAATCCCGGGTTCGCCCCGATTATGTTTTTAGGTTTGTCAGCACCATACCCGTGCTCGTTGGTTTCACCGAAGTGATAATCGTCTGAGACCTGCATCACTTCGGGCTTTCCTCCCACATTAAGCTGACACACCGCGATATAACTGGAATACTGTTAAAAGCTGCATTAAACCCAACTCACTCACTCACATTTGTTTAGGCCTAACGAAAATGTTGAAGCGAAAAACATCATCACATGAAATTCCACTTATATACCCTACTGATTACTCCAAAGCTTCAATTAGGGTTGGCATCTCTGCACTTCTGTAATCTGTCCACATTCTGTTGATTCACAGCAGCACAAATACACGTCAGCTAGGGATTGGTAGGTCACAATATGTTACCTGCTGAATGTGTGTCACTAAAGGCTTGGTGGTCAGGCTATCCACCACTTGTTTCCAAGGCTTAGACTTAATTATGCAATACAACTGACATTGCTCACTGCTGTTGAATGCACTGGTTATAACCAAAAGCATAATCCTAAAACTGTGGACAGATGAGGTCAGATTGAATGTATTTTAGTAAAGAATAGGGATTCCAGGTTAGAACAGGTCCTCAGCAACTTATGCAGGGACCTGTGAAGATCCAGGGTAGAATAGGGCTTCTGCAACCCATCCTTGCTGTAAGAGATGACTTGCAAGGATCGGGTGGTCAGGCTGGCTGACTTGGTCAATGCATGTCATCGTATCCTAATTGTGTGGATCGATGCTCATGATATCGGTTATTATTTGGAGACCTTCATATAGCTGAAATATAGCCGCTGCAATAAACAACAAACAAAAACTTCTGCTGGTCAAACGAGACTTAGTGGGTCAGGTGAACAGGGTGGTGACTTGGTTGGTTGTATGTCTTCTTTCCCCAGACAAAGACTTTAGCATTGACAGTTGCTCACAATATCAGTCACCGGATTGTCTGTTTCCGATTCAGTATTTACGGGCTGCTCCCATATGGCTGGAATATTGGAGTGCAGCATTAAGCAACAAACAATCAACAAAACTGATATTATGTTCTCCTGTTTACAGAGCGCCAAGAGTGAAACCCTGGAACATTAAACCATCAGTAAGTATATCATATTCTACATCTTGCTAGTGAAAACAGGTAACTTTATGTCTAAAAAATAGGAAAAATGTTATGCCATATTTTAAAAATAATCGATACATATGTTGAATAAAGGTTAGAAGAATGTTATTTGGGAAAGAAATTTTATGAAAAAAGGTTAATTTGGATAGGATGGCATGGATTACAGAGCTCATGATGTCTGGTCCAGACTCGATTATAGCTAGAATATTGCTGAGACACACAGTGCAGCGTTAAACAAGAAATAAACAAACAAACAATAGTGGTGTGACATTAGAGATGTGATGGTATATCAATGTACATGACGTACACTAATTGTGTGATGAGTTACCAGTGCAATATTAAACTCAATTTGTTGCACTTACCTACTTGTCACATTTTAATTACCCTTTTTCGGGACGGGTGACAAAGTCATCTCAGTTCGCTGTGCAGAGTTGTGTCCCTTATGTGACCCTTGTTGTGTCCTGTGGGTTTGATTCCCAGAATCCCCTTACCAATGGATTCCACCAAAATGCTTTCCTCATGCTCATGCTGACACATTGAAGCACTTTTCAAAGCCACGTTAATGCAAAGTCACTCACTCATGACACACTTTAAGAAGATCCTGGTTGGAATTTGTCTTCAGCAGCCCATGCTTTGACGTAAGAGGTGACTAACGAGATCGGGTGATCAGGCTCACTGACTTGGTTGATGCATTTCATCGATAACAAGGTTCATGCAGGCTTGAAAAGGCCTTGAATTTTAAGGCCCGTCTTGCAAAGCCTTGATTTGTGGTGTCAACCTTGAAAAACCTTTTAAATCACCAACATAGCTTGAAAAGCCTTCTGTTTGTTAAAAGTGACATAATCTTGTTAATAAAAGTATTAAAGCACACTAAATTATGTACCACGGATGTTCAAGTGAGATTTGTCCCAGTGATAGATTTGTTTTGCAAAGACCAAGAAGAATTCATGACAAACTTAATTTGTTGAGTGTGAAAATAGATCTTGTTGAAAAAGATTTTGGGGGGGGGGGGGGGGGGGGGGCGAGTTGGGTGGTTATAGTATGATACATTTGTAAAGTATGCTTAAAAAGGCATTGAAAAGGCCTTCAATTTTAGTGTCCCTATCTGTATGAACCTTAGAATCTCAGATGCCTTGATCGATGTGCATGATCTCAGTCACTGGATTGTTTACAGCTCGCCGTCATACAGCTGGAATAGCGCTGGGTACAGTGTGAAACATAAAACAAACAAATGACACTTTCTATACATCTATATATTATGTTACAGTCCACGGCCGCGGTAGTGGAGTCTGGCGATGCTGAACCAGCAGTGGATGGTGAGGAGGACGAGGCAGCCGAGGTTTCTGTTAGTACCCGATCTCGCCGCCAGAAGGCTGTTTCAACAGCAACACGCAGAAGTTCTCGAAGCAAGAGATAATACAAATTAATTGGAGATTTGGTTTATGAAGGTCCTGTGCCTTGTATTGTCTCTGCTCCAATGCACGAAATATGCAATATGGCTTAAAGATGGAATTTGTACCATAATCTGATGATCATCTGTTTGAAACCATTACTTGCCTTGATTGTCAACCCCATACCATTTCCCCTAAAGAGGTGCATCACATTGTACCTTCTTCTCACCTCACGCATGCATAAACCCTCACTCACTCACTCACGAAGGAGACTAATACATTATTCACTATGCAACACGTCATACATGACTTGTCACCAGATGCCACCACATAGAAATCAAACATGGAACGGGTAGAAACTAAATTTTTTAGTCCACTCGTCCTTATAATGACAACATAAGGCAAAAAAATTAAAAATGGCAAATTTCTACTAGTCGTCTTGATACCTTAACTACTGGGCAGTTTGACAAGGACTACAGGACTAGTGACAATTTCTAACGCTGTGAATAATTAAAGATATGTATATTCAATGTCTGTTGATTAATCCGTTCATGAAGCTTAACAGACAAGTGAGTGAGTGAGTATGATTTTACGCCACTTTCTGCAATATTCCAGCAATATCACGGCGGGGGACACCAGAAATGGGCTTCACACATTGTACCCATGTCGGGAATCGAACCCTGGTCTTTGGCGTGACGAGCGAACACTTTAACCATCAGGCTACCCGACCGCACTTAACCAGACACAAGTAGTAGTCATCTTTAGTGTTGGCAGTATTACATCATTTCTTGCCATTATCATGTCAGGCCTTTTTCTTCACAAGCTGGTTTATGGATTTGTTTTCTCAAAATCACTGGTCGGGGGTTGAAATAAAAACAAATTTAGACCCTTAAGAGTATTTTCTTTTTCTTTTTGTACAAGATAAGTAGGTTGAGAACAAATTCATTATTCTTTCGCTAATTTGTCATTTTTGTAAAATGTGACAGGAATGTTTACATGTAAAAAATACAGCCACACATTGCATGGAGAACCGGTGAGGCTACAGATCGAATTTGAGTAAAAATGTTCGGGTTATTTGGCATGTATCGCCTGCATTAGTCAGTTTGTGAATTTCTCTTTGTCATAAGTGTGATTAACAGGATCGGTTGGAATTATATTTTTTCAAAATTACTGTCTTTTTGGGTCAGACAATCCGTTAAGTTTGAAAAACAAATGCCTAGGTGTGAAAGTTGACCGATTTTGCCTATTCCACCAAGCTGTCTCTGTACTTGTGATTTGATCCCCACTGTGAGTGTTGAGTTATCATGCAGGGCTATGTATCAGAGATGCTATGTATCAGCGATGCTATGTATCAGAGATGCTATGCTGATTTTGTGGATCGGGTGACTGAACAATGTTTGCTACCCTGTTTCACTTGAATGTAAAAGTTTGGAATAAACCACTGTCTAAACCATCTGACTTCTGATGTATTGTTCTTATTTCTCTAAAATGGGGATTTGTTGGCTAAAATGGTTGCTGAATATGGACAGTACCACCTGCCTTGTGTAAGCAATGGGTCTACCGGTGCTCCAAGAGAAATAAACACCTTCCTAAAATAAATGCCTGGTCAAATGTTAGATGTGCAATGTTTTATATATTTTATTCAATATATTTATATGTTTAAATATGTAATATATTTTATTAATACCAAAATTATAACAGTGAAAAACAGCCTCATTCTTGCTGCGGAATTGGTAAACATTTCTATGTTCCCCGTAAAGGAACGGATGTAGGTGAAAATGTTTTTAAAAATTCTCACTGAGCATGATGACCATTGTTTCATTGTTTGCAAATAGGCCGGATACAATGTGAGATCATGTACAGCATTGTTGAAGATGGACTTACCCTTGTTCATAAGGGGGTGGCACAGCCTCCGTGGTCTGATGGTAGAGTGGAAGGTGAGGGTTCGATCCCCGGCCGCGTCATACCAAAAGACGTTAAAAGATGGTACTTGTTACCCTGTCTGGTGATCAGCATTAAGGGGCAAAAGTAAAGGACTGGTTGGCTTGTCTACTGTGTCTGAGTGGGGTATTCATGTTAAACTGCAGCATGGTATCTCAGTGGGCTAGCACTATAAATCGGCATCAGTCCGGACTAGTACAAGCAGCCACATACACACACGTGCATGCACGTGGCATAAGTGCAATAATCTTGGACGGGACGTTGACCCCATTTCCCCTCAGATTTAATTATTTACAGGTCGCCATCATACAGCTGGCCTTCTGGTTGGAGCGCTACACAAACAAACAAGCAATGTTTGCATTTTGAGCTCCACTCGTCAACAGCGGCGTTAAAAAAAACAAACGCTCAACGCTCGCCCGTTCCGTTACCTGCCCCGCAATGGCACGAGTTGTGGCAAATGATTGCGCTCAGGTGAGAGAAGCGTACATATAATGACAATGAAGCCCTCTTCATTTGGACTCTTATCTTCCTTTATTACGACTGGTGTAACATTTTTACAAAGGTGACAAGCGAAAGATTAAGGAAGCAGTTGAGGTTCAATGTAGGAGTAAAACATGGCTATATTGTTTTTCAGACATTACTCAAACCTCAACTAAAGCTTATTTGTGAAGATTGTCCCGACAGAAAATCAATTCCCCGTACCATTGATAAATGTAAGTTATACTGGGTAGCTAATCAAATTCCCCGGAATCGTTTTCAATTAGAGTTAGATCTTGTATACTACAAGCAAGCATTGGGACATCCTGCGTGCAAAAAGGTATAGTCGGCCTCATGTATGTGGAAATGTAGTTTGTTAGTGTGTATATTGCCATATGAATGCATATGTACATGTGTTAATGAATGCATATGTCCATGTGTTAATGTACATGTGGCTGCGTTCCTCAGAGCAGTCTTAGCCCTACGACTATGTTTTGGTTGGTTGTTTAACTCCGCACTCAGCAATATTCCAGCTATATGACGGCGGTCTGTAAGTAATCGAGTCTGGACCAGACAATCCAGTGATTGACAACATGTGCATCGATCCACGCAATTGGGATCGATGACATGCATCAACCAAGTCAGCGAGCATGACCACCCGATCTTGATTATTTACTGATTTCTGATACGTCTATGCATACGTCTAAAATGTCCCTGTTGTAAAATAATGTTGAGGTATTGAGAACAATTGAGTATGGCTGTAGGCCGCTTTTAGCAGTATTCTAGCAACGTCACATCTGCACACATTAGGTGAGGTGAAATTGGGTTTAACGTTCCCGTCAAAGATTATTGCATTTATATAGCGACACCTGTGTGTGGCTGCTTTTACTAGTCCAGACTTATGTCGAGTTTGAGTTCTAGTCCACTGAGACACCATGCCACTGTTTAACATAAATAGCCCACTTAGACACAGTATACTGACCAGTCCTTGTTTTAGATCCTTATTGCCGAGCCCTAGGCAAGGTGACAACAAGTACCATATCTTAACGTCTTTTCGTACGACCGGTCGGGGATCAAACCCCGGAGCTTCCGCTTTTCCGTGCGGACGCTGTACCACTGGACCACGAAAGTGGTCGGCAGACATCAGAAATGACCATCACAAATTCAGCCCACTGCTTGAGGGGAATCTAAGCCGGGCTTCGACGTGACGAGTTAAGGCCTTCATAGATACGTTACTCCGCCGCCCCCGTCGATTAGCAAGTCGCTGCCCTGGGCCCACTTGCACAAAGCGGTCTCAGCGCAACGACTACCTTAAGTCTAGTCTAATGTTAAAGTGTGGGAGTTGCGATCATCTTAGCGCTAACGTCGCTTTGTAAAACGCGGTCCAGGCCTTATAAGAAGCCAAGCTCTTATTTGAAAACCTCACCCGAGGCACAAGCCATCAAAAGAGACAGACAAGCCTAAGTTGAAGTGAAGAAGTTACGATAATGTTAGCACTACGATCGCTTTGTGGAACTTGACCCTGCTCTTTGACATGTAAATACGGTAACTTTCACACACCCACATTAATATCACGCAGACACAAAGTATATTTGACCCGTGAAGATTCGGGTTAGAATAGGTCTTCAGTAACCCTTGTGCATGTGCTGCTCAAGGGGTGCATTTGTTTGAGCTGTTGTTTCTGTTCTCTGGGAACAGTTCAGAAAGTTTTCATTACAAAATATTTCTTCTACAAAGTTACGAAGCAGCGGGTGGCATACAGTGTATTTGAATCTATTCACATGTTGTAACACCACATTAGTGGTGTTGACCCGTGAAAATCTGGGGTAGAATAGGTCTTCAGCAACCCATGCTTGCCGTAAAAGGCGGATTCCGGGGTAGAATAGGTCTTCAGCAACCCATGCTTGCCGTAAAAAGCGACTAACGGGATCGGGTGGTCAGGCTCGCTGACTTGGTTGATGCATGTCATCGATCCCAATTGCGTGGATCGATGCTCATGATATTAATCACTGGATTGTCTGGTCCAGACTCGATTATTTACAGACCTCCGTCATATAGCTGGAATATTGCTGAGTGCGGCGTTAAACAACAAACAAACAAACAAACAAAAGGCGACTATGCCTGTCGTAAGAGGTGACTAACAGGATCGGGTGGTCAGACTCGCTGACTTGGTTGATCACTGTTATCGTATCGCAATTGCGTGGATCGATGCTCATGATTTTAATCACTGGATTGTTTGGTCCAGACTCGATTATTTACTGACCGCCGCCGCATAGCTGGAATACTGCTGAGTGCAAACAACAACCAGTATAATTACATGCATACGTGCATGTGAGCACACTGTGTTTGTGAATATATGTAGGATTAATGTGGTAATATTGACAACTAGAATGAGAGTTATCGGAAGAACTAATCCATGGAACCGCCAGATCGAATCCAGACGATTCCTATAATGATTGTGAATTACGGTGTGAGATGTGATTACATAAAATATCAGTGTGATTGACTCTTAAATTCATATTGAACGGAATCATCGCGAACAAACCAGGGAATGCCAATATTTGTGAAGTTTGTAGACTATGGCATGCCTGAAATAATGTTTGCTTAGGAAAAAGGACGAAATGTCGACTTCGTTTTGAAAAGGTAATCTTTGACGACGGCGAGAGGGTATCATGGGATTCCCTCAACGATAGTCTTTTATACAAGAAAAGGCAAGGCTATTCATTCAACCACCGCCCCCGTGGTCTAGTGGTAGAGCGTCTGCCCGGAGACCGGAAGGTCGGGGTTCGATCCTCGGCCATGTCATACCAAAAGACGTTTTACGGACTGGTCGGTTCGGAGTTAGATACTGTGTTCGAGTGGGATATTCATGTTAAACTGCGTCATGGTATCTCAGTGGGCTAGCACTATTAATTTGGCATTAGTCCGCACTAGTACAGGCAGCCATACACAACACACACACGTGCACGCGCGTCGCTATATATGTGCAATAACCTTGAACGCGACGTTAAACCCCATTTCACCTTACCTCACCTGTCCAATCAACAGCTGGGGAATAAGGCAGAGTGATACTGCAGAGAAAGGTAACGTAGAAACATTGCCCGAACCTCGGCTGGGAGTTATTTCCCTTTTTGCTTTGGCTGCTCCAGGTTTACATTTCAGGTTTAATGTCACTGATTAACGTTCATGATTTATGTGCTAACAACATTATTTGAACGATGGTGTAACATTTAGTATATGGGGCGAAATATCATGTTTTTTTAGGTTTGTGGGAACTTTCACTTAATTCATGTTTTGATCTCATTAAATCCTTTGATTCAAGAAATTCAAGAAATCCATTGGACCCATTTTGGGCGTCCATCTGGTTTTTCAAAATGGTCGAGTTCTTTATTTATCAAACCTTCTCTTTCACTTTGAACAACACGTCAGACGTCATTCAGTTTGTGTGTGAGTGAGTGAGTTTGATTTTACGCCCCTTTTAGCAATATACCAGCAATATCACGGCGGGGGACACAAGAAATGGGCTTCACACGTTGTACCCATGTCGGGAATCGAACCCCGGTATTCGGCGTTAAGAGCAAACGCTTTAACCAGTAGGCTACCCGGCCACCCCTTTTAGTTCGATTTATGCCAAAGAAAACGTCGGGGGTGATGAGGGTCGGTGGGGTAGCCTAGTGGTTAAAGTGTTCGCTCGTCACGCCGAAGACCCGGGTTCGATTCCCGACATGGGTACAATATGTGAAGATCATGTTCCGGTGTCCCCCGCCGTAATATTGCTGGAATATTGCTAAAAGCGGCATAAAACCACACCCACTCACTCTTAAGTGATGGTGATGATTTAACAATGTTATGAAATGAGTAAACACACGCTTAAGTAACTGAGACTTATTTGGTCTGTTTCAAATATGTTCCTAGTAACTTCAATAATCTCCGTGAAGTGTTAGTGTGAAATATGCTATTGCCTAAAATAGTTTTAAAAGTCAATGAGAATGGTTTTACGCTGCCAATATTCCAGCAATATCACGGGACACGAGAAGATC